ATTATTATCATTTTCGAAAATAATATGCAGATTTGTTTTTATAAACATAAATTTGAGATTCGAACCCATGACCTTCAAGACAAACCCACATATACATTACCAACTGATTAAGTTGTTTAATTACTACATGCAGATTTAATATACTAAAATATGTGTCAGTGCTACTATTAGGAAGATCACTATCTAGAATTTTTTTTTTTAAATGAACCAACAAAGAAAATCCTACCTTTGGTATCACAACTTCTTCTTTCTTCTTTTTAAAGAACCCGATATTTGAGTTAGTTTTGTTTCAATTAACCCATCAAACATATATTTAAAAATATGTTAGTTCTTAAGAAATATTGTCTATTGATATTATTAAGAGCTGATATTACTTTAGTAATTTTGACATAATTTTTCAAGTAACTAGTTTTGTAATAGATTGTGATATTTCTCTTTCCATTAAGAAATTCCAGTTACTTCTAGATATCTTTAAGAAATGCCTCTTTTGGATCTTGATAGAATTTTATGGATTAACTTCTGAAATCAAATACATAAAACATGCATATACCAAAAAAATAATATGGTTCACTTTGGATATTCTTCACCAATTAATTCTATACTTTTGACATTTTGTTTTTCTGTAACCTGTTAATTACAATTGACTTTTATCACCTATTAAATTATAATTGACTTTCGTTCAATGTATTTTAAATATTTTTATTTGTCTTAATTTTTGATGTTAACAGCTAAGGCAGAAATAAGATGTACTAATCAAATTCAACTAAAAGAAAATAAATCGAATTACAAAATGGAGAACGGGAAAAGTCATTTTCCTAGTATTTGGAGACTTAATTAAACAAAACTATGCACCACATACACAAATTCATACATACATCTATATGCATAACTTATATAAATTCACAACAGGCACAGTATATTTGTATTATTTTTTTTTTTTATCATTTGACACCGAAGCTGATATATGTGACTGTTCCTTGTTCATTATATATTTCTCTGTCGTTTTCTTAACTTCTACTTCTAATACTCTGACAGTTCTTGTTTACAAATTTAAGAGATTTGAAATCGCTTAGAACCAATCATAATAAATATGACAACTTTACTGAAATCTTCCCCAAATCATATTGTTTGTTAGTATTTTACTATTTTAAAAAATATTAAAAAGCAAAAGTCATATTTATTAGTGATTATTGTAATTAATTCCTAGTTTCATATCACTATTCAGAGCATTTTCGTGTTGTAACATTTTTAAATTTTTGATTTTTCTATATATTTTGATGTATTAGAAAAATTTGAAGAAAAAACGTCATTAATGTATTAGAATCAACTTTTTAGATTTGTTGATTATTTGTGAAAATCTATTCAGTTAAACTTAAATTGTTCCCCGCTATTTTATAATTCGACAATTCTAAATAAGTGGGCCTGTAATATTCATATGACTTCAATCTTCTTGCGGAAAGAAAAAAGAAAAAGAAGAAGACTTAAATCTTATTCAAATCCATTTAAAGTGGGCCTGTAATATTTGGCCCATTATGTAATGAAAATGCGTTTCTTTTGGATCCACTCGGACTTATTATATAAACTAACTATGAGCGCCGTCGCGTAGGTAAATTAGGGTTTTCAATTCTGTTTTAGAGTGTTTTGTTGTATCGACGCCGTTGGTCCTCGTCTTCTAGCTTTGAGCTCTGAGAAATCGAAAATCATGGGCCACTCTAACGTTTGGAATTCTCATCCTAAGAAATACGGACCTGGATCTCGCTTATGGTAATGTTTCTTTTCTAATTCTGAAAAATAAAGCCACTTGTCATGTTTTTGATTCGTGTTTCTCTAGCTTGCCTGTGTTTTCTGAATCTGATATTCTAATGCCTGGTATTAGTGAATTGATTTGATAGGAGCAACACAAATTTCTGTTGATTTTAGTGTAATCTCTTAGTATTTGTAGAGTTTTCATTATAGAAATGTTGTAACTTTGCTGTTCTGTTACTGTTTAAGTTTTTGTGTTGTAATGTAGAATTATTTTGCTTGAATAATTAACAATCGTGTGTAAATTTGTTATTATCTTAATTGGTTCTCCTAGCAATCTTTTATACTTTGGTCAGCAGTAACATCTTTGTAAAAATCAACACTTTTCTTTTGTTATCTTTTAGAGGATTATAGTGCCCTGCCATATAGAATAAGTTAGGCATAGTTTGTGTTGATTTTGAGAAGTGAATGATGAGCATGCAATAACCTGTGTTAATTATTGTGCACTGCCATATATAATAAGTAGGATCATGCTTTGTGTTGATTTTGGGGAATCTAATGGTAAGCTTGAAATTCATGGATTTGTGTAGCCGTGTGTGTGGAAACTCCCATGGATTAATCAGGAAGTATGGTCTTAACTGCTGTAGACAGTGTTTCCGCAGCAACGCCAAGGAAATCGGATTCATTAAGGTAATACTATGTTGATGATTGTCTATTGTATCTCCATGAGAATGATCCATGGTGTTTTCTCACTCTCTTGGAAAGATTATTAACTTTTCTGTTGTGTTTTCCTTTGTTTGCAGTACCGTTAAAGACCAATGGTGTTATGAGGAGCAATCATTTGGTTGGGTTTTTTTAAAACTTTCAAGCTTTAAAATTGTAATGGATTTGATAAATGTTGAACTATTTCGATAACGCTTTTGAGCTGTTGAATCTTTTAGCTTCTTCCTTGTTTTGAACCCAATCTTTGTTCTACAAATAATTATCATATAGATTCGAGTCTCTCTTTTACTATTTAAGATGTGTTTTGCTATTATTACTCTGTTGATTGTGCTGGCTTAAGAACAATTCAACACTCTCTGTTAAAACGACCAAATGACCAAGAATTTTGCAATGGTTGGTGGTTTATTGTAGATGACACTAGCAGCAATGTGAATCAAACAATGATAAAAAGTATAAACAGCTGTTAACAGTCAACAATGTACTTAATGATTTAACACTTTAAAGACAAGTGACAAACACATTAAAAGATAGATACATGAAGCAAATTTATCTAACGAATACAAAGTTTAGTTTGAACAACAACAACAACAACATAATGAGAAAACAATTTGAAGCTACTTCCCTTTAAGTTTACGCACGTGTGGGCTTGTCCAAAGTCCAACAGGTTCTCTCACGTACGAAGAAGAAGACTTCGAACACGGAGAACCAAAAAACAGAAGAGAAGAGAAGATGAAACGAAGAAACAAGCAAGATCATCCCTTTTGCCTTTAGGGCACAAAGGGGAAGCCTTTTTCACTGGGTATGTTTCTTCTCCAATCATCTATCTTCTTCTTCCCTCTTTCGATTCTCAATCTCACGAAATTACCTCTCAGCTTCGTTTTCTTTTTCTTTTCAGTTTCTTCTTCGATTTCTCAATTCCTAGTTTAAAATTGATTGTTTCTTTGCTTTGAATTTCGAAATTGTCCGAATTTTGATTCTCGGAATCTGATTTTTCAGTGTTGAGAATTTGGGGATTTTAGGTTTTTGGTTCAGAAGAGAGAAGCTGGGATCTTAAAAATCGAAGCTTTCTAGATGTTGTTTTAGTTCAACACAAGTATAGAGTTGTGAAATTGTTGAAGATGGGATCAGATCAAGGTTCTTCCAGGTTAGATACGTTAGAGATTAAAGCTCTCATTTTCCGGGAAATTGGGCATCAAAGAGCTGAGAGTTACTTCCATCAGCTCGGAAGATTCTTTGCCTTGAAGATCACCAAATCTGAATTCGACAACTTGTGTATCAAGACCATTGGTAGACAAAACATCCATCTTCATAACCGTCTTATACGTTCCATCATCAAGAATGCTAGTGCTGCCAAGTCGCCGCCATCTAGATTTACGAAGAAAGGAGGGAGCTTTGTTAGATTTGGTAATGTGAATTCGAAGAACTGTCAAATTCAGCCGCTTTATGGAGATTCTGCGGTTTCTCCCTCGACTCGTAAATCCAGGTCAAGGACGTTCAGAGACAGGCCAAGTCCACTTGGTCCACTTGGGAAGCCTCAGAGTCTAACGACAACAAATGAGGAGTCGATGTCCAAGGCACAAAGTGCTACTGAATTGTTGTCTCTGGGAAGTAGACCTCCCGTGGAAGTTGTGTCTGTGGAGGAAGGAGAAGAAGTTGAACAAATAGCAGGAAGTCCAAGTGTTCAGAGCCGGTGTCCTCTCACTGCTCCGCTTGGTGTTTCTATGAGTTTTAGGAATGGAGCTACTAGAAAGTCTATTTCCAATGTGTCTATGTGTAGCGGTAGTTTCAGTCGTGAGACTTGTCAGAATAACGGTGAACTACCTGATACAAGAACGCTGAGGACTCGGTTGGAGAGGAGATTGGAGATGGAGGGGATAAAGATTTCTATGGACTCTGTTAGTCTTCTTAATAGCGGATTGGATGTGTTTATGAGAAGGCTGATTGAGCCTTGTTTGAGTTTGGCTAATACTCGATGTGGAACTAATCGGGTGAGAGAGATGAATTACCAGTATATACAGCAAAGCAGAAGGCTTTCGTATGTATCGATGTCAGATTTTCGTGCTGGTATGGAGTTGAATGCTCAGATTCTTGGAGAAGATTGGCCTATACATATGGAGAAGATCTGTTCCCGTGCTTCGAACAAGTAAAGAACAAACACCATAGGTTAGATACATAGCATTTGATTTTACTGATTGGGTACCTGAACCTGAAATTCTTTCCTGGAATTTGGGTTTGTGGAGAGTTTTCTGGTTTGAAAAAAGTTACTGGGATGGTTCAAGTTTCAATGGAAGAAGGTTTTGAAGAGAAGAAGGGTGGGTCTTCTTGATGTTGTACAAGTTCAGATAGTAGAGTGAGATTAAGTAGAGGTTTTTGAAGTAAACGCCATTTGTTTAGCTGATTTGTTTTTCTCTCATGTGTATTTTTTCTTGTTTGCTCTCTGATGTAACAAAATTAATAATGAAAGCAAAAAGGAAAAAAGCCAATTTTGGCTTCTTGAAAAGATTCGTGTGAAGATGTCATTTGTCTGGTCAATCAATCGCATAATCGGTATATTCTCATGTAAAGAAAATTGAGAATTAAAACTGGTTTAGCAAGAGAGCTGTTTCAGCTTGAATTGACAGTGAGTTTCTCACGGCTTGCCATGTAAGTGATGTAGAACACAAACTCAAGATAAGACAAAAAGCATGAAGAAAATAAATGATGTGTTTTGAACCAAAAATGCTAATCACAGTAACAGATTGAAATGAATTCCAAGGCACCTGTAAATGAACAGGGGAGAGAACTTGAATGTAATAACATCACACATAGGCCTGTACATGACACGGTTTAACACCTTTTCAATCTAGCAACTATATATCTCAGAACTGTTTCTACAATTGAAGCAGATTAATTACTACAATCGATGATATACTCAAGGGGTTAGTGGAATGGCTTTGAGCTCACGTTTCTTCGTCTTTTCACTTACATCTTTATTGTCTTTCTAGTTTATGTTGGTCGTGCATTGGTGTTTCAGTGTTAATTATCTTTGTCTTGTAGACAGTGCCATTGTTAGAGCTAGAGTTTTTTTTGTTAAGTCATTGTTAGAGCTAGAGTTCATTGCTATAACATGTAAATAGTGGGAAAAATTGTGGCAGTTAACATTTTTAGTTGAATGATAAGAGATTTATAAAACTGAACCAGAATTTGATTGATACATGTTGCCAAATAAATTGCAAAAAAAGTATCGAAGACAAACAATTCTCTGGATCAACTTATTAAAAAAAGGAAATAAATTGGGTTCGACAAGAATGTTAAAAAAGAAAATGATAAATATTGCATTGGTGATTGATTCAATTCACCAAACCGTAGCAGTAAGAGCATGCACTAAACCCACATAACCGTTTGGCCCTTTGGATATAAACACATTGTCAAACCACTCAAGCATTCCCCAAATTTCTCCATTTTGGCGTTTTTCAATAGCAATTTCCGCACACCAAATCTTTTTTTCCGTATCAACAAACACATACTCCTCCCAAGAAATCGCCATTTTTCCACAATGATCCGCCATTTTAACATTTTCATGAGAATTAGGCAAACTAGGCAATCCTTCCAAACCCTTCAAAGTTTTCCATACTCTGTTCTTGAGGTCATACCAACGTATCCTCCCATCACTACTGTAAAGGTAGAACACGTTCTCTACCACACAATAAGATGATGACGACGACGGACTCCATCTCCTATTCATGCATATGTCTGCCTCTCTCCATTTACCTTTATGCAGTTTGTAAGTGACATCTTTTTCATCAGACTTCACATAGACGGTTCCTTCATAACTTATTACGCTTAAGTACTCAGAGCCTTTGCATATCTCCTCGCTAGGGATCTGTAGAAACTCCCAAGTTTGAGTCTTCGTATCAAAAATCTCCATCCAATTCATTGAATCGAGATTGTGGTAGCCTCCCGTAACATATATTCTCCCATCAAGCTGGGTACAAGCAGATGGAAACACACGGGCCACCCGCATGCTTGGAGCCTCATGCCATGTGTGAGAACGAGAGTCCATAACCATAACGCTAGACGAAGCGTTATATTTCTTTGATCCAGTGGCATGTATCGAAGCGTTATTATTCTTTAATCCACCGCCAATGGCATATATATCATGACCAACCGCTACAACACCCGGCAGGGATAGGGAGGTAGAATTGGGAGATGAAATCGGGACCAAAACTTTTTTGGAGCTATGTGGTCTGTGGCATAGAATGAACCAATGTAGTAGTTCAGAATCGGTACGGAGTCGTAAGCACGCGTAAAGACAACTCTCGGTTCGGCCTAAGAGGATTCGGGTTTGGTAAAGCTCCGTTGAAGCAAGAAGCAAACGGAATTTTTTGGAGACTAATGAGAGAGTTGGATAATGTAATCTTGAGACGCGAGCTAAGCAGTTTAATACCAAATCATCAGGAAGCATTAGAAATCTTCTAATTCTTTTAATCGGAGGCTCTTCTCCATATTCCATGGTTGTTGATCACTTTTTTTCTCTTAGGGTTTAAGGTTGCTTATCAAGTAAGAAGCTCTTTTTTTTTTTCTACATTAAGCTTCTTTTTGTCTCGACCAATCTGTCTAAAATCTTTATTATATATAGGGAATTCTCTCATTCCTAATCTCATTAGGAATTTGTTTAGAAATATAGTGAATTTTTTTTCCTCAAATTGGGCTGGGCCTGGGCCTATACAAATTCAATCCACTTACAAAAAAAAGGCAAATCGGAAACATTGCCGGGAAACGGGAGAAAAGCTCGGATCCTGTTGTATCACCGGAAGCAGAGTCCACAGCATTTGTCCTTGTTTCCCTTTCTAATGTTACAAATAGAGCTGTACATAGCATTTGTGTAGTTTTCTCTTCCTTGTTTGCTTTTCTCATGTAACAGAAACTAATACAAAGACTGGTGTTAAATCTACTGCAAGACATGTCCAAATGCACAGTTTTTCCAAAACTCTTTACATTTTACACTTTGAAATCTGCAGAGAGGAAAGAAAGAATGTTGAAGAATGCGCTGCTTCTTTTAGTAAAAGCTTCTTGGCTCCATTTCTATATCGCATAATTGAATAAACTTGAGAGTTACCAAGAGAGCTGTTTCACTTTTAACTTGAAATGGCAGTTGGCGTTGCACGGCTTGCCATATAAGTTATGTAGATTGTCCATAAATACGAAAACGAGTTGCTCACAAGTGGCTGCAGACAAAAAGAAACCATAATTCAGTTAATAACCAAAACTCAGGAATGAAGCAAATATATGATCTGTTTTGAACCAAAAGGTTGATCAAAATGAGTCCCAAATTGAAAATAAAGTGGAAGTAATCAAGATACATACCTGTAAATGAACTGGGCAGAACTTGAATGTAATAAAATCACACAAAGGCCAATACATGACACCGTTTAACATCGTGGGAAGTAGGTCCCTTTTCAATCTAGCAACTATCTCAGAACCGTTTTCACCTGAGAAAATAATACAAACTCAGACTTTGATGTCATCAAGACAAGCCTAAGACCAAATAACAACACTCCCCACTACCCAGACGCCATTTAGAAAAAGAATGTAACATCAACCAAAGAGCACTATAACAACCCACAAGATTGAAGGTCAACAGAAACTAGAATGTGAGAAAAATCATTTTTTTTATTGGTGCAATATAGACTTTGAAAAGGAACCATTCAATATTATTCAATTACAGTTGGAAGTTTACCCTGTAGGGCTGCATTCAATGAGAAGAAAACAACGTTCATGGCAGGCCCGTAAACCGTCTGTCCCATGGCCATTTTCTTAAACGTTGTGATCAAATCTCGCTTTGGGAAGAGTCTTGACATGAAATTGAACCAATAGTGAAGTGTAGGACCCAAGATTAACAACCCATATCCTGCCATCCTTGCTGTTCTTACCAAGTCATAAGACTCCACTGAAGCTTGTGGAATTGTCTGTTGAAAGATCAAACACTAAGCTCTAAGTCACACTTTTATCAACAACGATACAAGCACAAAGAAAAGTAAGCAAATATAACAACTCAATTCACATAAAAACCGCTAAAACTTCATCCCCTATGACACATTACTGAGAAACAAACATTACTGCTTAATCTAGAAGTAATCCTTCTCCTATCTCAAATCTCTAAAGCACCATGGAGATAGACTCACTTCTACTATTACCGTTTGTTACAAAACATAATGATATCTTAGTACTGAACCAACCAAGATACATATATAATGTAACAATTCAGTCTTTAACTTGAAGAACATCATCATACTTCACAGAACATCTAAAATCTGATTTTTAGGCTTAGAAAACCGAAATAAGATAAATATATATAATTACCTGCGAAGACAAGTCGGCGGCTATGTAAATAAGCGAGGAGGTGACGGATTTGGTAAGAACCGGCCGCGATTTCACCATTCCCAAATACCATCCGATGAATCCTGCTGTAGAAACCGTCGAAGAAGACGAAGAAGTACAGAGACCAGAGACTCCGGTTTCCTTTGCTTTCCCGAGAAACTGAGGCGTACGATAAAAAGGCCCCGACTGCAATCGCCGGATGTTTCCTCCTATCGGTAAAGGGTCGAGCTTTCCGAAAGGATTCGTCGTCGTTGCTCGCTGTAATCGAAAGATTCGAGCGGCGTCGGAGACAGCGTTTCTGAACAATGCGCCGGTCATTGTTGTGTGATGGCTCCGAGAGTTTTGGGGGTTCAGGGAAGGGTTTTATATATAACGGCGGTGGAGAAGAAGAAACAGAGCTCTGTTTTTATTTTGTTTTTGAAGTATAAATACTAAAAAAAGAGAAACACACAATTTGTACTTTCGCGAGTATAAATGTTTTTCTACTCGCGTCTCCTGCCATTGCAATCGTTCTTAATTAATTAATTTTGTTTTTAATAAATTAATCAATTATGCATTTTCTAGATATAGAATTCTCGAGATCTTTCCCACATAAGTTACTTAACAGTTAACACAATGATTATTGATATTAGTTTACTTAGCTAATCACTCGATTAACTCAAAACCCGAGCCAAATTATTAGAGAAAATAACCTCTCTATGTTAGGCAGAGGAGAGAGTGCCTGGAGGCTGAAGAGCGCGTGACCGGAAAAGGTGGACGGGTCAAAAACCAAACATCCCCAAACTGTTTTTGTTCTGTAGTGTTCTAGGGTTGTTTACACGTCGTGTTCACATTGGTTACTTGGTTAGTATATCGACGTCATCAGTCATCACCTCTGACACGTAAAACTTAACTTAGTGACGCTAACCTTTAATAGAAGCCACGTGTTGCGTTCGTGTCCCAAGTTCCGACTTTGAGCCACTTTTTATGAACTCTTATTTTAATATATGTAGTCAAAAAGAACGTACATCATTGGAAGAGTTTTTCTTTTGGAAGATTCTCTTCTTTTCTGTCGGCAATATTTGGAAGATTCTAAACCAAACTAATCGCAGATGATGTCACACACAAAAACAAACTAATATCGTATCATTCATGTGTCTACTTCATAAATAGGAATTTGTAGAAAATATATAGAAAATAAAAATAGAACACATTGTGTATTGACAAGAAATCCTCGACTTGACGGATTTAAACGGCCATCAAAACCAAGTAAGCAGAACACCCAAATCTATCAACACTTTTCATTTCTCTTGTGTTACTTTTATAAGTTCTTACTTAAATTGTATATTTCTTTGTTAAAAAAAAATTGTATATTTCTTTTACTGATATATCAAACAACAAGAAACGTCTATTTGTTCAAGGGATATTTCCAACCGAGTTTTCGTTATCAGGTTTTAATATTTGTATCATTCAATAGTTACACTGTTTCAGTGAAGAACTGTACACGAGGGATCCAGCAGCAGATTTTCAGTCAAAAGATTGAAGCTGTGAGACTGAGTCTCACTGAGATATATGGAAAAGAAAAAAACATAACTTATTCTTCCTGGTTTTGGTCTCTGATCCATTTGGTCGCCACCCATTTCTCTCCTTTGGTCACCGGGCAGCTCCCATGAAGCGACGTCTGCAGAAGCATTGCAACCATAGGCAAAAAGTTACTATTAGCATGAACTAATCCAAGGAATTGGAGTCAAGAGCAGAAATGAAATGTGTTCAAACTTTGTTTACCTGATCAATTGTTCCATTTGGAAACACGGAATAAAAAAGTAGACCATCTCCTTTCCGAGGCTTTACTTTCAACCCAATACATTGCTTGTAATCGTATCCGGTGCCCATATTAGAACCGTTCTGTTAAATCGAACGCGCTTAAATGGAATCAAAACTAACGGAAGGGTCTGAATAATAAGTATGCAAGGCTATTTTATAAACTGACCTCAAATGGGAACATGGTTTCACCGCCTTCTTCAACATCAGATAAGTACAACAGGAAGGAAGCAATCTGCGTAAAATCAAATGAGGTCTCGGGTGCTAAAGAAAGCTAAAAATATGACAGATTTAAGGATTTTACCCTTTGGCTTGATTGTGGTCCATATTCTGTTGGGTTGAACACATCATAGTGGGAATCATACTTTTGGCCAAGTTCATACCGTAAAATATTGAATGACTGCCAAAAACATTAAATCTCGTATGTCAATCTTTAGGAAATTCACCACTCTTTTTGCAACATCTCAATATTGAATGTTGTTGATTTCGTAAATCTGGATCCAAGAGTTTGCAATCTCAAAAAAAGTACAATTAAAGGGGGTGATAAGCACTCAACCAAAGGCCACAATGCAATATCAATAAATGCCTATTATTGACACTTTCAAGATGATCAAAACAACATGCCTCAGTTTTATGATTTACATAGGATTGGGAAGTAGAGAATCAAACCTCTCCATGGGACCTTGGGATCATCGTAGCCCTTGCGATTTTCCTTTCAACAAAATCCAGAGCACCAGTACTCTCTTCTGAAGCACTGATAAAAGTTCCTGAGCTGTAACAACAACACACCAGGCAAAAACACTGAGGCTACTGATGATGTTCGATTGAAGAATGCAACTTGAAACCAGAAAGAAAGAAAGACCTTGTTCTAGTGCCCTTAGTGTTCTCAGCAGTTTCTCCTTTCCGGAGAGCCAAAGCAGAAGGTTTCAGATTAACCTTTGCTCTCTCAATAATAGCTTGGCATTGTTCTGCAGTTGCGAAATTCGGAAAATATATAGCCCTAGGTCTCCAACTAAGTACCTGCCATTTTTAAACCAAATAATCCATAAAGATTAAGCACTAAATTTCACTACTTAAATTGCTAGAAAACGCAATAATCTCACACTCATTAGATCATCAAATGCACAATCTTTCCTAACTTAAACGATTTCAGCTCAATAACCAATCCAAACATCTTAAAAGTCTAAAATTAGCAGCAAAATCAGACCTGAAAAGGAATCGATCCAACAGATTCTTCTCCAGTAACACCATGAGGCATCGAGCCAGTATCTTCTTCCCCATTCTCCACCATCTCCAACATTCTCAACCTGGGTTTAACACGAGGCACATTCTGATCCCAAACACAGAACCCTCGATTAGTCACAAAGCCGAGCTAAAGACTCCAATCGCATCTAAATAGCACAGAGTTAAAGATCAGAGAGTTTCCACACCTGAGAAAGTAGAGTGGAACCATAGAAACCGACGAGGAAACAGAGAGAACAGAAGACGATGACTGTGGCTAACCCTAGCTTCTTCCTCTTGTAGCTCTTCAATCCGCTCTTCATCGAGCCTTCTTCCGTCCTATCAGATTAAGTTTCCGATGGAAATCTTCGCCGGGCGTAAACGATAAGATAAAGTTTCCGATGTTAATCTTCGCCGGCGTAACGAACCTCAAAAGCGGACGCTTTTCGTCGATCCAATGAAGCACAATAAATTTCTATTTAAATATTGTTTTATAATTTAATGATCGATAAGATAAATTATATCGATCTCGTTGACCAATTTGTCGTTCTATTGACTGGTTAACACATACCAAAAATGCGCCCAATTTGTCTTTAGGCTTGAAGTTTGGTTGCGCATAGTGTTTTAAGTCTTGGTTCGATAGAACTTCAAAGTTATTGTGATTTTAATTAGGTGTGCTTCTTTTGAGTTGTTTTGCTTCATTCAGGTTGTCGAAAATGAATTTTGGAGTTTTGACTAATTTATATTCCAATCTATAGAAATCTGCTACCATTGTTTAAATTCTTTGTCGGAGTCCCAGTGTAGTACTAATTAAGTTTTTTGTTTAACGAATCTCGTATCCAACGGTATAATATGAGTGGATATGTATATGTTAAAAAAAATGAATGGATCTGTATATGATAAAATCACCCTATCAATGTGATCGATAAGATAAATAAACAACGATAAGTAAACATCCATAATGATAATGTTATAAGTAAAGGTGAAGCTGTAAATTTGGAAGACATTTACACTCAAGATGTCATTATCAAAAAAGTTGGACAACTTGGGCCAATGAACTTCCAGTTGATGATGAAAAAAAAGAAAAAAGAACTTCCAGTTGCCTCCGCGTATCTTCATACAAGTCCGTCCACGTCAATTTCTTAATCCCAAATGCAACCTTTTTTATAATAACCAAATAAAAATGTGCCACTTGTAATTAAATAATACTCATAAGCAATAATATTCACCGTTTTAATAGTATGCTCTAGAACACACATAAAGTTGACCAGAATATTATTTTTTCTTATACCGGAAACGGTAACGTGACAATAAAATTAGATTAATAATAATATAGATACTAAGATGACTAGGTTATTAGCAAGAAATTGTATTGAGTAGTTATCCGTCTGTCTTAGTTGATAAGCAAATATATCAGCTACACGTTGGCTACAGCTTACTCATCCTTACCCATTCATCATTCTCTCATTACAACAATTTCCCACAAAATATATAAGAAAAAAAAACACAAAATAGAATCTATTTATTGCTATTTGGAGACGATTTGTAGACATGCACAATTTAAATTTTGATTCTTTCCTCATTGTTAGACATGAATTTATATTTTCAAAAGGGCCTACTTTTTCTAAATAATGTTCAGACATTGACTCTGTAAATTACATATAAAAATAAACATATTATACACTACATTAATATAATATCCCTTTTTATAAGAAGACATAAAAGTAGCTGTTGATTTTAGATATTTTTTTGTTGGACCGAATCAGAACTTAAGTTTTTGAATTGTTCCAGAAGAAAGATATTTATTAAAATATACGGCAATGACGTTTTTGTTTGGCCCAAAATTTTGTCTATTTATTGAGAAAATAAAGCTAAAACGGAGAAGTAAAATTAAAAACAACGCGTTGAAAAAACTGCAAATAAAAGGAGAAGGGGAGGGCAAAATTAAAACAAAACGACGCGTAGTCTACGTAGGATTCTAAGAAACGGCACAATTCCAAGTCATCTTCTTCTTCACGCGGTTTTCTTTTACCATCAACTCAATACACACACGAATCCCTTAAAACCGATCAGATCAAACAAAAACGAACGAATCAAAATTCAATCAAAAAACCTTTCGATTTCTCTCATCCAATCGAATCCAAAATCTTGTTATCTCTTTCTCTCTAACTCTACTGCACTCAGAATCTTTCTGTATAGAAAAACCCTAAGTAGGTGATGTTGCGAGCTTTAGCACGGCCTCTCGAACGGTGTTTGGGAAGCAGAGCTAGTGGTGATGGTTTACTCTGGCAATCGGAATTGAGACCTCACGCCGGCGGTGATTATTCGATCGCGGTGGTTCAAGCCAATTCCAGGCTTGAAGATCAGAGTCAGGTTTTCACATCTTCTTCTGCTACTTACGTCGGCGTATACGATGGTCATGGTGGACCTGAAGCTTCTAGATTCGTTAACAGACATCTCTTTCCTTATATGCACAGTAATAATCCCACTCTTCCTTCTCAAAATCAAAACTTGTTTTAGGATACTTACTTCTTTTGACTCTTTTGACTACGTTTTTGATGGTCAAATTTACAGATCTCTATTACCCTGATCATTCCAATATAAAAAGATTTGAAATTTGCTATGAAGTTTTGGTCTTTGTGAACATATTTAGATTTTTTATACTCACTTTTCAGGTTTTGTGGTGTTGTAATTTTGCCTTTTGAATTGATTTTGTAATCATGTTCTTGTTAGTGAATTAACAGGATTTGTTTCATGATTGCAGAATTTGCAAGAGAACATGGGGGACTATCTGTAGATGTTATTAAAAAAGCATTCAAAGAAACTGAAGAGGAGTTTTGTGGTATGGTTAAACGTTCCCTTCCCACGAAACCGCAAATGGCTACTGTAGGATCTTGCTGTCTTGTTGGTGCGATCTCTAATGACACACTGTATGTTGCCAATCTTGGGGACTCGAGAGCCGTTCTTGGAAGCGTTGTTTCAGGGGATGATAGTAATAAGGGTGCCGTAGCTGAACGGTTGTCTACTGATCATAATGTTGCTGTTGAAGAAGTGAGAAAGGAGGTTAAGGCACTTAACCCTGATGATTCACAAATCGTCATATACACACGTGGAGTTTGGCGGATTAAAGGCATTATTCAGGTATAACTTAGTTTTGCTTACTTGCGTGGGATTACATAGCATCTATCTGTGATGAAGTTTTATGATTGTGTTTTCATATTTAAAAAGGTGTAATCTGATATTGTTTTTTCGTTTCTCTTTTCATTTATATAAATGGGGGCTTGCAATGTTCCAGGAATCCGTCACACGGGCTCCTGCAACGTTTCTTCCCCAGTGGATTTTGTGCTTTTCTAAGAATTCCCGGTAGTCAGAGCTCTACATGATAATGAAGATACATGCTTTTTGGTTGCTTGTATTCGTTAATGACCTTATCGTGAATGTTGAGCTTGTTGTATATAAGTTAGCTAAATCGTTTTATATGTGCTTCTTTGTAGGTATCGAGATCTATTGGGGATGTATACTTGAAAAAACCAGAGTATTATAGGGACCCGATTTTCCAGCGACATGGAAATCCCATTCCTTTGAGGAGACCAGCGATGACAGCCGAACCCTCCATTATAGTAAGGAAGCTTAAGCCACAGGACTTGTTTCTGATATTTGCATCAGATGGTCTCTGGGAACATCTTAGTGATGAAACAGCCGTAGAAATCGTCCTCAAACACCCAAGAACTGTAAGTTTTCCCTAAACTCAAGAGCTTTGTATCTTTCACCTTTCTGTTAGCTACTTAGTTTTTTTTTTTAACTCTCTGTGATCTACAGGGGATTGCACGAAGACTTGTAAGGGCAGCTCTAGAAGAAGCGGCAAAGAAGAGAGAAATGAGATATGGAGATATAAAGAAAATAGCCAAAGGAATTCGACGACATTTCCATGACGACATAAGCGTGGTTGTAGTTTATCTAGATCAAAAGAAAACCAGTTCATCGAATGGTAAATTGGTCCAGCAAGGAGGCATCACCGCTCCACCGGATATCTACTCGTTACACTCTGATGAAGCAGAGCAACGACGGTTACTCAATGTGTTATACTGACCCTTTGATTATGGTAAAATGGTTGATTGGGAAAGATCCGAATAGGGAGAAAACTTGTTTACATATTTGTTTATTTGTTTTTCTACGAAGAATTGTTTTTTTTATTTTTATTGAATAGTGGAGTTGGATTTGTATATTCTTTTACCAGCAAAGAAGGTCGAAACACTTTTCTTTTGGGGCAAAGCAGTTTTGCTTTTGACAAACAATACTTTTGTAAGAAATATAGTGTGAAACCGTTGAGGACACTTCAAATTGTTGTTTTATGACTTGTAGAGAGATTAAGAGTTGATTGATCACAAAGTGTATTCGATAACTAATTAAAAACATGATTGATCACAAAGCAAAATAAGCCTATAAATTTCCAAATGTAGCCGAAGTTTTGGAAAATATTCATGACCGAAAGTGTGGGAAACCAAAGGTTTTGAGAATGTGAAATTGAGCATCAATTCAAACTCAAAATTCAACAATTCAGAAAATTTCCCACGGAAGAAAAAGCAAAACGATGAGCGTCACTCTTTCGGTCGCAGACGCCGTTTGGTCGAACATTGAATCAACCGGTTCAGGTACTTCACCCTTTTACTTCTTCTCTCTTTCCTTTTCCTTGTTTACGACATTTTTCCGTTGAATTTTCCCTTTTTTTTTGCAGTAACCGAAGAACAGCTCTCAATGTCAGTTCTCCCCAATCAAATTCGCTCTTATACTTGATACATGACTGAGATTATTTTTTGTTTCCGCAAAGATTATTGGTTTTTGTTCAGTCGTTTGGTATGTGGGCATGAGTTTGATTAGGGTTTTATACTTTTATCGATTGAATTTTGCAAATCCAGCTTGCATTTGTTGTTTGGTAAGAATCTTGAGAAAGCCACCAGAATAATCGACAAGAGAGGTGTTAAGAAAATCTCTGGCTTACCCAGTGGAAGATCCATCTTTCAGGTCTCACTATCAACATTTCCCTCTGGTGAATAAAAAGCACTCAGATTTGATTATCTAAGAAGATTTGTTTTTTTTTGTTTGTGTTTTCAGGTTGTGGGAGAATCTCAGAAGAGAGAAGAGTATCTCTGTTTCCCAGGAGATTACTGTGGATGTTATTCTTTCTTCTATGATGTTGTTAGCAGAGGAGAGCACCAATGTGTAAGATTTTTATTCAGATCATTCCTTTTATTATCTCTAGAGATTCTGTATCTAATGTTACTGACTTGTTATATTCTTTTTGCAAGTGTAAACATCAATTGGCTGCGAGGTTGGCTTCTTCTTTGGGTACATACAGCGAAATCGAGGTTTCAGATGACCATCTTGCCTTGATGCTCTCGAAGATCTGAAGCTTTCAATACAAGTACATGTCTTAGGCTTATACGTGCCAGTAACCTGGGAATGATCTGTGTCTTTGAGAACTATGGGAAACAAGATTCTTCACATGTTTGATGAACAATGTTGCTTCATCTTTTCTGTTTAACTTGTGCTGTTATATATCCATCAACAATGGAGTTATATGTTTTCTGATTTGGTCTAAGTGAGGCCATAGCTTCCTCAAACATTAGTAAGTACTGATGAAGGTAATGTAGATGATTTTCTTTAACTCAAAAAATTGAGCAGCTTCCTCATGGGGCGAGCCTTGTTTGCCTTGTAAGAGTGTTTTAGGTAGTTGTAATATAAGTCTTGAATTGCAACATTTTGAACTTCTTAATACAGTGGAAGAAAACTATTAATTTTGTCAAAGTAATTATCATGCATAATTTTCTGTGACTTGTATAACGAATATTAATTAACCAAGAAAAGCGTAGAATAGAAACAAACTCAAAGTTCAAAGAAAAGGAAAGAACAAGCTAAGTGGATTTAGAGTTAGTGTGAAGAAGGGTGGGGAATTGGGTGGATAGAGAACTTCATGTTGTGGTTGCAGCCTATATGGTCTCCACTGGCGAAGTAGTAAGTCTGAACCTTGCGGAGAAGCAATTTGAAGCCTCTTGATGATGAACCTCCTCGTGCCACCAGCTTCTTGCCTCTGGCCACATCGCATCTCTTGAAGCTCTTCATGTCTGGGAGCAAGTAGACGTCGTTCTTCTTCTTGTTATGGTGCTTCGTCTTGGATTGGGTTTGGTCATTGTTGTTATACTTGAAAACAAGAACATCGTTGACGTAGAATGGGGCATGCTTTGAACTCCATTCTGTGTAACCGTATCCGTTTTTCCATACAGTAACCGCAATCTTTCTTCCAGCCGGTATTGGAGCCGTGTGGTTGTGTGTTGAACCAACGATGCTTGTGTGGTTTGAGCCCGAGCTGTGATTGTTGTGTGTTGAACCAACGATGCTCGAGTGGTTTGAGCCAGAGCTGTGATTCTTGTGTGTAGAACCAACTATGCTCGAGTGGTTTGACCCAGAGCTGTGATTCTTGTGTGTAGAACCAACGATGCTTGAGTGGTTTGAGCCAGAGCTGTGATTCTTGTGTGTAGAACCAACTATGCTTGAGTGGTTTGAGCCAGAGCTGTGATTGTTATGTGTAGAGCCAGTGCTGCTTGAGTGGTTCGAGCCAGAGCTGTGACCGTTGTGCGTAGAGCCAGTGCCGCTTGAATGGTTCGAGCTAGAGCTGTGACGGTTGTGTGTAGAGCCAGTGCCGCTTGAATGGTGTGAGCCAGAGCTGCTTCCCCAACCCCAGTTTGTATCTGTTCCGTCGGAGCTCCATCCCCAACCCCAGCTTGAACCATCCGAGTTGGAGTCCGAACCACCTGAACCCGAGCCAGAAGAACCACCAGAGTTTCCGGAGCTCCATCCCCAACCCCCGTTCGAACCAGACTGGTCAGAACCCCAACTCCAGCTCCACGCTTCCGCACTCCCGGAGAAGACGAACGCAGTAACCAGGAGGATTACGAGTAACTTACGTGCCCAATAGAAACCCATCGTGTCTTCTTCTTCTTTGACAGATTGATTGCTTTCTTCTTCTTCTTCTTTTTGTTTTTTTGCTTTTGTGAGCTCTTTAGAGATTAGAGGTTCTGTATTTATAGCGTAGTGAGAGTCGGTTCCCAATTTTGTTTGAACTATGAATTTCATTATTTAGTGAATATATATATATAATAGTAATAAAAATTGGATAAATGTAGCTGTAGATATTATTGTTTAGATTTTGATGAATCTGTATCTTTTTTTTTTTTTTTTTTGCAGATACTATTAAAATTGCTTAACTTTCCAATTTCCGTTTTACTTTAGTCTTTAGTTTATGAGAGAGTGTGACAATGTGCTACGAAAGCAAGGAAGGAAGCATAGGAAGCATTGTCCTTGCTAGTATCAGTTTCGTAAACATAAATGCAAGAAGTAAGTGACATTTAGCAAGGATATAGTATAAAGTTTTGTTTGATATTCCAATTTCATATATTTTGTTCTTATTAATGTACATTATACTATATTGAATGATTCATTTTGAATCTAACATCTGTCCACCTTTAATCCAAGTTAACAAAAAATCCAAGTACCTCTTTAATCTCCCAACTACTGCGACTAAATGACCCATTTGCCTAAATGTGGTCCTTTACCTTACCGAAAATAGCAAGGACAAATCGGTCATTCACATCTCTAAAACACGCTTTGACATGTATTTATCCATTTACTTTATTATCTGTAATAAAATCCAAATAAACTCATATCTGTAAATTAGGAATCTTCTGAGAAAGTGACCAAAGCGAAGAAGAAGGTTTCCGAAGTAAATATGTCTTCCTTAGGGAGCAGCAAACCCCTGAGGGAGGAGATGGAGGTAACAACAACCGCCGATGTATTGCCGGAGGTTAACGCCGCCACGGAGACGGAAAATCTTGATCGGAACGAGCTTGTACTTGCTGACGAAGTCGTGACGGTTGAGGAAAGGAATATTGAAGCGGACAATCGTGGAGAGAGGCAGACAGAGAGCGAGACTCCTCCAGAGGATGATGTTTGCCCGATCTGTTTCGGTTCCTTTACGGTTCCGTGTCGTGGAAATTGTGGTCATTGGTATTGCGGTTAGTCTTTCTTCTTCTTCATTCTCTGAGCCATTTCATCTACATTGAAGTATCAAGCTTGTGTATTTTTGGGATGTTTCTATTCACCAGAGGTAGATTCGTAGCTCTCTTTAGGAAACTTAGAGAATTGACATCTGTTCGGTTTGTAATTGATTTAGGGTTCTTGGTAGCTAAGAATGTTTATGATCACAATGTCTACTTTTATCACAACTGATTAACTTTGTAAAGTGTTGATTTTTAAATCATGTTCTGTTCCTATGGAGTGTTGTTTGCAATGCCACTAAAAGATCTGGCAAGTTTCTTAAACCGCTTGCTGATTTTGTACAGGAAATTGCATCTTGCAGTACTGGAACTATGCTGCAATATCCAGGCCTTGCAAGTGTCCCATGTGTGTTCGACACATCACTAAGCTGTCACCAGAAGCATCTTTGCAAGAGCGCCAGGAGCAAGAAGTGAAGGAGGTTCTTGATAAAGTCCGTAGATATAACCGTCTCTTTGTTGGAGGTCTAACTGGCTTTGTTCAGGTAAGATCTTTTGATTCATGATTTTGTTTTGGTTCTCTTTACTGTTTGATGCATTTCTTATCTTTATACTTATTTCTCCTTTTATGACTTGGCAAAACCACCATCTTTCGAATAATTCAGAAGGTGCACGAGCTGCCGTTTCTAATGAAGAGAATGGTGTGGCATATGATGGATACCGATGTGAACAATCTGTATTTTCACGAAGTGCGCATCTTTGCAGTTAAGAAAATCTTACCCTGGAATTTACTTTTCATAGTTATCTTTAATATCTCTATGCACTAATCCTTCTTGTCATTCGTTGTCTGTACTAATGGCCAAGCAAGACTACACACATCTCAATCTCTGTACTCATCATCGGAGACTTTAGTTTGTATTTATTCTTGTTTTTAAAGGCCATTGCTTTCTCCCATTGAAAGATGAGAAACTAAGTTTCTTCCGGTGTTTGCAGATGTTTATGAGTACCCTGTACACTGCCGCAGAGTTTAACTTCATCCCAACGGGTAAGTTACCTCACAAATCATAAACCAGCAATGAAGGGTTAAACAATCTCAATGTGGTTCATGTGGTTCCAAGCCCTTTTTGTGTTTTGAGGCTTTAAGCTTTCCAAGATTGATTTTGCCCTTTTTCTACAGGCGGGTTCAGAATAGTGACAGTTTTTGACTACGCTGCAATCGCTATGATCCTGATTCTGCGCATAGTAGGGATATATCGGAGGAGACGCCTTGCTCAGCAGGTTAGACATCTAGCAGCTGCAGCAATTGAGCCGGAATTAGAGCAAAGGGAATTGTAACAGACACGTGAATGTATTAAGTCTTGTGCAGTTTGATCCTTGTGGATAAGTTTGGTAGTAGATCATAGAAACCTCAAGAGTCGTGTGCAGTTTTACAGACAATGATAATCCAGATGTTAAAGTATATACATATCTATATCTCCTTTTCTAACAGTGAAAATAAAATGATTGGAAAAGAGTTCTCTCTGAAAAAAGGATCTTTAATTAGATGATCAAAGGGTTGAACAGATGTTCGAAGAGAAGAAGTGGATACACAGTCTCAGTCTCAGAACCATAAAACGACGCCGTCTAATAACAAACGTTGTCGTTTTAATGACACCCCAATCTCTTGTTTTTTTTTTTTTTTTGTATAATTTATTTGTTCCGCTTTCAAATCAGTAGAAGAAACATCAATCGAGCTAATTTCTATTTCTTTCGCCGTTTCTACTTCCAAACTCAATTTTGAAAACCATCTTTTCCGATCTATCAAATCGGAGCGGCGGAGGAAGGAGAATGGGTGTCCGTGCAATATCTCAGGAGGCATTCGACGATCTCGTTAGGGAAAATGTTGAAGATCTTGGTATGGATCCCTCCGAAGCTCTCGAAGACGCTCTCTACACTCTCAAACTCCAAGGCGCCGATCTCTCTGGTCCTCTCTTTTTACTTTCCCCAGAAAACTTTCCTTAACTGGATTTATAGTTATGTTTCGAGGAAATGAATCTGCGTTAGTTCAATTGTGTGTGTTGTTTATGGCTACAGGGATCATTACTTGTGTTCCAGGAGAAAGTAGCATTAAGGACAATCCGGTGATTGCTTGTTTAGATAGACTTAAAGAATTCGATAGTGTTTCTATTGACGGACCTCTTCGAGATGAGGATTTCGATGAGATATCGAGTTTGTTCAACAATCTCAATGAGCTTTGTAGCAGCCAAGAATCAGGGAACGCAGCTATTGCGATAAAACACGGTGCTGTGGATTTAACTTGCTCGATTTGTTCCAAAATCAAGACATCTACTAGAAGTAATCGCGTTGTTGTTCCTTGTTTCAAGGCTTTGGCTGTGTTGATCCGTGGTAAGAAGACTTCTGTTCTGGAATTAGTCTTTCTTGTGTGTTTAACTTTGATTTGTGTTGATCATGTGTTATTCAATCGCAGACATTCAGAGCACAGAGAAATTCAGGAATTGTACTGGACCAAATATCGTTGTTGATCTCTTACGTGGTTCCAGCTCTGATTCTGATTTGTTAGATGCTGGTTTTGCGGTTGTTGCTGCTGCATCAACTGGTAATGAAGTCGTCAAGCAGTTATTCATGGAACTGAAAATCGATGAATTTATTCTGCAAGTGCTGAATAGAGAGAGTAAAACTACCATTAGAGCTCTGTACGATGCTATATGTGCTCTTTTGACTCCAGATGACTACCGTGTTGTTGCTTCCCAAGTAAGTAGGATTACATTCGGTTGGTATATGCCACTTTTGGACTGCGTGAATGAAATTAAGGGAAAATGGCATCTAAGCAGCTATATAGCACTTAGCATACATTTATAAATCGTTGTTTTTTTTTGTGTTTGAAACCATGTAAAAATCGCTGATAGTATTTTTTTGTGCTTATTCATGGACATGCTTTGAGAAATCAAATCAACTAGATTCTTGCTTTCATGTGTTTCAGGTTTATGGTTATGCACGAACTTTCGCCAAATTAGGGATTGCAACAGCCCTCACTGAAGCATTACAGGCAGGAATTGGCTCTGATAGCTTGGTGTCAGCAAGTACTGCGTTAAAAGCAATTGCTGTAAATGTAAGTCTCCTAGTTGAAATCTCTCTGTGATAACATTTATCTGGTTAGGTCCTTGCAAGTTCTTCATCTGGTTTTGCTGTAAACAGGATGAAATATGTAAATCTATTGCTGAAACTGGTGGAATAGATACACTTCTTCGGTGTATTGATGATAGCGGTGAGCAAGGCAACAAAACTGCTGCTAAGACATGTTGTTCCCTGTTGTCTAAGGTGAGTAGCTTCTAAAATGTTCTGCAGGCTGCCTCTATTGTCTTCACTGCCTACAGTATTTCAAAATCCTTCTTTAAAATTCCGGCTTTCAAGTATTTGCCGCACCATATTAAAGAGTAGCTTATGTTCATGTTCTTCTAATAAATGCATGTTCTCGAATTTTAAGCTTTTCCAAAGCCTAGAGTTACTGATTTAGATTAGCATCGTAACCACGCGTGAGAAATGCTGTCTAAAAATGTGTATTTTGATCTCTAGTTGGCAGGAAGTGACTCTAACAAGAGTACCATAGTTGAGAAGCGAGGTCTCGACAAGCTAATCATACTCGCACAACGATTCTCTGACGATCCTCTAGTCATACAAGAGGTAAGTATAAACCAAACGAAAACCCTCTTACGACATTATGTCCCATGCGCAATTTTCAATCTTCCTGTCTAGAGAAGATACTTTTGACTACAGGTCACGGTCTATGGCAGTTTTCCATTAGGGAGAATGTAATGTCATGTGAAGAATGTTTGTAGCACTAGGGTCTGAGTGCATAATCCTTGTGGTTGATCCAAGATATACTGGTCTGTTCAGGTCATGTTGATAATCTCTATAATCTGTCTGAGATCACCAGACCACGCAGCCAAGGCTATAGAAGCTGGAGCTGGTGATCTAGCAGTCCAAGCTATGAAGAGGTTCCCAGTAGCTGCTCAAATGCAGAGAAACGCTTGCAACATGATACGGAACATTGCTGTAAGAAATGCAGAGAACAGGTAATTGCTCTGTTCCCAATTTTTATCATCCAACATTATGCACATATCGCAAACTCTTTTATGATATCAAGTTCTGTCTGCATGCAAACTACAGAACTATTCTGCTTGCTAATGGAATTGAGAAGCTGATAAGGACTGCTAAGGCCAACAATGAGACATGCAGAGCCGCTGCAACTGATGCACTGAGAGACCTTGGCCTTGATAACTACAATAACTAAGGTCCATCTTTCTCCATTGGTTGTTATGCGCAAGAACCGGAATGGATCCAGTTTTTTCAAATTTTTCATGAACAGTTTGCATTGAGTTCATCTTTTGGGTAGAAAGCATTCCGATCTAGTATTTTTTGCGACGATAGGTTTTGTTCGAATGCTTGAGCATGAAGTAAAATTGAAAGGAAATTTTTTGAGAATTTCGGTGAAATAACTCTACTCTAAATAGTAAAACACTAAATAGAGAAACAAATGCTTCAGACTGAGATATATTCATCCACAGGACCACAACATCATGTATTTAAAAAAGTTTTTGAAGATTGCGTGTATTTTTGCAGATGTCGGTTATCTGTTAATGTATTTTTGTAGAAATCGATATTAATTTTAAACAAGGACAAAATGTTTGTTTGACTAAAGGGAAGAAAAAAGAAATGTCAAAGTGTTCATGTGTTAACCCATCCACGGGATGATCGATCTCTAGAAGAGTGTATTGGGAATATTATGTACGGAATAATGTTTGTTTAAGAATGATTAAAAAAATGTTGCAACAATCGTCATGTGGATGCGCATAAACGAAAACTTTAAATAATAAAAATGATGGGCTATGATGATGAATGCAACTCTATCGGTTTCTGCTTTTAGGTGAAGATCTGACAAACTAGCCAACAATATCTCGACATTTGTGGTAGCTTATTTTTCTTTATTTTCCCTTTTTAAATGCGGAAACGATTTTTATATACCGAAATAGAAAGCAAATCTTTTTAATGCCCATAAATACATGAGAAGTATAGGTTTCTATGATTAGCCATAGGCTTGTTTAATGCGAGTATGTTTCATCAGCTTCGTTTCAGGACAAATATACCACCTCCATATTTATTTTATAGGGCCAATTAATCCAACATTGAATTTACTACGATATTGATATGATACTAACAGAAAAACTAATTGTAAAATTAAGTTTAATTGAATAAAAATTAATTCAAAATCTGCTATTTTAAATCTCTTATCATTCTAATTTGACAATTTAAAATATAAAAATTACAATTTATTCAATTAATAAAATTATTAGAGAGAAATTAATAGTAGGAGTTATCCTAAACACGGTAAAAAAAGAAAAAAAGGCCCCAATGTTTGTCAGAACGTTGTAAGAAGAAGGGTAAATCCGTCATTTCAAACTATCTCCCAGTCCCATGCTTTGACAAATCACAATTCAACAATTCACAAAAAGCGAAAACTTCTTCTCTCTCTCTCTCATCTTTCTGTTTTGTATAGCTTACTTCAAGCTGTGGTTTAAACAGAACAGAGAAAGCTGTTTCCTTTTTATTTAGTAAGAGAAAACGGAAGCTGATAGAGAGAGAGAAACAGTGCTCAAGATCACGAGCCTCTCTTCTTCTTCTTCATCGAGCGATCAGAGGAACAAAAAGGATCTCAAGAAACCCACTTGTTGTTGGTTAGATACTTCACGGGTCTCTGAAAACGTCTCTTTCTCACAACCATAACTTGATCACCCCAATAGTCCTTCTCTCATCTCAACGGCTCAAATTCTTCCACGTCAAACCGTTGTCCATTTCCTCTGATGTCGTGGTGTCGTTAGATATTATCTCCCAGAACAAAACTCTTCTTGAGACATAGATTGAAGTCAATCACAGAGAGACAGAGGAAAGAGGTAAAAAAAATGGATCGACCAGCAGTGAGTGGTCCTATGGATTTGCCGATTATGCACGATAGCGATAGGTATGAGCTCGTCAAGGATATTGGCTCCGGTAATTTTGGAGTTGCGAGATTGATGAGAGACAAGCAAAGTAATGAGCTTGTTGCTGTTAAATATATCGAGAGAGGTGAGAAGGTCAGTTTTTATCTTCTTGTTTTTTCTCTCCTTAGTCCAATTTTACTTTATGTTTCAATTCACTAGGTTCTTGAATTCATAAGAATTCATTTTTGTGTTTTCATCATCCAATGAGAGATATGTGTTTCGTTACTTTATGGTTATGAATGGTTTGATCCTAGTGATTTACAAAATTGATTGATTTTTACCTGAAGACCAAATTTGCTCTGCTTTGCTTTTTGACTTATGTTGTATAGTGTTGTTTTGAAGGCTCTAGGTGTTTCATTCAAACGTGATATTAATGTTATGAGTTTTTGTATTTACAGATAGATGAAAATGTAAAAAGGGAGATAATCAACCACAGGTCCTTAAGACATCCCAATATCGTTAGATTCAAAGAGGTTTGTTTTCAACTTTCTTAAGCTACTTGGTTATTATTAACATTTAAGCAGAAGAGAATTCTGTATCTAATCCTCAGGTTTGCTTCAGGTCATATTAACACCAACCCATTTAGCCATTGTTATGGAATATGCATCTGGAGGAGAACTTTTCGAGCGAATCTGCAATGCAGGCCGCTTCAGCGAAGACGAGGTTGTTCTATCTTTCTTTTTTGCTTTGATGATATAATCAATGATTCAAATTGCTGAAATTTTAATATATCGTTTACTACTTTGTAGGCGAGGTTTTTCTTCCAGCAACTCATTTCAGGAGTTAGTTACTGTCATGCTATGGTAATGAGAAATGTTCTGTTTCAAATCAATGCTTCATCATCTGTGAAAATCAGCTGACTTAAGAAATTAAATTTTATGTTGTAGCAAGTATGTCACCGAGACTTAAAGCTCGAGAATACGTTATTAGATGGTAGCCCGGCCCCTCGTCTAAAGATTTGTGATTTCGGATATTCTAAGGTATCTTTTAGTTGCCAAGCATTTCAGAAACTGTGTGTTTTGATTATTGTTAGTACCTCTAAGCATTGTGTTTTTTTTTTTTTTTTTCAGTCATCAGTGTTACATTCGCAGCCAAAATCAACTGTTGGAACTCCTGCATATATAGCTCCCGAGGTTTTACTAAAGAAAGAATATGATGGAAAGGTACTCCATTTTCATAGTTCCCAAACTAGTATGTGTTAAATTTGGGCTTATCACGGGCTTCCAACTCAAAACCAATTGACAATGAGTGGATTGGCCCAAGTCCCTTATATACTACTCAAGTCCCTTCCCATCTTTCCAATGTGGGATCTTTCTCCACAGTATGATAACCATATCTTATACAAAGAACAATCTTTTTATTTTATCCTATGAGTATATATAGGAGAAACATGCTTTTTCTTGATGAAAACTCACACAAAGAAACAATCTTGGCTTTTCAAGAATTTTGGTGAAGAAAGCTATTAAGAGTCTGATTTGTATATTGATAATTCTTGAATTTTGTTTGAATTAGTCAAATGCATCATAATTGTTGTTCTCTTTATTTTTTGCATCATAATTGTTCAGGTTGCAGATGTTTGGTCTTGTGGGGTTACTCTGTACGTCATGCTGGTTGGAGCGTATCCTTTCGAAGATCCCGAGGAACCAAAGAATTTCAGGAAAACTATACATGTGAGCCTTTCACTTTCTTCATGCTTCAATAGTTGAAAAATGTAACTATGGATTCTATGATTACTTGCTAGCTAAACAATCTGTTATGTTGTGAAAACATTTGCTCAGAGAATCCTGAATGTTCAGTACGCTATTCCGGATTATGTTCACATATCTCCTGAATGTCGCCATTTGATCTCAAGAATATTTGTTGCTGACCCTGCAAAGGTAAAGGAAAGATCATGAAAGCTGCATTTGTTGATTTATATCTGAATCTTCTTTATAGTAAAGAACTTTGCATTTTGGCCCTCTTGGTTGGTTTCTTGGCAGAGGATATCAATTCCTGAAATAAGGAACCACGAATGGTTTCTGAAGAATCTACCGGCAGATTTAATGAACGATAACACGATGAACAGTCAGTTTGATGAATCGGATCAACCGGGCCAAACCATAGAAGAGATCATGCAGATCATTGCAGAAGCGACTGTTCCTCCTGCAGGCACTCAGAATCTGAACCATTATCTCACAGGTGAAACAACACAAAACATAAAAATTTCGATGTATTGACTTTTTATTGCTTCCCAATGTTTGAATTCTTCTCATTAATGGATAAACAGGAAGCTTGGACATAGATGACGATATGGAGGAAGACCTAGAGAGCGATCTTGATGATCTTGACATTGACAGTAGCGGGGAGATTGTGTACGCAATGTGATACTATCTCTATGGTTTCTGCTACATAAATGTCCAAAAAAAAAGTTGAAGAAGAATGAAGAATAACTGAATAAGATATCTTGCTTGCTATTGAGTTGGCCCAACTTTGTCTCATGGGTACACTTTGAATCTTTGATTGCAAAACACTGAAACAACTGATGGGTGTTTCTAAACAAAAGTGAAAAGTCATCAATTAGTTATTGTTATCTACTCTCTATCTCTAGTAAATTTTTGTTTGTTTTTCTAATAATCGTAGAGCTAATTCCAAAGTATTTTTGAAATTTGTTGAAAACTTACTTTTTTGCTAGTTAAAGTGTTTACCGTGATGAAACAAAATTGGTAAGACACAGAAACAAGAATTGCTAAGATTCGATCACTTTGGTTGCATTAGCACTTAATAATTTCAAACTGAAGTAAATAGATGGGGCATATCTTGAACTATATGGAAATGGGATGATGTTTCCATTTTTCACAAAAAAATTCAAAAAAAAAAACAGCATAAATGTAGATGGAACACATTCATGAATATGCATGTTATATGTTCAGACTTCAGAAGGACGTACGTACGGTAATTCGCCTTAAATTAAAAGATGCTTATTTTCGTTTTTTTTTCTTTTCTAAATATTTTTCGAATAATAAATTGATAATGAACCAGTACTTGATAGTTGCTCTTGTTCATTGAAATTAATATTATTCCTACTTTAAAAAGTACTCAATAATGTTTTCAATTTAATAAAAAAATAAGGGGAAGAAGAAAACAAGCAGTTACAACGTTTTTATTTAAAATATGGAAGCATGCATGGTTGGTCGACCTATGTGACAGTGTCTCTTGTTACTGTAACATAACGTGAATGATTTTGAGCTATAGATGAGATCTGTCTGCCTTGGCATCATTATTGTCTTCTTATCTTTGTTATTTTCTTTTAGTTTCAACTATTTGTACCATTTATTTGACCTATTCACTCTCGATATAGGCTATAGAGGATAAAATGACATTATTAGTCTTTTTTATAAAGAAAAAAACTTTATTGGACAAGGACAGTAGTCTCTCTTTTTTTTGAGCAAAAAGACAGTCGGATTTATCAAAAATAAGATATCATAAATTTTATAAATTAAGTGAAATTTTTTGTCTCCAGATTTACAGTAGCATTTTTAAAGAAAACTTGTACCAGAATAATCATGAACATATTGTAATTTTCTAAATATTTGTACCTAAAATAAAATTATCATCAAACATCTCATTATTGCCGTCAGACTTGTCCAATGGTAGCCTTGTTTGCCATTGCAGAGTTGCTCATTATTGCCGTTCTGACACTTAATCTACTAATGTTATCTTATCAGTTAGTTTCTGTATCCGGATGGTGATATTCATAAAAACAAAGGACATGATTAACTTGTTTTTTTTTTGATAAAAAACAAATTATTGACTAGTTTGAAAAGGACTAATTTATGGTGTGACCTTGGCTTATTCGACATAGTGTGGGGAGAGATCTCTATTGTGAGGATGCGACCGTTCGTTTGTGTTGCTGTTGAATGTTTCCATACGAAAACGATTTTCCACAAGCTAATGTAGACCTATTTCTGTTCATGTTACATTCTCTTTTATTTTGGTAAGTTTAATCAAAGCTTAAACTAACATATCTTTTCAAAGTTGTTGAATTTCGCTTTTACTTTCCAATTTGTCGGACAAGTATATTTCACTCAAATCAATCAAGTGTAAAGTTTTTTTTTGTTTGGTGAGATAATATTTCTTATAGTTGAGACGAAGATCTATAATTAGTAGTCCAATGAAGATTGATTGTTTTTAATTAGTTGAAAGCACTTTCAGTTTATTTTCCAATACACTTATTTGAATCTTTAGAATGAGGCACATCGAATATCTATGATTGGAAATAAATGTCAGTGTTAAGAACTTGAAAGTGAAAAACATTATTAAGAAGAAGAAGAAAAAAAAAGAAAACCATTAAAATGCTAAAATAGAAAAAGAAAAGTGAAAGCATTAAATCCCAAAGACAAAAAAAGTGAGAACATTAATAAAACGCCAACAAAAAAAAAAAGTGAAAACATTATAAAATGCCAAGGAAAAAGTGAAAATATTATAAAATTGTAAACTCAGAATTAGGGTGTGAATTGTGATTATCCAAATGCATACATCTCTGATTCCAATGGATACTGTCGGTCGTGCAGAGGAGAATGATATGTAGTCCCGTTGGTTAAAAGAATTCCGTCCTTTGGGAGCGTCCAAAAGCCACACGTTCCGAGTAACGGTTTTTTTTTTTTTTTTTACCAAAATGATTTATGTAACTGAAGTAAATTTATTTTTTTGGGAGATGGCATGACTAATATATCACACATTAAAAAATTTGTCACGTACCAAAAAAAAAAAAACATCAGAATCTTGTTACTATTTTTTTTTAATCCAACTTGAAAGCAAAAATAAAAAGGAAAAGAAAATAATCTTCTATCTGTACATTTATTTCTCTTTAGTCTTTCCTTCCTATTTTTTTATTTTTTCTTAAGTCTCTATCAAAAAGGAAACAAAAATAAATAAATTTAAAACTCATTTGGAGTGGGGACGCGTCTATGATAAATACAAGGAAGGATGAAGTGAGAGTTAAAGAAAAGCAAGATTTAAAAAAAACAGAGAAAAATGGTGATAAAAAGGATAGAGCTGTGTATAGAGCTAATGAAGATAGGTATGGAGTTTGTGGTGGTGGTGGCTGAAGCCGTCCAGATTGTTATGCGGCAACACCTCAACCACCGTGCTCCACCTCCTCCGCCTCTCCTCCGCCATGGCCTCCTCCCTTATACCGCTTCTTACCCTTCTCCTTTCCTCTTTGGATTTCTCCCTTGAAACCCCTTTTCTTGCTTTGAAATTATTCTGCTTCTTTTTGTTCTCTATGTAGATATTTAGATGTTGTTCTTGTTGATTCTTGTAACTCTGTATATTTCTTAATTTTTTCAACCAGATTTGCAGCTCTCTATTGATTTTTCGTTCTTTCTTGATGTGATCATTTCTTTGGATTATCTTCTAACCATACAATTTGCAGAGTTAAAATAAGTGAACAATTTGGTTGAAGAATAAGACGTGTAGCGGAAACAATTTGCCCCCCTAAGTCCAGGTTCAACTAAAAAATTGTTGGTTTTGCCATGTTTCCTCATGATAATATTTTAGTACTACACGACAAGTTATTCAATTAATTCTTTATAAAAACAAAAAAGGTTATTCAATTAATTATTATTAATCTTGTTAGTCTTGGAGAGATGCCTTGACATTCTGGGTTTGAACTTGGACTTTTTCCTTAGTGTTTGAGAAGAAAAAAGATTCTTAAGAATAAAATAAAAATTGAATATCGTTAAATCGGTTATTGGAATTGGATATTATCTCCATAATGAGTAATTAGGCAGTAGCGCAGTTGACTTATCTTGGGGTTAATTTTGTTAAAATAATTCACAAAAATATCTACTACAAAGCTCAACAGTTTTTCAATGATTTTTTTTTTTTTTATGTATAAATAAGAGTTTTCCAAAAATATATAGATAAGAAAAATGTATGTTTTGTTTGTATACTTCTTCCATTATCATAATTTGTTACTGTCGACCTTCATTATCATATATATATCCCTTTCACCGTGGACCGTGCCACCGTGGACCATGAGAAAATACGTATGTTTATTGCATATACGTCCAAGTTCCTCAAATATCGCAAAAAAATTCTCAGTCTCTCTTACCAATACATTAGTAAATTCATCCTGTAAATGCCAGACAGAAAATGATTAGTATAGTAATAAAATAGGCATGAAATCGTGTTTTATTAAGCTAATATTGATACAATAAATTATAACTTTTCTTTAAAAATAAGTCACCAAGTAAAATGTATAGTAAGTAAAGACCCGTATTATGACCACTTAACTCAAAATTAATTGATAATTAGTGGTAGGATTTTTTTTTTTTTTTTTTTTTTTTTTCGACAAAATCAGATTTCATTAATTATAAAAGTATTACAAAGACATTATACAGAATTACTGTAACACAATTATTACATACGCGGCTGTATGTGCCATACACTAAGAAAAATACAGCAGAAGGGAGATTGACGATGCTTTCCGAAGAGTAGTCTTACTCGCTAACCGATCATACGATCTGTTATTGTCCAACTTCATATTTGATTTTTCTTTGTTACGATTTGCATGCAGCATCTTGTGGCTGAACTTTCTTTTTGCGAACCGTAACTGTAAACCCGATGTGTCCAAACATAACTCTGAAATGTAGACATAATGGTACCAAGGCTTCCGTACCAAAGTCTTTCTGGAATATCTAGCCTCTGCAACTTTCTTCAACATAATCACAAATAACTTTACCGTAGTAGCAATTGCAACCTTAACATCCTTTGAGAACAACTTCTTGCCAGATTTTAGCGAATCTCTATAGCTTACCGGGAATGACCATAGATCTCGACGTAATATCCGGTTGATTAAAGAAACAAGTTGTGATGTGATTGATTCTACAACACGCTCAGCATCATCATCACCAACAGTCCACCCGTGTGGAATTTGAGAAGTCATAGTCCATAGATTTTGTTTTTGTGGATTCAAAGATACCGTAACAAGGAGGTAATGATTTGCCGTCGCCATCTGTTCTATATGGTCCATAGATAGAGTCATGGGAAAAGCATCAATTACAATGTGAATTCCTTGATTATTGCGTCCAACTTGATCTCTGAAACTTTGAAATCCTTGATGCGCAAATTGCAATCCATTCAGCCATGACGGTTTCCTTAGTCGATTTTCAATCCTCCGAGATTCTATCCACATACGAATGGTTTTGAGATTCTTATTTCTTATTTCTTCCCACCATTGTTTCTTAGAAACCATCCACGACGATACATGCCAGAGATCACAAGATGATTGGCCGAATGAGAACAATCCATTACCGTATTCGACGTAAACGTATTCAGTCCCAAATATAACCAAGTTGAAGCCGATGGATTCCGGGATCAAAAACCCAAGTGAAACCTCCATTTTTGTTTGAGAACCATACCCGATACGATTTCTGAGAATCTCAAGCCCTCCAAGCAAAGTGTGTACGCCATGGATTCCGGGATCAAAAACCCAAGTGAAACCTCCATACCATCGAGTAGGAGGACATTCACCGGTTAAGAACCGGAAATTCCACCGGCAAACACCGGAAATAAACCTTCTAAACGGAAGGACATAACGATTCTTTCGAATCGGAATTGGATTGACCCAAATTTGAGAAAATCTCCAATTGTTACGGAAAAGAACAGATGCTACTCCTGCCACACTCGGATACAAAAATCTGAATACAATTTGAGTGTGTTGTAACGCTACCCAAATTAGAGATGGATCCGTTATCGAGACCGTGTAATGAATTGAAATCGTCGGACTCGTACCAATCATCACCATCGTTAAAAGGAGGGCAAAAAAGAGGATTTGTGATACTGAATTTGTCATGAAATCACCTAAATCAATATTGAAAGGGAAGATAAGAACAAAAAGGAAAAGGAAGAGCCGACCGACGCCGGAGAAGCCAGCGCCGGCCGGAATCAAATGCTGAAAAGGAAGTTTTTTGTCGGAGAGGTGCCTTTGGGGAAATCGCCTTGGTAGGATTTTTTTTTATAGTATATAGTAGTGTACTAGAGTTGAATCATCTCCACTTAATGTAGAATATTTAAAAGAAAGTTTTTTCGAGATAATGATATTTTGGCTAATTTCATATCGGAATAAATTTTTATTTTTATTTTAAATCAGTTATACTATTTGGATTGGTAGAACTCTAATATCATGTGAATATGTATCCAACTCAAATCAATTAACATTGAGTAGAAAAGTCAATATCTCTTATATACTAATGGTGATTCTTGTTTCACTTTTTGATGTGGAATATTCTAACACTTGGTTCATTCTTTATGTCCAAATTTCGAATTCATAATCTTAAATTAAGTTTCATAAAAACATGTATATAACATATATCAAATTTGATATCCAATCGAAGAAAAAGTCGAATGGTATTTAAAATAATCCTCCATATAAATAGATGGGATTCTAGTTAGTTAATTACTAGTATTAGTTTCGGTAAAATGAAAATACAGTATTAAATTAATAGTATTAGGGATTTGGATTGGTTATGGTTAACAGTTTTGTCTTGTACACGTTAGATACCAAAAGCTGGTCTGATGGAAACAGACTCAATTATTTGAAGTTGGGAGAGGAGATGTCACTTGAACTTAATGCAATTGTGATGTCTTTCTCAACTAAGTACATTATCTTTTTTTTGCTACGAACCATATTAAATTTTAGTTGACTCCTAAATTAAAATGAGTTATTGGTTTTTTTTTTCGACAAAGAGTTATTGGTTTATGAGTTGACTACTCAGCTGGCATTATCGGATCAGATTGACATTTTTAAAATATACATGTAACACATTCAAATCATGTTACAACTTATGTTGAACTCCGACCGAATATAATAATGAAAACAGTGCTTGAAAACTCGCTTTCTTGGTCGAGCCCATGGATAGCATTTCATTTATTGTACTTTCATAGAGATGCTTGAAATCCGAATACATAAGAGACTGCATAATTCAAGTTTCTACACGAATCATTAAGCGTCTATATGATTTGCCGTACCGTTTTACATAAAACGGTACACCATGTAAGAGAGCGGTACAGAGTTACCATTCAAACCCAACATATGTGTATATATAGTACTTTTTTTTTTGGGTAGGAATGTGTATATATAGTACTTATATATAACTTATATATTTCGCGAGTCACGTAACACAACATCTCACATTAATGAATCGGTTGGCTGGCAATAATAAAAAATTTTACGTCGTTATCAATTAAAGTATTTTTTGTTCATATTTCCCGAGAATAATTGTTGAAATTAAGACAGGAAGAAACATTAATATGGAGTATTAAAAAGTGTTGCGAATAAATACCTAGGCTAAGTAGGTCAATTTAATTGAATTTAGTTCTGCTGAAAACAATTTAATTGTAGACGCGAAGTCAGTCATATCTGCAATTCCAAAAGAAGGCGGATGCATACGGCAATAACTAATGATACTGAACATGGATGAGAAATGAGCCTGATTCAGTTTTTACATAAAAGACAAAAAGCTCTATCCATTCTCTTTTTTTTGTCGGATCCATGCTCTTTTCAATAAATATATAAGGGATAACAAGTAGTATTTTGTTTTTTTAATAGGCTTACTATTGATTGAACAGAATGAGAAACAAAAGTGTACAGAAGCCCATCCTTAGGCCCAATAATAACAAGTTAACAATTAGATTATGGGCTCGATAATTTCTAAGGTCTTTTTAGGAATTGCAAGGTGTCAATTAATAATCGGACGTTGAGATTCTTTTTTTGATTAATCAGGTGTCAAGAATAATCGATCTTGCTATAGGTTATTTGTTTAGACAACTGCATTAGTTAAAAGAAGAGAGTATAAATCTGTATCGACCATAAGAAGTTGTAATGTACAAATTTTATACGACCTCTTGTAACAACAACTCATTTACACATTACCCTTCATTTTTTTCTTCTTCTTTTTTTTTTGGATATGGCAATTTTTTCTTTTCTCTTCCTCTTCCTCAACTTTTTTTCTTTTCATAGTTTTACTACAATAAGTCCAAGACGATACAGCTGCTACTCATATATAGAATTCTTCTCTCCTTGATTGAGTTTAGTAGCCTGAGAACATTGGTGGTGGTGGCGATGCGTATTGGTGGCCGATGAACGGCGGTATGATGAATTCATCATCACTTGGAGCTGGTGCTTGAGCCGGTGGGGAGTTGATCTTGGGCGGTCTTGGCGGAGGAGAGTAGACTACTGGTGGAAATTGCGGCGGCGGTGGAGAAAAGATCGTTGGCGATGGTGATGGTTTGAGTGGTGTTTCTGGTGGTGAACTGGCCTTCGGCGGGTGAGCTGGAGGAGAAAAGACCGGTGGTGGTGGCGAGTGTACTGGTGGCGGCGGTGAATGAACAGGTGCTGGTGGCGGTGGGGAATGAACCGGTGGCGGCGGTGAGTGAACCGGAGGGGGTGGTGGCGAATGGACTGGGGGCGGCGGTGAGTGAACAGGTGGCGGTGGGGAATTTACTGGAGGTGGGGGCGGTGGAGAGTAGACTGGAGGTGGTGGCGGTGGCGAAAAGACAGGCGGTGGCGGTGGCGAATACACCGGTGGTGGTGGAGGAGAGCGGACTGGCGGTGGCGGAGAGTGAACAGGTGGTGGTGGAGAGTGAACCGGTGGTGGCGGAGAGTGAACAGGTGGAGGAGGAGGTGGTGGGGAGTAAACTGGTGGTGGTGGAGAGTTTACCGGGGCCGGAGGAGGAGAAGAAACCACCGGAGGTTGGAATTGATGAGGTGGAGGAGGGCTGCGCCTGTTCGTCACTGGAGATTGATCATAAGGATCATCCGGTTGAGGTGACTCTTTTGGTGGTTGTGGTTTTTGAACCGGCCGAGATGGAACTGGCGTAGTTGGAACTGGCGATGGTTTGTCAACGGGCGTAGTTGGAACTGGCGATGGTTTGTGAACCGGCGTAGTTGGAACTGGCGATGGTTTGTGAACCGGCTTAGTAGGAACTGGCGTTGGTTTGGGAACCGGCGTAGTTGGAACTGGCGTTGGTTTGTGAACCGGCGTAGTTGGAACTGGGGATGGTTTGTGAACCGGCGTAGTTGGAACTGGCGTTGGTTTGTGAACCGGCGTAGTTGGAACTGGGGATGGTTTGTGAACCGGCGTAGTAGGAACTGGCGTTGGTTTGGGAACCGGCGTAGTTGGAATTGGCGATGGTTTGTGAACCGGTGATGGTTTCGATGGAGTAGAAGAGCCACCAGCGCACTTGTCCTTGCTACAATCAACCGGGCGGTTAATCACAACCGCACATTCTTGGGAGGATCGTTGGTCAGGTCGAGCAGGCAAGCAATTACGTGTGTCGTCCAATGCAATCTCCTTGCGACCACCACCTGGAACACATGAACCACCTTGTCCATTGAAGTAATTGTAAGAGTAAGTGAAGTTCACCAAATTAGGCAAGTTGCAAATGTTATCCGGTACAAGTCCGGTGAGTTTGTTCCCGGAGATATCAAATTCCTCCACACTTGTTAACCCGACAAAACTAGTCGGGAGACGACCTATGAACGAGTTCTTGCTTGCATCGAAAACTGTTACATTCGATAATTTCCCGATTTCAGATGGGAAACAACCTCCCAAATCATTGTCCATAAAGACAATCTCGTTGAGATTCTTCATGTTTCCGATACTCTTAGGGATACATCCGGTGAATTTATTGTTAGCAAAAGTCACAACCGAGGCTGGAGATTCCCCTAGAGATTCAGGAATCACCGAGGTGAATCTGTTGTCGTTCAAGAAAATGGCGTCAAGTTCTTTCTTGAAAAGCTCAGGAGGGACTTGACCTTCGAAATTGTTGAACCTAAGGTCGAAGTATTTGACATCAGGCCAAGAAAGGACGACGTTAGGGAAAGGTCCAACGAAACGGTTGTTACTAACATCGAATTCGTGCATTAGCTTCAGCTTCTCAAAGCTTTTAGGTATGATCCCGCAAAACCGGTTTGAATTCAAATGGAACATAGCAACATCCGTCATCAAACCAAGCTCAGCAGGCAAATGCCCTGCGATATCCGCACCGTTGAGGTCAACACCAGCTACAACTGTGACATCAGAATCATCAAGAGCCGGCGCACAAACCACACCGGTGTAGCTGCACACGTGCGGGCCATGCCAGTTTCCTGTGGTGTTAAACGGGTCTGAAAATATGGCCTTTTTCCAGGCCTGAAGAGCTATGTAAGCTCTCTTAAGCCTGGTGTTGGCAAATGTAGCCTTGAGATCAACCTCGTATTCGATATCATCAGGAAGTTCGCCGTTGTCTGGTAAGGTTAAGAGCTGTCGCTGAACAATGAAGGCAGCTTCTGTATCGGTTAGGGCAAATGAGACAAAGGAAGAAGATAAGAAGGAGAAGAATAAGAGGAAGAAACAGCAGCCGAAGGACGGAGGTTTAGCCATGGCTAAAACAAAAACCTTGGAAAAGACCCAAGGCTGCTTATAGAAGGGCATGAGAGGGTTCGAGGACACAAAGGTGTATTATTAATAAGCCAACGGTTTTCATTTTGCAATCACCAACGATTTCCCTTAACATAATTTGTCTATAATTAGGGCAGCTCTTGTTTTTAAGGATTTTGCTTCAGATCCGGAGGATGTATTTATCAATAATAGAAATTGTGGTTAAAGAAACAAGTAAGAGAGCTAAAGCAGAATCTCTAAAATCAAAACCGGTCACTATTATAGGACACAGCCTTGAAAACGAGTGGTTGTTGATTCATTACCGAACATCACGCAAAGGCACAAAACCTATTTGTCTTTCACTATTTACGTGTGCTGCAAGATACATCCCCTAAAAGATCACAATACTGTATGCAAATCCAAGGAATCATAAAACAAACTATGGTAAATTCATTGGTTTTTCACATGATCCTCAAAAGATGCTCTCTGTAGTTTTCTGATCTACAATCGCTTGTACGCTACAGCTCTGAACGCTTCAATTCCCTAAAACGATCAATATTTCTCACTTCTTATACTTGCAAGCTCATTGATCAGCCACATCAACCTTCTAGAGTTTCAAGATCCTCAGGGTACATGTCAATAAGTTTCCATCCCTTACATAATCATATTGATAATCGAATTCACCATGGTAAAAACGTTATATTTTAGAAGACAACAATTGTGAACAAGGTGAATTTCTCTTAAAAGTAGCATGGAAACAAAAATCATTTACCAATAAAAGAATTTATAAATTCATAAAAAACATTGTTCAAAAAATGAAGACAGAAGTATAATAGATAGATGTTATTTGAGATAAAAAGAATAAAATTGCCGATAGATGCTAATACTATCAGATACATTTTTTTCCCTAGTTACCATTAGACAAAATTTAACAGAAACAAAAACCAATCCTATTTCTATATCCCATTGGATTCCTTTATAAGGAAGGCTCTCTTTAGCCTCACGCTATACAACAAACAAAACCGTCTCCACATTCGTAACCCACACCTTCTATTCTTCTTTATCTCTATTCATGGTAAATTCATCTACACTTCCTAATGCTTTCACATTCTGGGCTTCACCATCCTTGCCGGCACAACCTGAGAATATGTAGCAGCCACTTTAGCAAAACTTCACCAACACAAGTGAAGTTGTTTGGTATGTGTTCTTTATCTATATTTACCTGATCCTCCTTCAATGAACTATCATCGTTATTTGCTTCTCTGTCTCGTTTTCTGCTCACCTCTCCCTTCTCTTCTTCTTCTTCTTCTTCTCTGAAATTCTGCCCTGACGCCTCTGTAAGTACAATAAAAACCAATGGAGGCCAGAGTTTAGACTTTAGACTTTACGTAATTTCACCATCAGGTAGATGAGCATACAAGTTCTACACAAAAGACAATTCATGTGTGGGCCGGGTGATAAATAGATATAGCAGACCAGATCTCATACATGTCCTTCATTTCTTTGATTCTCAGCAAGTCATACCAACTCTAAAGCAAAGCCTTCTAAAAGCCAATGCAGAGTTAAAGGACTTATTTAATCAAAAGTTTCAGTATAGTATAGTTTAATTGGGTACCATAAACCAGAAGAAGAAATAAAGACAAAAAGGGAAGATGTCAAACATAAAACTCCCAAGAGGAGTTTAAACTAGGCTAAGCAAATGTTACCTGAGTGTTTGGTTTCTTCATGACATAACACATCTCCTTGGACAGCAGTTCCCATGGTGTAATTTCCCTTGGGATTTTCAGGTTTAGTTCTCATTGATTTTTTCTGAAAACGAAACTCAGATGAAGTCTCCAAATGAGCTTGTTTCCTTCCAAAGTTAACCTTCTGCCAGCAGCCATTTTGTAGGACCGTAAACTGCAAAACAAGGATGTTGTAAGTTTCACTAAAGGATAACAAAATAAATGAGGTCACAGAAGAAACAGTAAGTAAACCCCAAACCTGATCAGTCGATTTGTGAGAGTTAGACTGCACATCACGCGTTCTATAAAGTCTCTGAGTCTCTCCTCCAAGGAAGGAATACAACTGCCTAACAAACGAGCTCTCTAAATAATCAAGATATGAGTTGTGTTTCTCATTCGTCCAACCATCACATTCATCCTGCAGAAAGAAACACTAATGATGTGAATCACACTAGGTAGGAAGAATTTAAGAAGAATATAAAGAGTAGGACTTGTCAAGAAAATCAACCATCACAACACAATGAACAATTTAGTATTCAGCTACAATTAAGAAACCATTTTTACTTTTTTACCACACAATGTATGAAGACAGCAAATCCACTATTGGCACAACACATTACATGAGTAAATCAAGAAGTAAACAATAGTCTGAGATGCAATAATTAAGCCAAAGGCATTTTGAACAATATCATTAAAAAGGGTGGTATGTACCACTAATCACGAACTCTAATTACTCAGAAAACTAGTTTAAAGCTAGGATATTTCGATTTGGCCATTGGAATGGTTTTGATTGATACAGAGATCAAGGATTAGTTATAGATCATCAGGCATCAGATTGCCTCGGCTTCCAAGACTTGTTGAACAATCAAAATCTTCTGCTAATAAGGGGAAGGAAAAAGAAACCCAAACAATCACATTAAGCAAAAAAAAATTGGATGGTCAAATTTTGACAAATTTGCGACATCAGTTTTCACAGTTTGGATAATCAGAGATTAAAATTACCAAATCAAACAAAATCTCCTTGAAATTAATGAGTATGCTCCTATACTCATATAGAAACAGATCTGATGAAGCTATACCATAAATTAGTTTCTAAATCGATAAGAACAAACAAAGTAAACCATAAGATATTTTATTTCCTCGTAACTTTGGCTCTGTGGATTACGAAAATATCTAAAATCACGATACGACAAGAAGCAAAAGATGAAACTTTTATTCTCTCATAAACGAATCAAGTTAAAGGTCAAATTCGACGAATCTCCTAAATATCGAACAGAGAAAATATCAAACGAGAGCTGTGAAGGAAACAAAAAGCGAAAGGAAGATTTTTATTACCAGTTTGGAATCAGCATCAGCACGAGAGGTCTCAGCCGTAACACCGGACTCGAGCGAGTTCGAAAGAGTCGACTCGCTCTGAGATTCAGCCGACGACTCGGCAACATCACGATCCATCTCAAGAGAAACAATATTCACCGTATAATCATTCTCCATCGCTGCTCCTTCTCTCCGGTGCTAAAAGAATAAAACTGAGTCTCTCTCAGGAAAAAAAATGGTTTCTTCTTCGAAAGAGCGAAAAGGAGAGAGCTTATTGCTTAAAGAGAGAGAGAGAAAGGAATGAGAAGAAGAAGGAGATGAAAAAAGAAAATAGAGAGAGACAAAAGGTCCACATGGCGTCGCTTTTACACGTGTCAGGGTATTGCCACGTCATCAGGGTCGCTAATAATATCTTGGATAAATATCAGCCAGATATTTATTTGAGGAGGTTCTGTTAAAACAAAAATGATTTTTTCTTTTGTCAACTTATAGATATAGGATAATGGATGCTCTCGTCCCAATTAATAAATACGTCAAGAATTGTAATTTCTTTTTGTAATTTGGGTTCTTGTCTTTTATGTCATTGTTTCATTTTTTTATTTTGACATTAGATTTTTTTAAGAAAAAAAGTTAAATTAAGATCTGATCAGATTTACACCGAAACCTCTTTAGCAAGTGGTTTGATCACATGATTTTTTTTTTGGTAAAGAAAGACCAGAATTCGTATGAGCTTCTCTCTCTAGGGTTTGATCTTACATTTTCTATAATATATATGGATAAAGTTGGCTTGATGCGGTTTTGGTAGCAAATTATTAAAAAACACATTAAATTTGTGGTGAAATGTTGAATACCAAGATTAAAGTGGAGCTAATCGACATAAAAACTGATCTCAGCTTTGTATATAAAACTTGAATGTTTTACACATTTCAGAGTTTTAAGGTAAGTACATCCTTCCTTATCAATGAATTATTGGAGATGACAACTTGGTCAGCTCAAACATAAGAGATTCTCGGAAAATGTATTGAACATAAGTTGGTCCAACACGCAATAGTTATAAAATACTCCAGTCAGGATCGGATGAACAAGTCTGATGCTCAACATGATATAATATAGTATAGTTAAGTTTACATGTCATTTGTTCTTTCTTCGTATAGAAGGGCAAACGGTTTGTCACAATTGCACTATTTAACTAAGAATTACAAATAATATGAGAAATAAAATTGAAAATAAAATGTGAATGCATGTTATTGTTAAGCTAAAAAAAAATTCCTCATTTTTTGCAATGCTGGTGGTACAAAACATGGTATCCGGTAAATTTGTAACATCTATAATAATTTTTTTGTCATCTCTTTAATGCTTTAGAGTTTAGAGTTTAAAGTGCTGATCGAAAAAAGAGAAAAAAACAATAAAAAATTGTTAGTTTAAACAGTCACTTAACTTTCATTATACACCATTTGAATTTGGATAATGAGATAACGCGAAGAAAAATTAAATATTATGATCTAAAAATAAAAAAGTTGATAGGATAAATCCGGAAAGAAAACTAATTAAAATTAGCCATTGGTTTCGCAAATATCCATTTGAGCTACGAGACATTTGCTGACGTAGGGGCAGTGGTTGCTTCAAAATATCTGCCGCTTCGTTCGTTACAAACAAAAATATCTGCCCATTTTTTTTATACAACCCAAACAAATATCTAGCTATAACAATAGTAGTTTTCTAATGTAGACCACTTCTTTATATCCTCATAATGTAGACCACTTTGCTATTTGTTGGATAAAATGTATCCTTTTTTATAATCATATAGACTCTATCTTAGAGATATGTACAAATCGATTGAGATTTTCTTTTTGATATCCTCCTTTTTTGAACTCTATACCAATATTGTACATTCTAATGAATAATATATGACTTTACAAAGTTTATAGTAGTCAGAGTCTAGATCAAAAACAAAAAATAAAACAATAAAAGATCGATTTTTACAAAATTTTGAAATAATTATATTGCCTCCACCGTCACCTACCGCGGATTCTCTCATTTCGGTGAACAATGTCAACCATCACCCGATTAGCAATTATTAATCATCTCATGTGGAGCCAATTAATAAATATCAATAATCTCATGTGGAGCCAATTAATATTTTCTAGATTCTCTATTTAGATATATATGCGTACAGATCCATCGAGATCATTCTCCTTATTCCTTAAAATCCTCCCATGTACTCTATATCAACCTTTGTACATTGTTACGAATAATATACAACTTTATAAGCTCTTGATAGCTATTACAACATACGACATTATTATTATACAACTATGTAAATATTGTAAACTTGTCTCTAATGCATATGTGGGAAGTAAGTAAATTACTCGCTTTTTTTTTCTCTCAAGTCTCTAACACTACCAATGTTGTCGTGGGTTTGAAACAAATGTTTTCTTAAGAAAATCATATGTTCTATATAGTTGTTAAAGCTAATTATATCTAATTTCTTTTTGGAAAAGTATATAAACTTTTTTTACGGTATTTGATATCTATTCATTCGTACGTATTGCATGACCAAATTTCACATAAATTTTTTCACTATTCATACTATGTAATGCTTCAATAATCATGTTTGTGGTTTTTTTTTTTTTTTTTTTTTTGTGTGTACTCTGTTTTTTTTTTCTTAAATCTATACAATTAAAAATTTGCAAGTCTTGTCAATTGAGCATGCAACACCATAAATCATATCTCCTGTTTAATTTATAGAACTGAAAACTTTAACCACGATAATTTACGTCTTTTAACCTTTTTTTATACCATGTTTTGAGAATATTGATGTCTCTTACTAATAAAGCATGACATCCTCCTCATCGTAGAATCCCAGTAGTTGTGTGTGTTCTGTGTAATCTCCATTTTTCTCGTTTTGACTAATCTCTAGTTAATAATTTGCGACATGCTTAGTAGATGCAATTCCATAAAAAAATATACATTTGGTAATTTTGCATAACAAACTATCCATCGCGAAATTATGACTATGTTATATCTATTATTTGTCTCAAATTTTCGTCTTTAGTCATAGTAATGCTACCATTTTGTGAACTTCATGAGAGGCAAACCAACCGCCCACATACACAACTGGTCACCGCAATGCTTAATGACATAAAAATGAGACACTTATACATATATGTTCATTACCAACATTACATAATTTGTAATACTTGATATAGTATTGCAACATAATTGTAATTCTTGAGAATATATACATCCTAACCCTCCCATGATGTTTTAGATAATTTGACGCTTACACATGTCTCTAAGGCTATGATTCATATCTCTAAGAGTTTGAGAGAAAGCAAATATACAATTCTTTCGACCAATTCACAAATAATCCATAGAACCAAATTAACCATATAAACAATACACACACACACAAATAAAAGCAAACAGATAACAATTATTGAAAATCACATTGAAAAAGAATGAAATTATAATTATGGTTAACCATTAATTAGATTCTAAATTTGAATTCTCTAAAATCGCATCTATTTTACAAAACTGTCATTCCTCTGTACATGACATCAGAACAAACAAACAATAATTTCTCAAGAGGTAATTATAAAAAGAATAAAAGGATTATTATCCTTAATCATTATGCAAACATCAATTTGGTTCGCCGGAGAATTGCCTCACCGAACAAGCAACCACCTGAGCCCATTGCTTCAACCTCAGCTTCATCGTCTCCGGATCATCACCTTTTCAATTTCAATTCTCCACCGTCAGTTTTTTTTTTTTACAATTCTAAGAAAACAGAGAAAATCAGAAAATTATTCACATACCTTGATCGACGATCGTCGTGCTCGAATTGCTGTTTTCACCTTCCGATGCGATAGACGAAAGAGACGAAGTCCGTGACAATCTGCTACTATACTGTTTATTAACGGCACAGTATAAACCAAGAGCTGGAAGAGTTTCCGAGAGTCTCGGATCTAAATCAGGCGAATCCGGCTCGAATCCGAATCCAAGCTCGATGCATCCCTTGAGCTCTTCTAGATCTTCGTCCGTCACACTTTTACTCCGACCAAGTCGGCCAGATGGTTTCTTTCCCTTCTTCCGAAGCCAAGCTTCTTCTCGATCGGCATCCGGTGACCACGAATGTTGTTTTACTAGCGGTCTAGGCGGTGGTTCCGCCGGCAGAGCGTTGCGTTTTGACATTTTGAAAGTGGCTAGGTTTTCATTTGTTTGGGTTAATCCCTCTCCGTTGGTTCGATTGTGTTTTAATTTGATACGAAAAAACGCGTGAGGAGCACTTCTAATATTTATATACACATATATGATTTACTCCATAGCCATAAATGTTAAATTCGAGAAGTGCCCTATACTTTATACCATATTTTCAGATTTCTCGAACTTTTAGTTTGACTAAAATTGGTATAATGTATTTTATAAATGGAAAGATAATTATCATAAATGGGAAGATTTCCTCTATATTTCAATTTGAATCAATTGTAGTTTACCTTTTTACCAGCCACGAAGCAACACATTTAATTAGTTAGATTAGATGTCATCATGATGTCGTAGATAAATAAAAGGGAATCATTACATTATACAATATCACTAAAATTCGGCAAATACCTATTTAAGTGCTCAAACAGAAGAAAGAAAAAGAAGAGGACCAAATCAGAAACTTCACAAATTCTGTGTCTCGATTTATAAAAATAACATACTTACATCGTAAAATCAAATAGTGACATCGTTGACCGCGGCAGAAGAAGTAAAAAATGGAAATTAACAGAGAAAAGCGACTCGGACAAAAGTATCCAATTTGAGTCAACCGGATCCGGTCCACAGCTGGTAATATTTTTAACAAACGTGGCCATTAAACTAACATACTAATAATGCTTTCTCATTCTCTAATCTCTATCAATAATTATAATTATTGGGGTTGTTGTTGTTGTTGAAATTATACAAATTCAATAAAAACGATTGGAGTTATCGTGTTCATTTTTACTAAAATAATAAAGTCAGTTTATTTCAAGAGGGAAATCGATCACATAAATAAATAAAGTCATTCGATGTTTCATGAAACGATTACCACCAGCTTTGAATTTGATGTGTGTTTACGTAATTATTACCTCCGACAAACTAATTAGAAGATTGATTACACTGTTTCAACAAAAATGTAGATATTTCTCTTCTTTTTTTGACATCATGAAGATATTTCTCTTAAAGAGGAAAAAAAAGTTCCAAATTTTCTGTAACTTAATAAACTATTAAAACAAAGCATGCGAGGATTCAACGATTGAAACCGTTCACACGTCTCGTCCTTTGCGAGTGACTTTCTGCTAAAGTAAACCACAAGCTGTCCACATGACTACGACAGGCTGTGTCCATGGCGGAAATAAAGAAGCTTTCTTTGTTGTGACTTAACATCCTTTTGAGTTTAGTGTTTGCCGGTTAGAGGTTTGTTTCGCTCCTTGTCTATACACTCAAGACCTGATCGAGGTCTGGTCAGTTCATGTCTTCTAACGAGGCGATTAAAGGTCGTGGTTTGCGACAAACGCCGCTTCCGAAAGATTTGTGGGATTTGGTCTCTTTGTCTCGCGTCTTTCTTGTCGGAATAGAAGTCTAGGTTCAATCGATTTGAGAGGTACCTTGGCTACGCAATAGGAGGTTTCGTTAACTGCAAGTTGGACGCGTGTTGTCCTTTGTGGCTGGCTTTGTTCACATTGGTGTGGGAGTAAGATTGGCAAGTTCGTTTTCTTTCGAGCTTTTGTTTAAGTTTTTGACTTTTGTTTCGTTTTTGTGGATTGTATTCTCCACGTGTTCAACTGGTTCCCTCTTTTGGGCTTTCGCTTCCCTCTTTTGGGCTTTAAGTTTCCGGGGATTTCTAGTGTTTCCGCCGGCTTATGTATTTCAACAATGTATCCTTCTTTGTGATATTAATAAAACAGACGACAAAAAAAAAAAAAAGACTTAACATTCGTAAGCAAAGTTGGAATCTTTTTCCCACCCAAAGTCTTCCTAGACCAAGAATAAACCGGTTCGCAGTTGATTGGAACCGGTTTTTGAATATCGTCTCATTGGTTTTCTATGCCATCACCAGTAATCACGACAAGAGCAGACTCCATTCTTGAAATGATGAAACCGGTTTGAATCCCTCACAATGATCTCTCTCTCTGTGATTTTCGATATGAACTTGGTTACGCTATGGCAATCACCGCAAACCCTTAGATTCTTAAAAATCCGAATCGTTGTCTTTGCAGGAGTGGTGATAAGTGCAAATGCCATAGCCAATCTTTCACTATGACTCATGAGGATATGCTCTTTCTCATCGTCTTCAACATCCTGTAACACAAATCTATGGTCCGGTACATACCCAACCATCTTCAGTTTCTCGTGTAATGCCGTTAATTCTCTGTACATCTCTTCATACATTGGATGCGTTTGGTTTCCCGTGTAAAAGACTTCCACTTTATTGTCTACTTCCATTGAGCTCCAACCCGGTGTCTTCCTCAAACCTTTTCCACGGGTGATTGACCGTATTTCATCAACTCCTTCCCATTTTCCAGCACTAGCATACATGTTTGACAATAGAACGTGATACCCGACATGCTCGGGTTCAACCTCGAACAAATGTTCAGATGCGATCTTGCCAAGATCGACGTTTCCATGGACTCTACAAGCACTGAGAAGAGCTCCCCAAATGGATGCATCAGGCTGAAGCGGCATACTTTTTATAAAGTTCAACGCGGTTTCTAACTGACCAGCTCGACCATACAAATCTACCATACAACCGTAATGTTTCAAACTTGGTATTATGCCATAATCCGTTTGCATCATCTCAAAGCACCATTGACCCTCGTCTACTAGCCCTGAATGGCTACAAGCCGATAACAGAGTCACAAATGTAATGTGATCTGGTTTCACTCCTTCATCCAGCATTTCTTTAAACAGCATCACTGCTTTCTCGCCATGCCCGTGAAACCCGTGGCACGCTATCAGGGTGTTCCATGGCACCGAGTTGACTCTTGGGATTTGATAAAACAAAGAGAGTGCATCGTCTAGTCGTCCACACTTTCCATACATATCAGCAAGGCTGGTTCCAACAAAAACATCCAAATAAAGACCGTTCTTCAAGAGACGGCCATGTAGTTTCATACCTTGACGCAATGCTCCAGCCTGCGAACAAGCGGGCAAAACACTCACCCAAGTCCCTTGGTTAGCACTAATCTCTCCAGCTTCTTCCTCCATTATGTTATACATTTCAATTGCTTCACTAGCAAAGCCGTTTTGAGCATAACCAGATATTATGGTATTCCACGAAATCACATCTTTATTCGGTAGCCAATTAAACACTGCTCTTGCTGAATCTACAAGGCCTAGTTTTGCATACATAACCACAACAGCATTTCCGATGGTAATATCTTCCAAGAACCAGCCTTTCCTCAAAGTGAAACCCTGCACAGATCTACAAGCACGAATGTCCCCTAACTGTGATAGTATAGAAGCCAAACTAATCAAAGTAAGGCAATCTGGTTGAATTCTACTAAAACGCATCTCCTGAAACAACGAAATCGCTCTAAGCGGCTGCTCATTCAGCTCATAAGCCTTAATTATCGAATTCCAAGAAATCAAATCCCTCACATACATCCTGTCAAAAACCTTCTGACAGTCCCTAAGGCTACCAAATTCAGCATACAAATCAATCAGCTTGTTGGAAACAAACAATTCGGACTCCAGCCCATGTTTTATCGAGTATGAATGAATCGTAACTCCTCTATTGAAATCACCGGCTTCCGTGCAAGCCGAAAGGAGACTCACAACAGTAACTGAATCCATAGCTCTCAATCCATCAGACAGAGTTAACGCCTCTTTAGCATTTCCGCTTTGACAATACCCAGAAATCATCGCATTCCAAGAACCCATATCTCGAAAAGGCATTTCATCAAACAGTATACGTGCATTCCCCACCGCTCCATACCGACAATACAAATGGATCAACGAGGCAGCAACATAGACATCCCACATAAACCCAAACTTCAAAGCCAAGCAATGAATCTTATTCCCATCAACCACATTCCTACAAGCTTTCAAAACCGAAGGAAAAGTCCGGTAATCCGGTTGCAGTCCAGAACTCAACATGAAGAGACTAAAACACCTAATCACTTCTGAATAATTTCCCGCACGGCCATAGCCAGAAATCATCAAATTCCAAGCATAAACATCTCTGTTCTGGATATGATCAAACGTATACCTAGCCAATGCGACATTACCAAGATAACAGTAGAGGTTAACAAGTTTAGCAGAGATACAAACATTTTGGATTGCGTTGGAGACAACAAGACGTGCGTGAAGACATTTGGCTGATTGCAAATTAGTGCAATATCTGAAAAGTGTGTGAACATCATCAATCTCTTTACTTTCATTCCCATTTTTCCAACAATCTTGCAAAGCATTTGCAGATGCTGAAAATTCTCTAACAACTGCTCTCACAGATTGCAAAACTCGTGTAAAGCGCCCACCTTTGCAGGTCGGAACTTGTCTGAGAAGTGAAAAGGTTCCAAATTTCATCAAAATTTTGAGGGAAGAAGAGAAAATTTATACATTTATATATACCTCAACATACATGCAATCAGGGGTTTTGGAAAACTTCCGACGATTCCCACTACAAGGTTTCGGGTTAACTCACACAAAGAAGGGAATACTCAGAAATAGCGATGAAGGACTACGAGATGGTAGAATCGGAGAGGCGATTTTGCGACGGTGAATTGAAGAGTCCGCCGGAGGCTTTAGCAACGGCCGTCAGGTTTTATTCTTTGTTTGCGTATTGGAATTTAATTGAACCCGGTTTATTTATGTAAACCGTGTTGTCTAACCACTAAACTTTAAAGACGCTTAATAAGACAACTTAAGAATAGAGCCCAATAAGGCCCAAAACATTTGGTAGCTTGGTTTCGGCCGAAATATATATAGCCGCGCGTTGACTAGACGGAGAGTTTGTACTGACCAATAGAGAATGGCTTGCAAGAAGAAACACATGATCCTATATGTACACTTGAAGCGTAATTTTAGCCAAAGTAATCTGACATACGTTGCTCAAGCAGGGCCAATAATTGACATAAAACCTTTGATCCACGTGATTTGGATTGCGTGTAAATAGGTGCACTAAGGACCTTCGTGCTCACATTATTCGGGCCATTCACTTCACATGCATTTACTATGAAAATAGTTGATTAAAGGAATAATAGTTTATTAGACTTCACAATCTTGCTATGCCTCATTCCTCAAAGCTTTCTTCTAATCATAATTTCTTTGTTTTTTTTATTTGCATCGTGAGGACTTCTCCAATCAATAGACCTCTTTCTAAGAGTTCAACTACCCTGAACAACTTTAATTCTTCTAGACACAAAATAAAGTATTGAAGATATATGGGCATGACATCTATTCTTTTTCTTTATCGTGGTTTAGGTTTCTGATCTAATTTTGTTATTGTTAGATTTATTTTGTAATTTTTTATCTTACCATCGACTTAAGAAAGAGTAAAGTTCTTCAAACTTACCATATTGTCGCAACGTATGTATTAAACTTTTTTGTTGTTAAAAAGGTTATATATATGGTAATTCAATATTAGAAAATATCTTATTGTATATTGTAAGAACTGAACGGGAATATAAACATCACTATCTTATTGGCAGTCCAAGACGATTTCTCTTCACATATTGGATTTGTATCATTTTTCATTTAGCGTTTTTCTTTTGTATAATTATAGCATGAGTTATCTTTTCTTTTGCCAATATTATATTATCACTTATTTATCGTTTCTTCGGGTTGTTCTTGTTTCCTGTGTGTTTGTGTTTTTGGATTCTTGAAAGAAGGTTACCTTTTGTTTCTTCACAACCTTAAAGAAGTAACTTCAATTAATTAAATCTAATTCGGGAAAGAGCACGTCTCCAAAGAGTTGTCGAGAGTCCCATGTGAATTTTATATGATAGTATTAAACAAAATCACGGTTCCATTTGTTTAATGAACATGTATTGCAGAGTAGACTTTCCTAATCCAATAGATTCTTAAAGAAACAATAATATAAAAATATTGAAAATAGAAATAAAAGATGGGAGACACGAAGGGTCACTTGTATTGTACCGAGTCCAAGATAAAGAAGAGTCAATAATGGTGAAGAAACATACTAATAAAAAAAATAAAGAAGTTGAAGACAAGATCACAATCACATGTGAAGATCAACACACAAGGGTTTCATAATTTTATGTTTGTTGCTTCATTACAACTTTATTAAAATGGTTGAGAGGGCACTGAGTGCGCCACGTGGCAGATGACCATCCCTTTGTAGGTGCAGCAAAACGTGATAAAGATTCCGGACTGTTCACCCATTCCCAGCTCCATTTCTTTCCTATTTTCTTCATACTTTTTTTCTTAAATCTTATCGAATCATAATTTTTCTTTTCATTTTATAATATAACTTTTCTTAATGTAGTTGATAAACCCTACGGTCGATTTGCCAAAGGAATGCGATCCACGAATGGAATAACGCTGCTTTTTCCTTTTCTTCAAATATCCATTCCATTCGATCGAATAGCCAAATATATAGGTGCATCATTTTTATAAGAAAGTGTGGTATTTAGTACTCCCTCTGTTCCTAGAAGATTGATTTTCTAGAGATTTCACATTTTTTAAGAAACAATCATTGCTTAATTATTTACTTTTATTAAACATTTTTTAATAAACTATGAACCAATAGTAATCTGAAACAGTTAATCATTACGTCTTGAAATCTACGATTTATTAAAATTAATTAATTAAAAATAAAATAAAAATCTAGAAAATCAATCTTTGTGGAACAAACTCAAAACACTAGAACATCAAACTTCAAGGAAATTAGGGAGTATTTTATTAGGTAACTAAGTAAGTGTTAGTGAACACTATATGAACACTATATTAGATTGTTTCTCAAATAAACTAGTATCCATGACTATACTGCTAAGTGCTAATGAATGATGAATACATATATAGTCAACTATTAATAACATGTTTGATAAGCTTTCTGTAAGCTATAAGCTCCGTTTGATAAAAACACCAAACTTTTGAGACACGACTTTTTAATAACATGAGTTTGAACACACACAAAAGAAGAAGAGATTCACTACAAAAAAAATATTTTGTATTAGTGTTTTCATCGTTTTATGCTTACATCATAGAACGATGAAAACACTAATATAACTCTCGTTTGGTCTCCTAATTTAGCATAATATCTACCAAAACGAATTATCCGCTATTTATTCGTCAGCTTAAAATTTTTATTGGTTATCCTTAAGTATAAGCATATTTTAAGTTTTAAGTGTTAAGAATATTTAATACTAGTATGTTCCAAGATGTAGTAGTACTTGGTCTCGTAAATGATGACGCCGTTTAGGAAATCAAACGGCCGAAAATGGTTCCACTTAGCGAATTGCTATTGGTGGGAAACGCAAATGTATCGAAAATGATTTAAAGAAAAAGCAGCGTTTCTCATTGGACCACGTTGCCCAATCCCTACGGCTCACGCACGATCTGATGTCAAATTGGCTTAAAATTTATAATAACCTTATCAAGAATAAAATAATCGTCGCATCCAAACAAAAGAAACCACCTTTATATCACGACGAGTGTCACGCCAAAGGGACACTTGTCCATCTCTCTCTCTCTGACCCCTTTCAGGTATTTTTTCTTTCTCAAAGAGGAATTATTGATTTTCCATTTCCAAAGAAAAAAAAAACAATTCGAAGGTCAGGAAATTAAAAAAAACACATCTTTTTTTTTGTTAGTTTGTGTGACTGAGCTGCTTAATTTTGTTTGGTTTGATGAAATGATTTTTGTTGTCTATTGGTGATTGGTTTTCTTGTTCAGATTCATTGATTCGATGAGAATCATGATTTTTCCCGCCGAGTGTGATTGGGTGTTTTGAAGATTTGTTTCCTGAATAAAGGAGATTCCTTTCCCTTTTCACTATTATTTGCTCTGTTTTAGTACTTCATTGTGCATATATTGTGGAGACGGATTTAGTAGCTTTGGAACTGATAACAAATCTGATTTTGTGTCTCTTTTGAGTTTTGGGTGCAACTGCTGTTTCCTAAATTTTGGTACTTCAAAAATGGATAAAGATCTCTGCTTTTTAGTTTCTTCGTTTGTTTTTTCTTCTTTTCTCTGATGAGTTCAACAATTTTACAGATGTATGATTAAACCATAACCTGTGCTTGTTTGTTTTCTTGAAGGTAAATAAATCCAGAAGCTTTGATTGTACGGAAGCTTGATTTGAGAAGAGAGTAGTAATGGGGTCTCGATTAAACTTCAAGAGCTTTGTTGATGGTGTGAGTGAGCAGCCAACGGTGGGGACTAGTCTTCCATTGACGAGACAGAACTCCGTGTTTTCGTTAACCTTTGATGAGTTTCAGAACTCATGGGGTGGTGGGATTGGGAAGGATTTTGGGTCCATGAACATGGATGAGCTCTTGAAGAACATTTGGACTGCTGAGGAAAGCCACTCAATCATGGGAAACAACACTAGTTTCAACAACATCAACAATTCTAATAGCGGAAACACTGTTATTAACGGCGGTGGTAACAACAATGGTGGGTTGTCTGGTGGAGTGGGAGGAGAAAGTGGTGGTTTTTTCACTGGTGGGAGTTTGCAGAGACAAGGGTCACTTACCTTGCCTCGTACGATCAGTCAGAAAAGGGTTGATGATGTCTGGAAGGAGCTGATGAAGGAGGATGACATTGGAAACGGTGTTGGTAATGGTGGGACAAGCGGGATTCCGCAGAGGCAACAAACGTTGGGAGAGATGACTTTGGAGGAGTTTTTGGTCAGGGCTGGTGTGGTTAGGGAAGAACCTCAACCGGTGGAGAGTGTAACTAACTTCAATGGCGGATTCTATGGATTTGGCAGTAATGGAGGTCTTGGGACAGCTAGTAATGGGTTTGTTGCTAACCAGCCTCATGATTTGTCTGGAAATGGAGTAGCGGTGAGACCGGATCTGCTGACAGCTCAAACTCAGCCACTACAGATGCAGCAGCCACAGCAGGTGCAGCAGCCGCAACAGCTGATACAGAAGCAGGAGAGGCCTTTTCCCAAACAGACCACTATCGCGTTTTCCAATACTGTCGATGTGGTTAACCGTTCTCAACCTGCAACACAGGTGACTAAAGAACCTAACTACATTTTATATGAACTACAATCATCTGACAAAAATTAGATGTAGTTTTCATGTTTTGAGGTAAGCTGGTTTTGAATCTGCATGTATGTTTCAGTTATTTGACCATGGCAGTTTTTGCATTTTTCGCAGTGCCAGGAAGTGAAGCCTTCAATACTCGGAATTCATAACCATCCTATGAACAACAATCTACTGCAAGCTGTCGATTTTAAAACAGGGGTAACGGTTGCAGCAGTATCTCCTGGAAGCCAGATGTCACCTGATCTGACTCCAAAGAGCGCCCTGGATGCATCTTTGTCGCCTGTTCCTTACATGTTTGGGCGAGTGAGAAAAACAGGTGCAGTTCTGGAGAAAGTGATTGAGAGAAGGCAAAAAAGGATGATAAAGAATAGGGAATCAGCTGCAAGATCCCGAGCTCGCAAGCAAGTGAGTGTTCATTTAGAATTTTCGAGACTGAAGTAACCTTAAAACCGTGGCAATGGTTATTTACCTTTTCACTTTGTTGCATGACAGGCTTATACGATGGAACTGGAAGCAGAAATTGCGCAACTCAAAGAGTTAAATGAAGAATTGCAGAGGAAACAAGTGCGTCCCGTTTCTTCCCTAGAACATTAAAGAATCTCGAGATTTTTCAAATGGGCTTCTTTTCTATATTCTTTGTGGTTGTGATCACTGACCAAATGTTTCATGCAGGTTGAAATCATGGAAAAGCAGAAAAACCAGGTACTGTCTTGATTTGAATATCCTTTATGGTTGCTGGCTAGGCTTTTTACTCTGACTCAATATGAATTACACTTTTGGACACTATTCTAAGCTTTTTAGTTGAACAGTGTAAGCTACACTATGAAGTGAGATATACCATCACATCTTTAATTTCATTTGTTGTTGCAGCTTCTGGAGCCACTGCGCCAGCCATGGGGAATGGGATGCAAAAGGCAATGCTTGCGAAGGACATTGACGGGTCCCTGGTAGAGCTTATAATGGCGTCCAAGGAACTCAACAAAGAGCCGAAGTTATAGAACAACTCAGAAAATAGAAAGCTAGCTTTGTATGTAGTTTAGGCAGGTGTTTCTGTGGGTGATTGTAAATCGTGAAGTGTGGCGGATTTGACAGAGATAGATAAACACTCATCTGTTCTATTTTCCTGAAGCATCTTTTGGTTTTATCGTCCTGATGTAATGGATCTTGATCATTTGTCTTGAACATCTTTGTGACTTAACCAGAGTGGATTTATCTTGTATTTTGTCTGCATTTCTTTCTCTAGCGTCTAATTTAGCACTACGTCAACAACTTTATAAACTTGTATAAGAGAGTGAAAAGAAGAACTGAAACATCAAGTTTAGCATCAACATCTGGTATATCCTACTGGGTGAACAAAATTAGATACACAACTAAATTGGCAAAATTCTTGTAGATATCATCCAGCTTCTGGATAAGGTGCCTCTAAGTTGAACAGATGATACTGGTGACAAGTCTCTGGAGTTGAGATACCATCGGAACGCAAGACTTCGGTTTAAGATCAGAAATGAGACATCTTCTAACTGTGTTTCTTGAACAAGATGCTTTCAAACGGTGTTTAATGCCTTGGATACTCATGCACAAGCCCTTCTGAAACACTCCTTGCTCTAGCATGTCCAAACAGCTTGCTAACAATAGCCAGGGAAAATTTGGTAACAGTTGCGAGCCCCAAACTTGTAATCACGTTTCCATCTATAACAACTTCTGCTCCTTCGATCATTTGTTGATTCATAAGCCCATCTGTCTCTGAAGGATACACAGTCGTTCTCTTCTCCTGAAATAGGATTCAAACCGTGTATGGCGTTTGTCCATGTCTACTACAAAGAAAAGAACAATAATTATCTTAACCTTACCTTGAGTAAACCATGTTTATGCAGGACGGCAGATGAAGAGTTGGCGGCTCCATATACTCGCCCAGATTTATGTTGTTCCCTGAGCAGTTTCTTCAAAATTTTGGATTTCTGGAGACGTTCTGAGCCAGTATGGCCTCCCTAGGGAGTTTCCACCAAATAAAAGAAATCAAATTACTCACCATGCAACAACCCAAAGGTGTAGTTTGTCTAAACGATTCTCCTAAGCGCATTGATTTGACATGGCATATAAGTTATATTGGAACATGTATATAGCAAGATTTATCTAAAAAAGTTGTGAACTAGCCAAATGGTATGAGTTTATTAATGAGAGGCACGCAGGCTTTTGCTTAAAGTCTTACCGGAAGAACGATTAGATCATATGATGACTCAGCAGCTTCACCAATCAATTTGTCGGTGATAATTTTGGTGCCTTGGGATGCCGTAATCCGCAAAGATCGTTCAACTGATGCAACAGTGACATCTACTTTGGCTCTTCTAAGAACATCTGCAATTGTGACCACTTCAACCTCTTCAGACCCGTTGGCTACCGCGATAAGAACCTGGATTTATTTGCATTATTAAAACTAGTTCCACATCAAATAAAAACATATCGTTTAAAGGAAGAGGGAATGGATAAAATTGCAGATGATCCAACTTATCTCAGCTTTGAAAATAAAATGAGATGTTCTTAGAATCAGCCAACTTTTTCAGCTTTCAAAATTAAATGAGCGTGAAAGAAGGAATGGATAAAAGAAAATTAGCACTCCATAGGTATAGAAGATAAAATTAAAACCAAAATCAGTTATCATCATCTAACATGAGATTACATGGAAATGCATTGGTCATAGCTTCATGCGACTTACACGAGGTGTGTGGTCTAAAGACCAGTCAATGCTATTGAACTCTTTGTTCTTAGGATTCTGGTAACCATCACGCAGAAGCTGGAGAAATGATTGAAAAAGAAGACCATGAGAAGATTTTTATATATAGAGATGGATAGAGAAAAGTATAAGTGAATAGGATATAGACCAGAAACTCTTCAACCGACTTGGCTGTGGTTTCTCCAAAGAGCTGCTCCGCCAAGGAAAGAGCAAACTGAAAAGAAGTGCCGGGTCCACGGCTAGTTGTAAGCTCCCCTGAAATCTGAATGTTTGTCTTAACAGCCCAGAATGTAGGAAGCTTCCCGAAAAAAGCAGGATGTCCCGTTGTCTTGCACGATGAACTACACCAAGTTTAGAAATCAAAACATGAAGACAAAAGATTAGTTACTAGCTGACATACAGTCGAAGCCTTTCGATTTATACCCTCTTTCTTGTCAAAAGTCCCCATGGAAGAAGAGTTATAGCTGGAGCCATGGATATAGCCCCGTATAACCGCTTATCTTCAGCTTGTCTCTTCATGATCTTCTCGAGAATTCCACAGTCTCTTAATCTAACAGCACCAGGCATGCCTCCCTTCACAATTTGTAATTTCACATCAGCCCATAACAAAGATTTCAGAACAATTACATTAGAGATCAATGAAACAGATATGAATCAGCCAAAGAAGAACAGAAGAAGAAATTTCTATTGTCTAATTCCAAAACTGAACTTACCGGCAAAGCCACTAGATCATAAACTTGATCAGCACATTTGGAGATAAGAACATCAGCAACTAATCTGGTCCCTGAGGATGCTTCAACCTCTAGCTTCTGCTCCACAGAGGCAACAGTAACCTCTGCACCAGCTCGCCGTAAAACATCAACTAACACAACAGCTTCTATTTCCTCCGTACCATATCCAATTGGAACAAGCACCTACATAGTTTCTCAGTTATCTCCAAAATCTCAATCTCTCTACACAAATAAGCTGGAGACTTTAGCGTTATAGGTAGCAACTAACAAGAGAAAAAGAGAAACCTTTTTAGTAGTTGCAGAAGACACGACGCCAACATCGGAATCTGGCGTTGTAACCATACTTTGTGACATGGAAGATCTGAGCCTTAAATTTCGGTCCCTCCTTCTTGTCCCCGGTGAAGAAGAAACCACAGAGACTGAAGACAAACTAGGAGCAACAATCGTCGAGACACAACCCATCGAATAGATTAGCCTCGACTCCGTCAAAGTTGGACTCAGCGAAGCTATCATTGAAATCGAAAATCCTAAAGACCCCATTGAAGAAGCTAATGCGGCAGCCTGAAAATACCACAGATAGACGGAGAGTGAGTGTCACCCACCCCTTATCTACTCTACACTTTTTGAAGAAGGCCAAAAACGTCGTCGTATCATTGTCTTATTGATTTGATTGGATAAAGATTCAATTTTTTCCCCAAAATTTTGTCGGAAAATTGTGCTTTTCACTGTGAGACTATCACACACGGCTCTCTTTTTTTTTTTTTTTCTCGTAAACTGAATTTTATTGATGAAATTTTACAAGTCCAACAAGACAGCCCAATTACAACAAAAGCTTACACAGAAGCCCAAGCACAATACCAAAGAAGAAGGTAAGCTTCAAAGGACGTGTCAAACGATAAAGATGAGTAAGTGGACACGTGTTGTTCCAACAACCTCCGCCGCACAAGAGCCCAATTCCGGTGAATTGATCGTCGCCGGAAAACCAATCCTAACAAACGAAATTTTGTTTGCTCACCGGTGATGACTAAAACGGATAAAAGGGACAATCAATTGAATTGAAATGTCCATAACCGATTGTCTAGCTAGCATATTGAAGCTCTGAATACAAAGGGACAGCGACGAAAAGGGAATTAACATCATCATAGGAAAAGAAGCTATAATCATCAAAGGCATAATCAAAACCATGAACCGTCTTGAGTGACATAGCGGCAGATTCAACAGAACAAGTCATAGGAGAAACCGCAGCAGAAACACAAACATTAAAAAGAAAGAAAGAAACGGCAGAAGAGCCGATAACACGCAGCAAAAGAGCGCTGATAGCGAAGCCGACCATCGCCGTTGTGAAAACCGAACGATGCCGGACGAGAGCCGACCATCGCCGTTGTGAAAACCGAACGATGCCGGAAGAGAGCCGACCAACCACCACTTCGGATGGATGTCAGACAGTAGCCGAGTTTAACATAACCCGGACGGCGAAGCCGGTTTACAACCGGACGGCGAGATCTTGACGGAAAGAAAACAAATTTCTCTCTCTCTCTAAAAAGTTCGAGAGAGATAAGAGAGAGAGGACAATTTCGGCGAACACACACACGGCTCTCTCCTAAAGAAACGAGGCGAAAATGATTGATTTATAAAAATAGTATTTCTGTTAGCTTGAGCTTATCTCCTCTTTTCTTTTTGGTTTGGTATTTGTACTCTGGATATGAATTACAGACCATCAACTAGTCAGAACAGTGTGTGTATAAATGTCTTAAGTGAAATCATTTTTGAGAGACACAGTGAGAGAGAAAACGAAAATGTTAAGGATTTTGGGGAGAAGAGTAGTTTCAGCTTCGAAAGAGCTTACTAATATTCAACAATGGCGGATCCGACCAGGAACCGATTCTCAGCCCGATCCTTTTCGAATTTTCCGGGGACTACAAAAGGGTTTCTGCGTGGGCGTTCTACCGGACGGAGTGGACAGAAATTCGGACGCTTTTTCTAGTAACTCGATCGCCATGGAAGGGATCTTATCGGAGCTTCGTGCCCACATCAAAAAGGTAAAACCATCTCATTCATTGAATGATGTCTTTATTGTTTGCAGATGAATGATATAAGTGTTTCTCGGTGGAGTTTTCTAGGTATTGGCCGGAGGTGGAGAGGAAGCGGTGAAGAGGAACAGAAGCAGAAACAAGCTTTTGCCTAGAGAAAGGATCGATCGGCTTCTTGATCCTGGTTCTTCCTTCTTGGAGCTCTCTCAGGTTTTGTTTTGTTCATTCCAATTTTGTTTCTTGTTTGGATTTAATTTACATTTGCAATCTAGAGTGTATTGTTGATTATTACTGCATTAGTGAATATCATGAAAGGAGAGTGTTGTTTCAGTCTCAGTTTGACTCCTCTGCTTCTATTGATTGCTTTGGCGCTGCACCATTGCTAGAAACAGATTTAGCATTTGTGTTTGTACGCTCTATATGGCCCATGATTGTAGAATTGGCATTGATCTAAAACTTGTTTGATTTCTCTGCTTACCGGATATGAATATGTTTGAAGCTTGCAGGACATGAATTGTATGAGGAGCCTTTACCTTCAGGTGGGATAATCACAGGGATTGGACCAATTCATGGCCGTCTTTGTATGTTTATGGCAAATGATCCTACTGTCAAAGGAGGGACTTATTATCCCATTACTATCAAGAAGCATCTCAGGGCACAAGAGATTGCTGCTCGGTGCAGACTCCCTTGCATATATCTTGTTGATAGTGGCGGTGCTTACCTTCCAAAACAGGCTGAGGTTTTCCCTGACAAGGAGAATTTCGGTAGGGTTTTCTACAACGAATCGGTTATGTCATCTGATGGAATTCCACAAATCGCCATTGTTTTGGGCTCCTGCACTGCTGGTGGTGCCTATATTCCTGCCATGGCTGATGAAAGTGTAATGGTCAAAGGGAATGGTACCATATTTTTGGCAGGACCTCCCCTTGTCAAGGTCAATTTTCCCAAGTTACTTTCTCTCTCATTCTTGTCGTAATTAGTTTCTTGAGAATTTAAAGCTAAATGAAAAAGCTTTTGAACAGGCTGCTACAGGAGAAGAAGTTTCAGCTGAGGATTTAGGAGGCGCCACGGTTCACTGTACTGTGTCCGGTGTGTCAGATTATTTTGCTCAAGGTATATTCATCTCTTTCTGCAATTTAATATGAAAACAACAATCAAGTTTTAGAGTTTAGACCTTAAGAAGTTTCTCTAGTCTTGCAGACGAGCTGCATGGACTCGCTATTGGAAGAAACATTGTCAAGAACTTGCACATGGCTGCAAAACAAGGGATGGAAGGAACATTTGGAAGCAAAAATCTTGTATACAAGGAACCGCTCTATGACATAAACGAGCTGCGCTCCATTGCTCCAGTAGATCACAAGCAGCAATTTGATGTGCGGTCTATTATCGCTCGGATTGTTGATGGAAGTGAATTTGACGAGTTCAAGAAACAATACGGCACTGTGAGATAATGTTATTCGCCTTATCTTTTTATCCAAATTTTGACTTTTTACGTTTCTTATGTGGAACTTCTTTTTGGCAGACGCTTGTGACTGGTTTTGCTAGAATTTATGGTCAGACGGTAGGCATTATCGGGAACAATGGCATACTGTTCAATGAATCTGCACTAAAAGGAGCTCACTTCATCGAATTATGCTCTCAACGTAAAATTCCTCTTGTTTTCCTCCAAAACATCACAGGCTTTATGGTAATTAAAGTGTTTGTGTTGTGTTCTAACATGTGGCTATATAAGAGTTTCTCTATCTATCTTACTTGCTCCGTTTTTACTTATAGGTGGGTTCAAGAGCTGAGGCCAATGGCATTGCAAAAGCTGGAGCGAAAATGGTGATGGCAGTATCCTGTGCTAAGGTATGTTTAATTCTTGGTTAAGAGTCCGAGATATTTGATTAGGATATGCCAGAATCTAAGCTCGGATCTTCATTCAGGTACCAAAGATTACAATTATAACCGGTGCAAGCTTTGGTGCTGGAAACTATGCAATGTGTGGGCGTGCATACAGTCCAGATTTCATGTTCATCTGGCCAAACGCCAGAATTGGCATCATGGGAGGCGCTCAGGTAAAACCATACAGAACCGAAGTGTTTAAACCGAAACCAAACTGGATTAAAATTTGTTTACAATCTGATTAGTGTTGTTACTAGTAGTGTAACAGAACAAAAGTGTACTGAAAAAAAACAATATTCATTTTTAATTCAGTTTGGGTGCCTTTTGTTTGATGCATTTTTGGTTTTGGATTCGTTTGACGATGTTATTGTCTTGGGCGAAAACTTTGCAGGCCGCGGGTGTTTTAACTCAGATTGAAAGGGCTACCAAGAAGAGACAAGGAATCAAGGTACTGAATAATACATTCTCTAAAGTCTAAACCTCTGTTTTGTTCAACATCGATGAGAGAGAGATGAATCTGCGTTTCTTTTGTGATGCAGTGGACTGAGGAAGAGGAAGAAGCGTTCAAGAAGAAAACGGTGGATGCGTATGAGAGAGAGGCAAATCCTTACTTCTCGACGGCGAGGCTTTGGGATGATGGAGTGATTGATCCTTGTGATACCAGAAAGGTTTTGGGACTTTGTCTGTCTGCTGCTTCAAACCGTCCTTTGGAAGATACTCGATTTGGTGTCTTTAGAATGTAAACAACTTTTAACCAATAAGCATTTGCAAATAAATTACATAAACTTTCATATATGAGCTACCAAAACTAATTAATTGTCCAAACTATATAGCTAACTATATTTAGTTAACAACAACAGATCGTTGGCTGGTTAGAAATTGAGTGAAATTGAGTTCATTAAATAATACGTTGATTGATACCGCAACAAAAGGCGCTCGTGGCCCAATGGATAAGGCGTCTGACTTCTAATCAGACGATTGTGGGTTCGATCCCCACCGAGCGTGTGTATTTTTATAATAGACCATTTTTTTTTCTTTTTTACAAAGGAATTCATGTATTGGTCATTTACCACAACAACAACCAAACGATAACGGATCAACAAAAAAATTCCTGAAAAATATAATAGCTAAAGAGCAATAATGACGCTCAAATGCAGAATCTTTAAATGGTACCTCAGATTCCAGTTGAGACTGATAATAAACAATGACTTATCATCATAATCCAACAATTCAGAAGATTGAGTAAAATGACAGTTTTTATTCTCTTCTCCTATGTAATCCAACATGATGCTTCTACACAGGGATCATTCATCACACGCCCTTCCTTGTTTCAACTCTCTCTTAATATCAATGCGGGTGAGACAGAACCGAGCTCTTCGCGATCTCTTTTTCTCCTTTTTTTTCTTTAATTTCAAGGATAACATTTGGGTTGGGAGGAGATAGGGAAAGAGGACGAGGCTGAAGGACCGGTGCTTTTATGTAGATAAAGCCACAGTCTTACAAATTGGGCAGAGATTCTTGAGCATCAGCCATTGCTTGACGCAGGCAGTGTGAAATTCATGACCACATCCCAGGGTTCCAAGATCATCGCCTTCTGCATACTCTTCCTGTTAAAAAAGAATCAAGGTTCACATCAGCTTCCGCGTTAAAGCTGAGTATCAGCTCAAAAATGGGAAAGATAGATTAACCTAACCAACCCATGTTACACACATAGACGGTTTAGTGTAATGTCAAAAGAAAATGTAGGCATCTATCTATGTGCTAATACATTACTCCTGTTTTGGCTAGACCACATCTACTACGATAAACACATGAATTTGTTGCAAACAAACAGCCATGAGAGTATTGCTAGACGAAGCAACAGGTCCAAGGAGCCGCATATAAGACTTCGGCATAAGAGTTATTTCAGGTCATACCTGACAGACACAGCAAGGCTCCATGTCCTGGTGAGATCCAGCAGCAGAAGATGTATGTTTGTGCTGTTTCATTGCTTTCAGGATCACCTCTTCGCTTAGACCAGTGCTCACATCTCCTATGCGTTCCCCAAGTGCTAATAGCTCCTACATTCCCAAACGAACCTTGTTGGAAAAAATTGGTACATCGAGATAAAATGGTACAAGAAATTGAACACTCACCTCATACGACATGTTATCAACATCAAGACGCATATCCCGATGCCTATCATGCATCTCGGCCATACCTTGGTAGATCAGTGGATCGAATACCATATAATCCTATCAGATCACCAAATGAAAATCATGATCCAAAAACAAAATGCTAGTGTAGAGGAACTTGCACTACATTTCGTTTATACAAATGCCAAAAGATACGTTGATAGCGAATTGCTGCTTCTGGCTGCGTTTACTCCCAACGTGAGACCAATAATATTAGCAACAGTAAATACAGTACAGCCACAAAGATGGTCCACAACTTAGATGTCGACAGAGATCACATATCCCAATATACTGAAAATCTAAAACTAACACTTGGAGACAAAAAGTGCATTGTGATTTTACCTATTAACTGATATTAAGAGGGATTGATTGAAATCAGTTGTGTGAAAAAATCATACCTCAAACCGTAAATTCTCCCCTCTTCGCATGGCACTCAACACCTGCCGTATCTGCCAATAAACAAGAGAGTACCAACTGAGTGACTGACATTACTAGAAATCAGTAAACACCATCTACGAATAATTGACTTTCAATGAGACAAATGCCACACCAGTTAAACTGCTAAAGAGTTCATATAACAAAAAGGATCCCACTTCCCACATTGAAGGATAGTGTGAAACAATGAATGATAATACAGACCTCGGAAATCAGCCGGTTCCTTCCATCATTATCAGCAGCTAAGCTTCTTCCTAAGTGACGCAAATGGAGATGATCATTTTGCCTTTCCAGTAACAATCCTGATCTTCTTTGTCGAGAGCGATGACTGCGACTACTAGATCCAGACGGCGCTGCAGCTTCGTTCGAAGAAACAGAAGGCCCTGTGGGTAGTAATGGAAGCGAAGCACCATGCGTAGCAGATTCAGATTCGATACTAGGAAATAAAGACCACGGAGCAACTTCTGATATTCTTGATTGATTATGGGGAGTAACCCAAGTGGGATTCGGCTGCAAACCATGGATCCCTGAACTTGATCCTGCTCGAGGAACAAAGGGAGAATCTCCCGATGTACTAGGGTTTCCACGAGTGAAACTCCAACTAAATTGATCCTGCACTGGATCTCTCGTTTCAGTTGCAGGTGTAGTAAAGACTGGCTGCTCTGAGTTGATTCTTGGCACGTCCCATGGTGGTCCAAATCCCTCTTCAGGCATATTGTTTGTTCTCGAACTGGAAGCAGCACTCCAAGCAAATTGGTGTATATTTCTTGTCAATGCAGGAAGGTGGATCATACTTGGCTGACCATCACCACTGCTTGAGCTACCTGTAACTGGTATTGCTCTTGCATCCAGAGGGTCAACAAAAGGAGAAGTTGCTGGTAACTGCTGTTCCTGACGCACAGAACTACCGGACTGTGAGAAGCTGAATGCTACTGACTCCGGTGGCTGCCCAGGATTTAACCGCCTGCCGGGTCTAGATATGGTTTCAGTGCTTCTTGTAGAAGGAAAAGCACTTGCTGTAACTGCTCTTCCACCACCCAATCCAAATCTTGGTTCCGGTAGACCAGACTGATTATTAACATTTGGAGAATTTTGTGAGGGAATAGACAAACTTAAGCTACTTGAAGCATCATATTGAGCAAGACCCTCATTCCAAGCACCACTCTCAGTTTGAAAAAAGCAACCATGACTTTCACCAGGAAAAGAATGGCTAGGAGCTCCTTCAAGAGCCTTTCTTTTGCATGATGAGCCTAGACCACCCAACGAAGAGCCTGGACCACTGCTTCTCTCCTCTGCGGTTTGACTTGAGCTTCCCAATGAACTCTCACAGTTATTATGGCGGATAACGACCCCTGAAGTCTGCAGACCACTACCAACGTCCATGTCCTTGCCCAGATTTACATGCCCTAACATATGATTAGAGCTTGACCCACGCAAAAAGGACTCTCCAGGTAACAAGATACCTGATTGCCCTTCCTCAAATCCATAGCCATCTGAGGGGAGCTGGCGATCTGTCTTTGAACCAATGGAATTGACTTGATCAGAAGGCCCCAATCTAGAGCTGGATTCACCAAAACTCCACCAGTTGTGATTTTGAACAACATGCGAGCTAGAGCTTGGGTACGTTGATCGTCCTGAACCTGTAGTATTGTTTGGAAACTGAACATCCACTGGATTCAGGATGCTATTTGAAGTGGTCTCTGAATTGGTGCTACAGATGGGTTCACCATCTGCATAATTTATTCCAGTCGATGAATCACCAGTGCTTCGTGGACCTTGCATTGGACTTATTTATACCTCAGAACAGAACACAGCAACTCTCTCCAGGACAGAAACCAATGAAAATTTGTTAAGTTCTTGAGGAAACCTAAAGCCCAACAAAAAGAAGCAGAAACAAAAACTGAATAAACAATCCATTGATGAGAGTTTAGAAAGATATAAGAACATGACTGAAAAACATATTCCCGGTTTACCATTATGATTTCAAAGGATCAGCCTCTTATTTAGCTCCAGGCTCAGAAATGTAGCTCCAGGCCAGTTGGTACTCCAAGAAAGGAATATCTGAAACTTCAGCCAGTAAACAATCAGTTTCAAAACATCCATCATATTTCACATGTATCAAATTCATATAAGAGAAACTGCTAAACACACTAAAAACTTCATCTTGAAAACTCCACTAGTAAGCAAACAACTGAAACATTTGCAAAATCATGACTTTAGAAGTTAAGCAACTCAGTAATAGAATATTTGAGTCCTGGCAAAATTAAACAACTTTTTAAAAGAACTAAGAAACCAACACTTGTGCTTAACTCAGCAAACTTCATTAAGGGACTCACTGACATACGGAAAAAAGAAAATCTGAAAATCAAAGTCCTTACAACATTTTCTCAATATCTTGCCGGAAGATGAGAAAAGAGAGAATGTAGCTACAGATACTAGCGGACAAAGGAAATCTCCAGACTCAAATTTGTCCTAACTCAAAATTGTAGTCTAGATAATTTACAAGACTGTATCTTTAAAACCATGAATTACACACTCCGATTCATCACAACAGCTATGTGCACTAAAGAGGTTCCAATCGTAAGAAAGAGACCCTAAAATGGGCCAGATTCACAGCTATTGCAATGAATCAACACATTAAAACAAAAACCATTTCCACATAAAAACGATCCAGAAAATGAAATCGATTCAAGACCGATCATCGTGTGGTAAACATGGAATTGAAGAAACAGTACCTGCAAAAATCCCAATCAAAAAGAGAGAGAGAGATTCGTCGTCTCCTCCAAAGTAATCTGCTTAGAACTTTTGTAAGAGAAAACAACAATTAAAGGCGTTTCATTTATTGAATTTTCCGGTTGTTTAATTATCATCAGGATGTGGTTGCCCTCCCTTGAAAGTCTGAGTCTCTTCCTCTTTAATTTACATATATACCCAAGAAAGAAAGAAAAAACTCAAAATTTCCCCAGAAAATGAAGAATGAAAAGAGCATAAAAGGGGAAAGAGATGAAATGGGTTATTAAAAAAAGAGAAGCAGTGGATGAGGGAAGAGAGGATTAAGAGGCCTAGAGATTATTACATGCGAAGAAGATATTTTTCTTACAACACATTTTCATGTAATTAAAATTAAACTTTGGTTCCAAAGCTTAAAACTTTTTTTAATACTATAACAAAATAAGTTTGGTAAATGAAACAGGCAGACATTAATTTATTGCAAGAGTTTTTGCCAGGACGTTGCTTGCTGGTGCTTTACCATTTTTCTCCTCCTCTATAAGATTTTTTTCACTTTTTTTTTGGGTGTTTGTAATAAATGTGAAAATTGGACCGTTTAAAAACTTAAAGACGTTTGATTACTATAAAAAGTAATTTTTTTTATAGAAAGTTAATTGAGACGTGAAATGGTATATTGTGAAACAGTTGTGTACACGTAGCTCTCATGCAGTTTTAGTGGCCCCATATGGATTGACTTGTATTCTGTTTTTGGGCTATTAAAGTCCAAAGAGAGACCCCTCTAAAGCCCTTCCTATTAATCCCTTCTAACAACTAATAGAAACTTTAAACGTGTCCTCTCTTTTAATTATTAAGCTACAAAAATACTCAACCATACGCACTTCATAGCGGTAGGTTGTCTTGTCTATTCGTTTTATTTTGGTTAACAAAAAATTGTCCAAGTTGTTGTGCGTTATAACAAAGTTTTTCTTTATGACAACACTGACAAAAAGAAAAAGAAATTTGATGAAAACTATGAAATGGGCTATGGCCCAACTAATAAGACAAGTGTGTGAAAATAAAGATGGGATGGTTCAAATGTGCGCTTCGAAGTTCGAGCATTTTCGTGTTTGCAATCGCCTAAATTTTTTTTGCTTCAAACTGCATCTCCCAACCACCTCGTCTAAACGCTTTTAAAATTTGCAAATTCCAAGACAGTCCAACTCTAACCACTGTGGTTGGATTGGATCATTCAAACCTATCATGTCCTGTACTTGGACTGTAGTAGTTTTAAAAGTTTCATGATGGGATTTTTCTCAATGTGGTCAAGTAATTAACGAGTCAAGATAATGAGAAGGACTACGAGGCCACAAAGTTCATTGTTATATGACTAATGCGGTTGCTGAATCATACAAAAAAGAAATGCGGTTGCTGAATACCACATGTCATATAACTTTCGATTCCATTATTAAATATCTAATGATATTGGTCACAATAGCAAATATGCATTTGCAAAACATTTGTGGTTCCATATACGAACTGATGTTACGGTTCGTTGATAATACAAACGGCTCGTCCCACGCACATATTAAGTGTTCAACACTTCAACTCCATATAATATCATAATACTATATTTATTTTATAATCAAATTGTATGCCAATTAGATAGCTTCTTCACACAATATTTATTTATTGGCCTTCCATTCCATCAAATTAGATAGCTTTCCAAATTTATTATGATCTATACTTCTATATATGTATAAATAACCATATGCATTATTTTTTCGCAAATGTAGGTCAATCAACACCATTTAAAAACTTGTCCAGAAAATATCACATTTCTGTCACTAGACAAGCCTTGTAAACACACAGTATCTCCAAATGATCTAAAGATTAATCGAGGCATCCTAAACTGAAATGATTAATTTTTATTTCATGGAAAATGTTAATCTATCTAATCAGTTCAAATGTCCTGCTATTGAAATTTTCATTCTCGTTTTTTCCTACCAAAACCAATATTTTCCTCTCTCTCTCTTTTTTTTTTTCCAATAAATAAAAGAAATTAATTAAGGATTAGTATTGTTCAAAAAAAAAAAAGGGTTAGTAAGGAAGTCGTCTACCAAGAGATTCACCTACCACGGGACACTTCAACACCGAAGCAGAGTGGTTGAATCCACTTTTTATTCCCTTCTCTAATCTCTTCTATATTCTTCCTACTCACCTTTTTTTTTTCTTTTTTTTTTTATACATTTAAATTATTTAATATACGCCAACTACATATCCAGTGTAATTTCTCAATACGTCACACCCTTTTTGTAATCGTCTAATCTCAGAAAAATATCCATAGGAGTAAATACATATCCCCATTATTAAATCTAGACATAAATACATTATACTACAGAATTTGGCAGCAAAAACATTTAACACTGAGTCACTGACTCATAAATGAAAAACGAATTCACTTGTCTTCAGTTTTCACACACACCACACAAATACTTTTTAAAATTAAACATAACCACTTCCCCGAGTTTGGTCTCAATTTGATTTCCCGGCCGAGGCATTACTACCCCAAGTGCGATTGAGGTCCCACACAGTCTAACGGGACCCATTTAAGACAGCGACTGACCAATTGCGTGTTAGGAGAGTTTCACCAACCCCGGACCGGGTTTTACCGGATTCAACAGAACCGGTTCGAACCGGTCTCATTATCTCCTTCTTTATATAGACCTCATGCAATCTGTGTGACTCACCAAGAAAAACACAATCGTTTAATCTCACCCAAGAAGACAAAAACACACAGAGAGAGAAATGGCGACGACAACTACAGAAGCAACGAAGACATCATCCACCAATGGAGAAGATCAGAAGCAATCTCAGAATCTTCGACATCAAGAAGTTGGTCACAAGAGTCTCTTACAGAGCGATGATCTCTACCAGGTCTGTTTTTCTCATTCAAAACTCTGCTTTTCGATTCAATTATAGCAATCTAAATCTTAATTAAAAAAATCGATACAGTATATACTGGAGACAAGTGTGTATCCTAGAGAGCCAGAATCAATGAAGGAACTCAGAGAAGTGACAGCAAAACATCCCTGGTTTGTTTTCCCAATTTTCATGTCAATACTTTGTTAATAAACCAAAACCAAGATCGAAATTCTGAAATTCTCAATCAAACAGGAACATAATGACAACATCAGCAGATGAAGGACAGTTCTTGAACATGCTCATCAAGCTCGTTAACGCCAAGAACACAATGGAGATCGGTGTTTACACTGGCTACTCTCTTCTCGCCACCGCTCTTGCTCTCCCTGAAGACGGCAAAGTAAATTAATCTCTTCCTCCTCTGTTTTTCAATTTTTGTGGAACTTGGGAATTGAAAGTTTCATTCTTTTTATCATCAGATTCTGGCTATGGATGTTAACAGAGAGAATTACGAATTGGGCTTACCGATCATTGAGAAAGCCGGCGTTGCTCACAAGATCGATTTCAGGGAAGGCCCTGCTCTTCCCGTTCTTGATGAAATCGTTGCTGACGTAAGCATTCTTCTTTCTGACGTAATTTAGCAAAAAAAAAATGAAGATACTGGAAGAAAAAAAAAATCAGATTGCATTAAAAACTTAAATGGCCTAATTAGGTTGGTTTAATAATTTTGATGGGAATTTCTGTATATAAAAATTTGTTTCCTTTTTCATACAAGGAAAAAAGATTTTTTGCTTTTTTATTTTATTTTAAGAGAGTGGTAACTTATTATTGTGTGTGGTTGGGTGCAGGAGAAGAACCATGGAACATATGACTTTATATTCGTTGATGCTGACAAAGACAACTACATCAACTACCACAAACGTTTGATCGATCTTGTGAAAATTGGAGGAGTGATTGGCTACGACAACACTCTGTGGAATGGTTCTGTCGTGGCTCCTCCTGATGCACCAATGAGGAAGTACGTTCGTTACTACAGAGACTTTGTTCTTGAGCTTAACAAGGCTCTTGCTGCTGACCCTCGGATTGAGATCTGTATGCTCCCTGTTGGTGATGGTATCACTATCTGCCGTCGGATCAGTTGATTTGGTGGATTTGACTCCTCCCTACTCTGAGTTTGTCCGTAGTGGATTACTTTCCATTTTCTGCCCACCAACCACTAAAATGGACCTTTTATGTATTTGTGTTAAGTAATCTCTCTCCATTGTCCTTGTTTTGCTTTCTTCTGAACAAAGAAATAATGTACCTTACTTTTCTTTTTGGTCCTTTTCTTTTGTTTTTCTACATGATACAATATCTAAAGAAAATATTTGTGTCTGCTCAAAAAAAAAAAAAAACAAATTGTGTTACAAGTACAACAACATAAGTCGATTAAATTACTTACCACATTGAGAAAAAATAATCATTAGGTTTTCTTAATAGACTTCAATTGTTGAAAGTTGTTGTTGGTGTCTGTCAATTGATAGTAGATTACCAAATAAAATATTTGACAGAAAAACAAAGTAGGAAGATTTAGGTCAGCAGTCTTTGAAAATTTATTAGAATTCCTAAGACAGTTAGGTAGATTCAGCTGATACTTAAAACTTAAAAGGGACAAAGATGAGTAATTGTGTGTGAGATTATACTTTTGCTTTAGAGTTTCACTAGTCAAAGGAAAAATTAGTTGAAGACCAAATTCGTAAACAAAAATACTTTGTATTAGTTTTGTTGGTGTGTTTAGTCTTTTCATTGTAATCTATATAGTACATATAGTCATATACTGGTTCGCATATCTAACTCGTAGTTAACATAATTATAGCAACAAATCACCACAAAATTCTGAATTTAGTAAAATTTCCAGAAAATTCATTAAAGATCTTTACATTTTTTTTTTGTCGATGAATACAGGTTTACAAACTTCTATTAATTGAAGTTTCACACATTTGATAGTGTAACATTTAAATAAATTTTTTGAGGTTAGGTTAGAAGAGTGTTTTATAATACTTTATACCTTTTTTTTAGGATACAAGCCAAAATTTAATTTTCAAATCACACAAGTAAATAATAAAAAATCGTATCATTCTGACTATAAGTCTAACACTAACGAATATTCAAAGAATTGTCCAAAAAATTAGGATAAAACAGAAAAGATTTCACTCAATCTAAACAAAGATTTGGCCGTAGGAAGATAACCACTTAGTATATTTTAAAAAACTAGAACTCAATTCGTAAAAAACCTAGTTATTAAAAAAAAACAGTTATCTCATAATGTAATCGATTTATGTTTTGATATCATTTTCTTAATTAGTTTGAATTCTCGTTAACGTAATCCACTCAATATTATTTTAAATATTTAAAAAAATTGTTTAATATCTCTTAAACATATCTAAGATGATATTTTCTTCCATTAATAAAAAAGTAAAAGGTGTTAACCAAAAAATAAAAAAGGAAAGGTGTGAGCAGCACGTGACATATACCTTCTTCTTCTTTACTCTGTTCGACAGTCGACGCCGTTTGCAATTTTTTTTTTCCGAAGCATCTACCTTCGATTTCGTAGACTTTCTAGACTTAATTTAATCCCAAATTCTTTCTTTTTTTTTTGTAAATTTTTTTGTTTCAATTGTTGTCACATCGTTTCCAAAATATTATCAAATTTGATCGCTTTTGAAGTTTTTTTTAAATTCTTTTTCTTTTTAATGAGAAATTTGCTATATATTTTGGAATTCATTATCGTGACTTTGTTTTTTTTTTGTTTTTCTGATGTAGTAATGGAGCTTTCAAAGGATCCGGAGAAAAATTCTATCATGATTGTTCCAGAGACACCCATTAAAACAAAACAATTTGAGAAATTTTACGTGAGAAGGAAATCTATTAAGCTTCCACAAGATTCAGTAATTTCTCCTCAAGCAATCAAAGATCGTGGTGAAGAAGAGAGTAAGGAGAAGGTTTTTATTCCTCAAGGTAAAAAAAAAAATAATCGAAAACCTTAAGTACTCTTTTTTTTTTTTTTGTTCGTTTTATAATTCTCCTTTTACTTTTTTTTTTTTTTAATGAGAGTATGTTTCATAAACAAATTAGTTGAGTGACTAGAGTCAAACAGATAGTTTTTTTTGACTAATTCTTTCCACGCTAATTTTACAATTTCACCATCGTCACTTTCATTTAACGAGCTTGATGAGCATGTTTCAAAAACTGATGTGGTTATGTTCCTGTTTGATTTTATTGATTGAGAAAATTTTCAGAATTTCGATTTTTGGTTTTGGTTTAAAAACAAAGTTTGATTCGAGGATAAGAGATTGTGAAAATACACTAATGCATGGTGTTTTGTTGTCACGTTCTTGAGTGAGTTCATAGATTCTGGATCCCTTGGATGCATTACCTGTCTACGATATATATCATGCACGTGTTGTTTTATTTCAGTTAATTCTCTTTTTTTTTTTTATGGTAACAGATGATTCACAAAACACTCATCAGAAAGACGAGAAGAAGAATTCAAAAGAAAATCATGAAAGAAAACGTGATGAATCAGAATTTTTTCAAGGTAAAGTCATCTTGATTTCATTCTTTCAAAATTAGCTTATTTGTAAATTCATTACAATTTATATCTCAGAGTTCAAATTATTTTATATGTTAATGTATCTCTTGCCCAATATACTAATCATTACCCACTCACCCATTTTTTATTTTATTTCATGGTGAAAGATGATGATTCACAACGTGTTACTGGAAAAGGAAGGAGAAAGAATTCAAAAGGGACACCAAGAAAACAGAGGTTTAATAGGCCCCGTATCTTGGAAGAGGGGAAGAAACCAAGGAATCCAGCCACTACTCGACTGAGAACTATATCCAATAAGAGGAAGAGAAAGGACATAGACAGTGAAGATGAAGTTATACCTGAGCCTGCAACTCCAAAAAGCAAAGTGTTCCAAAAGGAAGAAAGAACGAGAAGATTAAGAGAAACGTGGCTCGAACTTTGAACTTTAAGAAGGAAATTGTTCTTAGTTGTGTTGAGTTCGACAAAATCTGTGGACCAATTTTTCCAAAAGGGAGAAAGAGGATGACCACACTACGAAGATATGATTTCAACTGTTTATTACTTCCTATGCCTATTTGGAAAAAGCAATCACGAAGGTCTATGCGTAGGAAGAATGTGGTTAGATGGGCTAGAATTGCTTCTGAAGGTAATCAAGTTTTTTTTTTTGGTTAGTTTATCTTTTAAATCAAAGATTGTTTATGCTTATGTCTTAACTATCATTTGTGTATTTTTATTTTATTTTGTAGACACACTCACGAGACATGTTGGTTCTCTAGTCTCAAAGCGAAACAAGAAAAGTACTAAGAATATTGTTGAGTATTTAAACCAACAAATATCTTATCAGAAAGATCACAGTCTCTCTTCTCTAGCAGATGTTCCTTTGCACATTGAAGGTAATCAAGTTTTTTTTTTTTTTTTTTTTTTTTAAGACATTGCTTAAAAATGTGGTCATATATTTATTTAAAATATTTTTTGTTATGGCATATTTATATTTTATCGTTGGTATACTTTTTTGCAGACACACTAATGAAATCGGCTAGTTCTGTACTTCCAGAACAGCCCATCAAGAAGACAAAGGATATTGCTAAGTTAATCAAAGAAATGGGAAGATTAAAGATCAATAAAAGGGTAACAACGATGATCAAATCTGCCAAAAAACTTGTTACTGCAAAGGTGAGTCTTGATCCAGAGACCATTAAAGAGTGGGAGCTCTTAATGGTGAATGATCTTCCAAGTAGATCATATGCTGACAAGGAGACAGAGGCCAAATGGAAAAAAGAAAGAGAGATTTTCCAAAGTCGGATAGATCTTTTCATTAACCGGATGCATCTTTTACAAGGTACACTATTGTTATTATCATTATTATTATTATTATTATTATTATTATGATTTAATTGTACTTGTATTCTGAATAAACTTACACTTCTATATACTACATCTATAAGGAATCCAAGTTTAAGTGAGTAAATTAAGTATTTAATGGAAGTTATGTTTCCTTCCATGATGTTAATAGTGATTATCTTGCAGGTAATAGAAAATTTAAGCAGTGGAAAGGCTCGGTTGTTGACTCAGTGGTTGGAGTTTTTTTGACACAAAATGTAACCGACTATCTTTCAAGGTAAAATCTCAGTTTAAATTGTTAAGAAAATTGAAAACTAATTGAGATAACATATGGTCACTTTGATTTTCTACAGCAACGCTTTTATGAGTGTGGCTGCAAAATTTCCTGTGGATGCAAGAGAAGGTTTAGAAAGTCTAGCCTACTACATTGAGGAACCTCAAGATGTTAATGAGTTAGTTGTTGATGGCCAAAGACCAACCCATATAGGAAACAATGATGCTAAAAGTTCTGAGTTTATCACTTTATCTGAGTCGATATCAGAGGTAGAAGAACATGAGAACACTGCAAAAAGGAAAAACGAGAAAACCGGTATTATGGAAGATGAGACAGTTGACTGGAAGATTCTTAGGAAGATGTACACAAAAGAAGGATCTCGTCCCAAAATGCATATGGACTCTGTTAATTGGAATGATGTGAGATTATCTGGCCAAAAAGTTTTTGAAACCACCATCAGAAGACGTGGACAATTCAGGATTCTTTCAGAAAGAATTTTGGTAAGAAAAACAAAACTTCTCATGAACTTTGTGAATAAATTATTCTAATGGTTTAAGACTAACACATTTTTTTTTTCTTGTTTTCTTAAGAAATTTCTCAACGATGAAGTTCAACATAATGGAAATGTTGATCTTGAATGGCTCCGAAATGCTCCATCAGATTTAGTGAAGTATGTTTATGTTGCTCCATCCGAAATGGCTTCTCATAGATCTCATTATTTGCAAGCAATCATAAATTCTTTGTTTATTTTATCAGGAGATATTTGTTGGAGATTGAAGGGATAGGACTCAAGAGTGCTGAGTGCGTACGGCTATTAGGACTTAAACATCATGCGTTTCCGGTATAAAAATAATTTTATGATTTTTTTTTTGACAGCAATAATATCATCATTTTTAATTTTAACATTTACTAATTATTTCTTACTAATAAAACCCATGTTTTTAATGTGTATAGGTTGACACAAATGTTGGTCGTATTGCAGTTCGACTTGGTTGGGTTCCCCTTGAACCTTTACCAAATGGAGTTCAAATGCATCAACTATTCCAGTTATGTTTTCCCATAAATTTGATTAAGAAAAATACATTACACTTTACTAACAACTATAACCTATCTATAAAAACGAACTCGTTTCAGGTACCCTTCAATGGATTCAATTCAAAAATACCTCTGGCCACGCTTGTGTAAACTTCCTCAAGAAACTTTGTAAGTTCAAATGTGTTTCCTCAATTTAAGAAGTCAACTATTTTCACGCCATATGAACACGTATTGCTTAATTTATGTTACATTTTTTACAGATATGAACTACATTACCAGATGATAACATTTGGAAAGGTACACACAATATATATACGTCAATAAAAAAAAAAAGATTACTAATTTAACCAAATTTTGTCAAATTTAGGTTTTTTGCACAAAAGTTATTCCTAACTGTAATGCATGTCCGATGAAGTCAGAATGCAAATATTTTGCAAGTGCATATGTCAGGTACAAATTTGTTCTTTCTTTCTCTTTCTTACTTTGATTACTTAGATTAGATCACTTAATTTGTTAATTTCATAAATATTAAAGAAAAATCCAAGAATAAACACAAAAATAATTGCTACTTTAAAAACTTCTCAGCTATATCCTACAACAAATCTCTAAAAATTGGGAGCAAAAGCGATTTCAATTTTTTTTTATATAGTTTTTGTCCATATATATTAATGTTAGAATGACTGAAATTGACATATTATGTTTTTTTAGTTCTAAGGTTCTTCTCGAGGGTCCAGAAGAAAAGATGCATGAGCCTGATACTTCTATGAATGCATATTCTCAAGACGTTGATGTAGATATGACATCAAAAATAAATTTGATAGAAGAATGTGTTTCTCCTGGATGTAGCGATCAAGCTATTTGTTGTAAGCCACTGGTTGAGTTTCCTTCTTCTCCTAGAGCGGAAATTCCCGAGTCAACAGACATTGAAGATATTCCATGCATAAATCTTTCTCAGCTATATGCTAGAGTTCCTAAAATTGATTTTGACATGGATGCATTGAAGAAAAACGTAGAAGATGCACTTGTAACAGGTGGTAGAATGTTGAGCAGTTCTGATGAAGAAATATCAAAAGCATTAGTGGTTCTCACTCCTGAAAATGCATGCATTCCAATCAAGCCGCCTCGAAAAATGAAGTATTATGATCGACTAAGAACTGAGCATGTGGTGTAAGTATCTATGTATATACTCATTATACCATACTTTGATGCATATTTTGGGAATCTATAATCTAATAATTGTTTGTTTTGCAGTTATGTGCTTCCTGATAATCATGAGCTGCTCCACGATGTAAGTATACATATACTTTAAGCTACAAAAAATGCAACTGTTTTGTATAATTTCTTAGAAAATGCTTTTGGTTTTACTACTTATATTATGTAGTTTGAGAGAAGAGAACTTGATGATCCGAGTCCTTACCTTCTTGCGATTTGGCAACCAGGTATAATATAAGCATAATTTATCATTGTTCACATAAATATAAGCTAATTTTGTATTGAATAATTTTTAGGTGAAACGTCATCCTCGTTCATTCCACCAAAGAAAAAGTGCAATTCTGATGGATCAAAGCTTTGCAAGATAAAGAGTTGTTCGTATTGTTGGACTATACGAGAACAAAGCTCCAACATCTTTCGCGGAACAATTTTGGTATGAAAAATTTATAACTTGATATTTTAACATATGCGACTTGAAACTCACATGAATTCAATTGATCAGATTCCATGTAGAACAGCAATGAGAGCGGGTTTTCCACTTAATGGAACGTACTTCCAAACTAATGAGGCAAGCGTTTTTACTTATAAATTTTTGCATGAGTTTTTACTTAATAGTTTTAAAGAAATTGAAAGGGTTGATTTTTTCAGGTTTTTGCTGATCATGAGACGAGTTTAAAACCCATTGTCTTTCCTAAAGAGTTGTGTGACGGACTAGAAAAACGTGCACTATATTGTGGTTCATCGGTGACATCCATTTTTCGATTTTTAGACACAAGACGGATTCAACTTTGCTTTTGGACAGGTAACACACATAAATTTATATTAAAAATGGTTGAATTATGAAATTAAAATTATTGTTGAATGTTGTGTGGTGATGTGCAGGGTTTTTATGTATGAGAGCATTTGATCGAAAGCAACGGGATCCAAAAGAACTTGTTCGACGACTACACACTCCACCCGATGAGAGAGGGCCAAAGTTTATGAGTGATGATCTATAGTTTTTTTTTCTGTCTAGTTTAGTAAAACATTTAATCGAACGTAACTTTTCTAATAATAACAAGTTGCTCAACGAACGTGTAAATTCATTGTTTCTTGATTTATATGCATGTACATTATAATTCTTGTACAAAATAACAAGTGATTTTCATATAATCTGGATTCAATCTGTGTACAAAACGAAATTAGAAATATGGTGTAATCCAGCTTCCTCATAACATTTAGCAATATGGTTTAAAGATTCGGACCAAGTTCCTTCAATAGAAGCCAAATCCAAGAGAAAAGCCGCAACATCCAACGCAACTTGGATTGGAGCTTTGCCTTTCTTTAAATCTTCAAAACGACCTTCATCACTCACCTTTTCCCTTATGAATTCGATCTGCTCGTCTTCCCATTGTGCTATACTAGCAACCTCCTGCATGTTTTCAAGATACCATGACCATGAAAATATCTCTATGCTTTAAAACTAAGTACAACCGAAAAAGAATAACAAAAATAACTTTAGTCATGCCTCATAAGGACATCCTAATGTCCACCAAGGTGATTTCAATGCTACTCTAGCTGCGTCTTTTGCTTCTGAATTCCGCCCTACCCTGCAAATAAAAATCCTAAGACAAGTGAGTACATCTTTCTCTACGAAAATAATGAGATGTGTTATAAGTATGTAAAGTTTACAAACTTCTGCAGTATATTTGCATAATATACAAAAGGTCGTCCAAATCCTGGAAAGAGGTCTTTCTTTGTGTAAAATTCTCCTGTCACCATAGCTGATACCTTCCATGAACAAAAAAGAAAATGTCTTATAAAAAGTTTCACATAAGGGAGATTCACGATTATAGGATATGAAATCATATGCATAAAAAAATCTTACATGATCTCCTTCATCAAAATGTCTTAATACTTTTCGCTCCAACAAATCTGGAAACAGTCCAACCTATACGATACAAAACAAAAACAAATACTGTTTATTGTGGTGTACATAACGCCTTTAATCTATAAGTACTGGGTTTTTAAGTCTTGCCTTTTTCAAGACATAGACATCGAGATTGTCGATTTGAGATTCAGCAAAAGCACCCTTTTTGTAAAGTTTTTCACCTGCCTCTTCTGAAGCACGATAAAGTTCTGTCAACTCTTGTGCATCTTCTTCAACTAGAATCCGGTGAATGTATTCATCTACCTAAATATCAGAAACTGTAAAATTGTTTCTTGGTAACACTAAAAGACATAAATCCTCTTAAAAAGATAAGCTAAGTATAACCAGAATGAAATGTCTTTACATTTCTAGCAATAAGCCGGACTCCACTCCTCCAAACTTCCACAACCGGCATATCCATTCTGTTTTCGAATACAAAAAGTTAAAATCAAGAATAATCCAACAACATATATTTACTACAGCAAGAGTTACCAAAAAAGAGATCCAAATATCTTACCCTGGTGGAGCAGTAGGCCATCTCAAAAGCGCAGTAACAGAGCCTACTTAGACAAAAAACCAGAAAAACAAAACTAAACATAAGCTGCTGGAAAAAGCTAATGGATTCAATCAAATGTGTGGACTTACCTGAAGAATTCTTCGAAAGCGGAATAGCAAGAGGGATCAGTCCCTGCTTAGCTCCAGGAGATATAATAGTTTCACCTGCAGACGAAATATGAAAACACCTAAGACCGTAAGATCCATAAGTTCCCCTTTTTCCATAATTACATATCCAGAATACCAAATTTCACATATGTTATAAAAGGGAATTAGTAACCAGAACTTGCATATACGTTCTATCCCCAAACCATATAAAAAGAAACAAAAATCTAAGTCTGGACACAGACGAGGAACAAAATTGAGCATTATTTTACCTCTTGTTTGAAGAACTTTGAGTAAGTGATGAAGATGCATTGGAGGTTCAGTGGCAGGTACATCTTTGATAAATGATACATGCCCTACACAACAACTCTAATCTTAAGTCAATCCCAAATGTGTCTCTTTGGAGAATTTTACACATGCTTTAATTAATTTGTTGTCTCCACCGAGCAATAACTAAAAAGACAGTCACTGCATTTTCCTACAAAAGATGGTTCTAAAATAATCAAGAAAGAGATAAGCTCAAGCATTGTCTCGATTTAAACCAATCAAACACACTCGACCAGTTCCATAATTCTACAATCACATGCAATTCCCACAAACAGAGGAAAACGAAATTACCAGAAGAGAAACAAGAGACTCTAGCTTTGAAATGGCGTAAAGGGAGAGTAGTAGAAGGAGTTATGTGCACCGAAATCGAACCCATGGCTTCTTATCTCTCTATCTTTCTCTCCACTCTCTGCTTCCTCACCCTCACAGAATTTTCGTAATTCATCAGTAGCAGCAAAAGATAGCCATTGATTTTGTTTCTCATTCAGCAAAAAAAAAAGAGAGAGATGGGCTTTAGGCTGTTATAATTTAAGGCCCAAGTCCAATGACTAAAAGACGCGTAACCGACAAAAACCGTCATTAAATGTGCAAGAGGGAAGGTCAATTTCGTCAACTACCGGTTTACAAGACCCGGTTAGGCCTACCTATAATCAATTTTCTCGGTGTCTTCGTTTTTTTTTTTTCCGATATTTTTCTTTTATTCTCGAGGATAATAATTATTCGCGATAGACGACGCCTTTCCTCTTAGCTCGGCGTTATCAGACTCACCGAGTCGACTCGCTCCGCCGCCGCCGTCTCCGTCATCACCGTCTGCGCAATCCGTTATTCATAGCCCGGATTTCTCTATGGAGATTTCCTCGGCCGAATCGTTGTCCATCTCTGGCGCGGCCGCTTCTGAGGTCGTCTCTGAGCCTTCCGTATCTTCTTCTTCTTCCTCTTCGTCGCCGAATCAGGCCTCCCCCAATCCTTTCTCAACCATGGATCCCGCAGTTGCGACGGCGACAGGGTCTAGGTACGTTGATGATGACGAAGATGAGGAGGACGTGTGCAGGATCTGCAGAAATCCTGGTGATGCGGACAATCCGCTTCGGTATCCGTGCGCCTGTAGCGGAAGCATCAAGTTTGTTCACCAGGATTGTCTCCTTCAGTGGCTTAATCACAGCAACGCTCGCCAATGCGAGGTTTTGTTTCTTTTCCTCTTTGTTATTGATTGTTGGGGTTCTCGAAAGAATCATGTGCAGGATTTTGCAGATTTCGGATTCTGATTAAGATCTGGATTCGTGTTGATTTGGATTGCCTTTTAGGAATTTGATATGGGTCAACCTTTTTTTCATGTTCTGATTCTTCTAGATGGTTTGAGAGTTTGGGTAAATGAATGGGCAATTGCATACGATTTCTGTGTGCTCGTAGTCAACTTTGACAGTTTAAAGTGTTCTCTTTTTATTTGTGTTTCTTAAGTAGGAGTTCTATATAGAAGAGAACACGTGATTATTGTTTGAGGCTTTGAGCTTATTGTTCATTTTCATTTCTGCAGGTTTGCAAGCATCCTTTTTCATTCTCCCCAGTGTATGCTGACAATGCTCCGTCAAGGCTCCCTTTCCAGGAGTTTGTAGTTGGCATTGCTATGAAAGCTTGCCATGTTTTACAGTTCTTTCTGCGGTTAAGTTTTGTGCTTTCTGTCTGGCTTCTCACTATACCTTTCATTACATTTTGGATATGGCGATTGGCTTTCGTGCGAAGTTTTGGTGAAGCTCAGAGGTTGTTCTTAAGCCACATCTCCACCACAGTAATTCTCACCGATTGCTTGCATGGGTTCTTACTATCGGCAAGTATTGTCTTCATTTTCCTTGGAGCTACTTCATTAAGGGACTACTTCAGGCATTTACGAGAGCTTGGGGGACAAGAAGAGAGAGAAGATGATGGGGACAGAAATGGTGCTCGTGCTGCAAGAAGACCTGCTGGACAGGCTAATAGGAATCTTGCTGGAGAGGGGAATGGTGAAGATGCTGGGGATCAGGGTGCTGCTGCTGGTCAGATTGTTAGAAGGAATCCTGAAAATGTTCTGGCAAGGTTGGACATACAAGCAGCTCGTCTTGAGGCTCAGGTTGAACAGATGTTTGATGGGTTGGATGACGCTGATGGTGCAGAAGACGTTCCATTTGATGAGCTGGTTGGAATGCAAGGTCCAGTGTTTCATTTGGTTGAGAATGCATTTACTGTAAGTTGATGTTTCTACTCTTGGTGATGTGTATTTTAAATTCTATTTTCCTTCTTCTTCACTATTGGCCCTAATTAAATCTTCATGATGTGCATAATTTTGCAGGTTCTAGCAAGCAATATGATATTCCTTGGTGTTGTGATCTTCGTGCCCTTTACCTTAGGACGAGTTATATTGTATCATGTGTCATGGCTTTTTGCTGCTGCTAGAGGCCCTGCGGTGACTGCATCATTGCATCTTACGGATACCGGACTCTCATTGGAAAATATAACTCTGAAGAGTGCGCTGACTGCTGTCTCAAATTTGACTAACGAAGGCCAAGAAAATGGGCTACTTGGCCAGCTCACTGAGATGATGAAAGTCAACGGAAGTGAATTGAATGGAGCAAACAATACGCTATCGGTTGCTACTGATCTCCTGAAAGGTTCTGCTGTTGGGGCCTCAAAGCTATCTGATATTACAACTCTGGCTGTTGGATACATGTTTATAGTATTTCTGGTGTTCCTTTACCTGGGGATCATTGCACTGATTCGATATGCCAAGGGTGAGCCACTAACCGTTGGAAGATTTTATGGTATTGCATCTATAGTAGAAGCTGTACCATCCCTCCTTAGACAGTTCTTGGCAGCAATGAGGCATCTGATGACAATGATCAAAGTTGCCTTTCTTTTGGTCATCGAGCTTGGGGTCTTTCCTCTGATGTGTGGGTGGTGGCTAGATGTTTGCACCGTTAGGATGTTTGGTAAAACAATGTCCCACAGAGTACAGTTTTTTATCAATTTCTCCACTGGCAAGCTCACTTGTTCATTGGGTTGTTGGTATCATGTACATGTTGCAAATAAGCATCTTCGTCAGCCTTCTACGAGGGGTACTGTGTTTTCCCTTCTCATAATTTCATTCTAGAAATAGCTTTTTCACTGCTACTATCTAAATATTTCTTTCCACTTTGTGCCAATTGCAGGTTCTTCGCCCTGGAGTTCTGTATTTCCTTCGTGATCCAGCAGATCCTAATTACAATCCATTCCGAGATTTGATCGATGATCCAGTGCACAAGCATGCTCGTAGAGTACTGTTATCTGTTGCAGTGTATGGAAGTTTGATTGTCATGCTGGTATTTTTACCAGTCAAACTTGCGATCCGGATGGCTCCTTCAATCTTTCCACTGGACATATCGTAAGAAATATTGACTAACCTCTTGTTTTTGGAGATTTTGTGTTTGAGGTCTTTCCTAACTTGTGCCTCTATGCAGTGTATCCGACCCATTCACTGAGATTCCGGCCGACATGCTTCTGTTTCAAATATGCATTCCATTTATCATCGAGCATTTCAGACTTCGGACCACAATTAAGTCCCTTCTACGCTGCTGGTTCACTGGTGTTGGCTGGGCACTTGGTTTGACAGACTTCCTCTTGCCAAGACCAGAGGACAACATTGGTCAGGACAATGGAAATGGTGAACCAGGAAGGCAGAACAGAGCACAAGTATTGCAGGTGGGAGGACCTGACAGGGCCATGGCAGCGCTCCCAGTAGCTGATGACCCTAACAGAAGTCGCCTCCGTGCTGGGAATGTCAACACGGGTGAGGAATATGAAGATGATGAAGAACAATCTGATTCAGAGTAAGTTCTTACTTACGAAATAAGCAAAAATCTTTTTTGATAGTAAGATTTTTTGCATGCTTGAACTAATTAACAGGACTGTTCGCTTGGTATATAGAGTTGACGAAGTATGTCAAGATTTCCATTACGGCTTCCCATGATATGAACATATTTTTTTAGCAGGTACAACTTTGTCGTCAGGATAATCCTCCTTCTACTTGTTGCATGGGTGACTCTTCTTCTCTTCAATTCAGCATTGATAGTTGTACCAGTTTCGCTTGGACGTGCTCTATTCAGTGCCATCCCTATTCTTCCAATAACTCATGGCATCAAATGCAATGGTAATGTTTGTTAATTTTGATCGTCTGAGTCATACTTTCACACGGTTACTCATTATTAACAGAATCCCTTAAAAATATGTAGACCTGTATGCTTTCGTCATTGGTACATATGCCTTTTGGACTACCATATCTGGGGCCAGGTATGCTATTGAGCATGTGAAGTCAAAGAGGACTTCAGTCTTGCTTAACCAAATATGGAAATGGTGTGGGATTGTTTTCAAGAGCTCGGTGCTGTTAGCCATATGGGTAAGTGGTTTGTGCTGTTATATTTTCAATTTTTGAGATACTCCAAACTCTACTAATTCTGGACTCTGTGCTTTTAAATTGGTGATTAAACAGGTTTTTATCATTCCGGTGCTAATTGGACTTCTGTTTGAGCTTTTGGTTATTGTCCCAATGAGAGTCCCAGTTGATGAAAGCCCTGTCTTCCTCCTGTATCAAGACTGGGCTCTTGGGCTCATCTTTTTGAAGATCTGGACTAGACTGGTAAGTAATTTTCTCCAAAAACCAGCTACTTTTCCCGCATAAGAAGATATTTTGTCACTAAAAAGCAACGTCAATGGACAGGTAATGCTGGATCATATGCTTCCAATAGTGGATGATAGCTGGAGAGCAAAGTTTGAGAGGGTAAGAGAAGATGGCTTCTCGAGGCTTCAAGGGTTATGGGTACTTAGAGAGATTGTGTTCCCGATCGTGATGAAACTCCTAACGGCTTTATGCGTGCCTTATGTGTTGGCGAGAGGAGTGTTCCCAATGCTCGGATATCCGTTAGTAGTGAACTCAGCGGTCTACAGATACGCATGGATAGGTTGTCTCTCAGTGAGCCTCTTCTGCTTCTGTGCAAAAAGATGCCATGTCTGGTTCAGAAACCTTCACAACTCTATCCGTGATGACCGTTATCTCATTGGTCGGAGACTGCATAACTTTGGGGAAGCTGCTTTGGCAAATCAAAACCAAAACCAAAGTAGTGAGGATGCAGGAGATGGTGTCCTGATAGGACGTGAGGGAGATGTTGATAATGGACTTAGGCTCAGACGTGCAATCCAACAAGAAGCTTAGGTATTTTGTCAAACTCAGTTGGAAACTGTGCACTGAGGCGTTTAACAGTTGTGTACTTAAGCCGTTAAGAGATGGCTTTGAAAGATTTTATTTTATTAGTCGATGTGTAAATTATTATATCCGTTGATGATTCTTTTCTTTTTGTTTGTGTACTAAACTAAAAGATCTTTAGAATAATGCTTCGTTTGTCCATATGCCTTGTTTCTATTATAATGCTTCTGGAAAACCATCGCCAATTGCAAATTCTTCTCTCTTATATTCATTGATATTGTTTTGTTTTATTTTTATTTTCCAACGATATAAAAATAAGAGGAACACAGAAAAAACATAATTTATGAACATTAGTGATGAACTAAGGAAACCAAGATCAATTTCGTCAATTACCGGTTTACAAGTCCCGGTCTAGTCCTACCATATAATCAATTTAGTCGGATAACAATAAACCGCGATAGACCGACGCTCTAGCTCGGCGTTGTGAATTGGCGGGAGCTTATAGTGTGACCTTTCTCCTCAGTATCACCGTGGGTAGGCGTAATCAGAGTCACCGAGTTGACTCGCTTGACCGAGTTGAAGCGCACTACGTTGTTCCTAGTTCTCCATGGAGATTTCCTCCGCCGAATCGTTGTCCATCTCTTTCGCGACCGCCTCTGAGGTCGTCTCGGAGCCTTCGGTATCTTCTTCGTCATCCTCCTCGCGCCTGTCTGCTTCGTCGCCGAATCAGGCCTCTTCCACCGCTTTCTCCACCATGGATCACGCATTTGCGACGGCGGCAGTCGAAGATGAGGAGGACGTGTGCAGGATTTGCAGAATTCCTGGGGATACGGACAATCCGCTTCGGTACCCGTGCACCTGCCGCGGGAGCATCAAATTTGTTCACCAGGATTGCCTCCTTCAGTGGCTTAATCACAGAAAAGCTCGTCACTGCGAGGTTTTGTTTCTCCCTTATAGAAGATTTGCTTTATTTGTTTTTTTTTATGGTTTTAGGTAACCTTCTCAGTTTGTCTCTCTACGATTTGGTCATAGGTAGTGAGCTTCAATAAGACTATATTGCACAGGTTGAAGTGTTCTTTCTATGAATGTTTCTTATAGGTAGTAGTTTTACCTAGAATGGAACTCATCCTTATTATTTGAGTTCATGAATATTATTTGAGTTCATTAGAGTGATTGAAGCTTATTGCTCACTATATCTCTGCAGGTTTGCAAACATCCTTTTTCATTCTCCCCAGTGTATGCTGAAAATGCTCCAACAAGGCTCCCTTTCCAGGAGTTTGTAGTTGCCATTGCCACGAAATGTTTTCGCGTTTTACACTTCTTTCTGCAGTTGAGCTACGTGATTGCAACCCGGTTTATCATTATTCCTTACATTACATTTTGGATATGGCGACTGGCTTTTGTGCGGAGTTTTGGTGAAGCTCAGCAGTTGTTCTTAAGTCACATCTCCACCACAGTAATTCTCACTGATTGTTTGCATGGGTTCTTACTGTCGGCAACAATTTACTTCTTTTACTTTGGAGTAATTTTACTAAGGGTGATCTTTAGGCGTTTGCGAGAGCTAAGGGGGCAAGAAGAAAGAGAGGATGAATGGGACAGAGATGGTGCTCGTGCTGCCAGAAGGCCTCCTGCTGGACAGGCTAATAGGAATCTTGCTGGAGAGGAGAATGGCGAAGATGCTGGGGATCAGGGTGCTGCGTTTGGTCAGATTGTCAATAGGAACCCTGAAAATGTTCTGGAAAGGTTGGGCATACAAGCAGTTCGTATCGAGGCTCAGGTTGAACAGAGTTTTGATGGTTTGGACGACGCTGATGGTGCAGAAGAAGCTGTATCATCCCTCCTTAAACAGTTCTCGGCAGCAATGAGGCATCTGATGACTATGCTCAAAGCTACCTGTTTTTTTGTCTACTTCTTAGGGGTCTTCCCTCTGATGTGTGGGTGGTCGCTAGATGTTTGCACGGTTAGGATGTTTGGTAAAACAATGTCTCACAGAGTACAGGTTTTATCAACTTCTCCATTGGTAAGCTCACTTCTTCATTGGGTTGTTGGATTCATGTACCTCATGTTTACAATGATCTTCGAAAGCCTTCTACGAGAGGTACTGTGTTTTCCTTGATCATAGTTTCATTATGGAAACAGGTTTTTTCCCTGTACTACCTAATATTTTTTCACTTCTGTGCCAATTGCAGGTTCTTCGACCTGGAGTTTTGTATTTCCTTGATTACCTTGAAGATCCTAATGTCGATCCGTTCCAAGATATGATTGATGATCCAGTACACAAGCAAGCTCGGAAGGTTCTGTTAGAAACTGCAGTGTATGGAAGTTTGATTGTCATGCTGGTATTTTTACCAGTCAAACTTGCGATCCGGATGGCTCCTTCAATCTTTCCACTCGACATATCGTAAGAAATATTGACTAACCTCTTGTTTTTGGAGATTTTTTGTTTGAGGTCTTTCCTAACTTGTGCATCTATGCAGTGTATCCGACCCATTCACTGAGATTCCAGCCGACATGCTTCTGTTACAAATATGCATACCATTTGTTATCAAGCATTTCAGATTCCAGACCTCAATTAAGTCCCTTCTACGTTACTGGTTCACTGGTGTTGGTTGGGCGCTTGGTTTGACAGATTTCCTCTTGCCAAGACCAGAGGACAACAATGGTCAGGACAATGGAAACGGTGAACCAGGAAGGCAGAACAGAGTACAAGTATTGCAGGTCGGTGGACCAGATAGGCCCATGGCTGTTCTTCCAGCAGCTGATGACCCTAACAAAAGTCGCCTATGTGCTGGGAATGTCAACACGGGTGAGGAATATGAAGATGATGAAGAACAATCTGATTCAGAGTAAGTTATTACTTAAGAAATAAGATAATAACTTGTTTTGATGCTTTTAATATTTGCATGCTTGTAGTAATTAAAAGGAGTGTTCGCTTGGTATATAGTTGACTAGGTACATAAAAGTTTTCATTAGGTCTTCCCCGGAAATGAATGTAATTTTTTAGCAGGCACAACTTTGTGGTCCGGATAATCCTCCTTCTACTTGTTGCATGGGTGACTCTTCTTCTCTTCAATTCAGCATTGATAGTTGTACCAGTTTCGGTTGGACGTACTCTATTTAGTGTCATCCCAATTCTCCCAACAACTCATGGCATCAAATGCAATGGTAATGTCTATAATTTTTTATCTTCTGAGTCATTCTCTCTAACGGTTACACATTATAAACATTACTGACAGAATTTCCTAAATCTGTAGACCTGTATGCTTTTGTCATTGGCACATATGCCTTTTGGACTACCATATCTGGGGCCACGTACGCTATTGAGCATGTCAAGTCGAAGAGGACTTCAGTCTTGCTTAACCAAATATGGAAATGGTGTGAGATTGTTTCCAAGAGCTCGGTGCTGTTAGCCATATGGGTAAGTGGTTTTTACTGTTACATTTTCTATTTTTGAGATACTCCAAACTCTACTAATTCTGGATTCTGTGCTTTTAAAATGGTGATTAAACAGGTTTTTATCATTCCGGTGCTAATAGGACTTCTGTTTGAGCTTTTGGTTATTGTCCCAATGAGAGTCCCAGTTGATGAAAGCCCTGTCTTCCTCCTGTACCAAGACTGGGCTCTTGGGCTCATCTTTTTGAAGATCTGGACTAGACTGGTAAGTAATTTTCTTCAAATCAGCAATTTTTGCTGCATAAGAAGATATTTTGTCACTAAAAAACAACGTCATTGGGCAGGTAATGCTGGACCATATGCTTCCAATAGTGGATGATAGCTGGAGAGCAAAGTTTGAGAGGGTAAGAGAAGATGGCTTCACAAGGCTTCAAGGGTTATGGGTACTTAGAGAGATTGTGTTCCCAATTGTGATGAAACTCCTAACAGCTTTATGCGTGCCTTATGTCCTGGCGAGAGGCGTGTTTCCAATGCTCGGATATCCGCTAATAGTGAACTCGGCGGTCTACAGATTCGCATGGATAGGTTGTCTCTCGGTGATCCTCTTCTGCTTCTGGTTCAGAAACCTTCACAACTCCATCCGTGATGACCGTTATCTCATTGGTCGGAGACTCCATAACTTTGGGGAATCTGCTTTGGCTAATCAAAACCAAAAGTGAGGATGCAGGAGGTGGTGTCTTGATAGGACGTGAGGGAGATGGTTATAATTGACTTAGGCTCAGACGTGCAATCCAACAAGAAGTTTTTTTTTTGGTGAACAATCCAACAAGAAGTTTAGACAGAGAAAATAGTAATTGTCAAACTTAATCGGAAACTGTTCACTGAGAGTCGTTTTAACTTAGGCTTGGAAAGATTTATTAGTCTGTGTGTATCCGCGTTGATCCTCTTCTTTTCTTTTTTTTTTCCTTATATTCAAAATTTCAAACGATCTTTAGAAATGAGAAAATGCCTTGTGTGTTTCTTTCGTAATGCTTTTGGAAAAGATTGCGTATTGCAAAATGTCACCCTCATTTTTATGTGCTTTCGTGTTACAATTCTACTGGAAGACCAATCGTGTATTAATTTGAATTGTTTTGACAAGTCAAATCCTAACATATTGGTTAGTTACATAATTAAGATACTTTTTTTTTTTTTGTCGGCTAATTAAGATACTTTGTGCATTATGAAATCGTGCGGTATGTTGCCAATGAATTTAGAGTATATATATTAGCAATTTACTTTAGGAAGTTTTCAAGATCCGTTGAATGAGAATATTGCTAACAAGAATTAAGAAATGTTAAGATAAATCAAAGAAAAAAAAAAAAAAAATCATTTAACCTTGTACCAAAAAAAAACAATCAAAGAAAAAATCATCACTGTATAAAATTTTAACTAATTTGGTTACTAAATAAGATTTTAATTAGCTAAATATTCGAAGGTGCTATACACGCGCGCATCTGTTTGACTTTTCCGAAAGTGACGAGAACGAAGACGACCTTATCACCAACCAACTCTAAAATCAATCTTTCGATTTACTTCAGACTCAATCCAACGGCTGAGATCTTCCCTCACATCAACACTCCTCCTAGGGTTCTCTTCTAGGGAAATTAAAAAAAAATGTTAATATAAAAGCAGAATATAGAAAAATCCGCAATGCTTCTCTTTCATCTTTCGTAATTGTCCTTGTTTCGCCTAGAATCTCTCGCCCCCAAATATCTCACTCGCCGTCGCAGGCTTCGCCGCCGGCAATTTCTTACCCTATTTCATCTTCCCTCTCCTCTGATATACCCAAAAAAAAACCAAAAAAGCCGCTACTAAAAAAAACGAAAAAACTAAAACTTTCGCTTAGGTTTTGTTGATTTTGTCTTCCGATTCGATTTCTTGTCTTCTTTCAATTCTAGGGTTTTCGATTTGGTTTCAGTTTAATAACGAGAGGGGAGGGAAGAGTAACTAAAACCCCAAAAAAAGTAAAAAAAGTTTCGAAAATCCAAAAAAAAGAGAGAATGGCGCAGGTTCAACTTCAGGGTCAGACTCCGAATGGTTCGACCGTGGCGGTCACTTCTGCTCCGGTGACGTCAGGTGGAGCAACGGCGGCCGGGTTTGGTACCACGTCGCTTTATGTGGGAGATCTCGATGTCAATGTGACGGACTCGCAGCTTTTCGATGCGTTTAGCCAAATGGGTCCAGTGGTCTCCGTTCGTGTCTGTAGAGATTTGGCCACTCGCCGATCCCTTGGCTATGGATACGTTAACTTTACCAATCCCCAAGACGGTTAGTCTCCTCAATTTATTTGGACTTCTTCTTTCAATCAAGAAATTTCCAATTTTTAGGGTTTGCTCGATAGTACTCGTACTGGATTTGAATGGGGTGTGTTTTAAATGTTGATACTTTATGGGGTTTGTATGTATGCAATGTGGTTGATGCTGTTGGAAAACTTATCCCCTGCTTAATCAATCTTTCTCATGCGTACTTCTTACCTTCTAATGGTACTTTATCTCGTGTCTTTGTTGCAGCTGCAAGAGCGATCCAAGAACTGAACTACATACCTCTTTATGGAAAACCTATTAGGGTTATGTATTCTCATCGTGATCCTAGTGTTCGTCCGAAGTGGCGCTGGAAACATTTTTATCAAGGTACTCTTGTCTGTATCCTTCTGACATTTGAGTTGCTGTAAGACAAGATGATTGTTAGGATAAAAATTGAATCTTGTATTATCCCATTGAAAAGTGTGGCAAAAGTAGTTGATTTCTTTAGTTGTGTACGTTTTTTTGGGGTGTTCTTTCTCTCTTTCTGATGCTAAATCTGGCTATAAATATGCAGAATTTGGACGAGTCCATCGACCACAAAGCACTGCATGATACTTTTTCAGTGTTTGGAAACATTGTGTCGTGCAAGGTAGCTGTGGACTCTTCAGGCCAATCAAAAGGCTATGGGTTTGTGCAATACGCCAATGAAGAATCTGCCCAGAAAGCTATAGAGAAACTGAACGGCATGTTGCTCAATGACAAGCAAGTGTATGTGGGTCCTTTCCTGAGGAGACAGGAAAGAGACTCCACTGCTAACAAAACGAAATTCACCAATGTGTACGTGAAGAATCTCGCGGAAAGTACTACCGATGATGACTTGAAGAATGCTTTTGGCGAGTATGGAAAGATAACAAGTGCTGTGGTGATGAAAGATGGAGATGGGAAGTCTAAGGGCTTTGGGTTTGTTAATTTTGAAAATGCTGATGATGCTGCTAGGGCTGTGGAGTCTCTCAATGGGCACAAATTTGATGATAAGGAGTGGTATGTTGGTAGAGCCCAGAAGAAGTCGGAGAGGGAAACAGAATTAAGGGTCCGTTATGAACAGAATTTGAAGGAAGCTGCAGACAAGTTTCAAAGTTCAAACTTGTATGTGAAGAATTTGGATCCTAGCATTTCAGATGAGAAGCTTAAAGAGATCTTCTCTCCTTTTGGTACCGTTACATCTTGCAAGGTCCAATATCCCTCTCTCTTTTTATCTGTAGTGAGTTGACTGTCTATGCTCATTATTTAAGAAGCTCTTTCATTAATTTGACAGGTGATGCGGGATCCTAATGGAACAAGCAAAGGCTCAGGTTTTGTTGCTTTCTCAACTCCCGAAGAAGCAACTGAAGCTGTAAGTCACTTGTATTGTCTTTTGATTGTATGTGTAAGGAAAGGCACTTTGATTGTTAGTAACAGTGGAATACTGTACAGATGTCACAGTTGAGCGGTAAAATGATCGAAAGCAAGCCACTCTATGTGGCTATTGCACAGCGGAAGGAAGACAGAAGGGTCAGACTACAGGTTTGCTTCTCTTGGAATCACCTCTTCTTGTGATATTCTTACTACTCCTACTTTTTCTGTTGGAGCGTCAACTCTAAACAATTGGACCCATCATATCCAAGTCTTAAAATGTTTTCCACTGCGTATAATTCTCAATGCTGATGCATCTTTATAATCCAGGCCCTACTCATGTCGTTTGGAAATTATATGGTATTTTGAAGATGTAGATATGTCGTTTTAGGCTGTGAGCAAGAACATTTGTAAACAAATTGTGATGAGATTATAAAATTGACTTCAATTCGTAACAATTTCCATTGTACAGTACAACAATGTATAAAGCAAAAACAACAAATGTTCTAGTATTTGTATGACATAAAAATCTCATTTTTTATCTCCTGCTGCTAACTGCTGAGTGTTTGCATTGATGTGAATAGGCTCAGTTTTCCCAAGTGAGGCCAGTTGCAATGCAGCCGTCTGTTGGTCCCCGCATGCCAGTGTATCCCCCGGGTGGTCCTGGTATTGGACAACAAATGTTCTATGGTCAGGGTCCTCCTACCATGATTCCTCCCCAGGTAATCATCATGTTTGCTCTACTTTAAGTAGCCGTATGCGATTTTGCACAAATGAGCCCAGATGCTTCCCAATTCTATTTTGAAACTGTTGGGATAATGTTAACCTAATATTAACCTGTACTTGTGCAATGCTACAGCCTGGTTTTGGGTACCAACAGCAGCTTGTTCCTGGAATGAGACCTGGTGGGGGCCTGGACCCAATTTCTTCATGCCTATGGTTCAGCAACAGCAGCAGCGTCCTGGGGGAGGAAGACGTCCTGGGGGAATCCAACACCCCCAGCAGCAAAATCCCATGATGCAGCAACAGGTTCTTCTCTTTTCCTTATTTAGTTGCAATAAAAGCTGCTTTGCTTGCTCCTCTCTCTCTAAATAGTTGATCATATGATTTTTCTGTTTGGCTGGTGGTTAGATGCATCCAAGGGGTCGGATGTTCCGGTATCCCCAAGGACGTGGTGGTGGTGGTGGTGAAGTGCCTCCATATGATATGGGCAACAACATGCCATTGCCTATTGGAGCTTTGGCTTCACATCTGGCTAATGCTTCTCCAGAGCAACAGAGGACGGTGAGAGAATCTCTAAAAGACCAAATAGAGAGACTGGTTTTGTTTGGATTATTATAATGTTTAATGTTGACCCTTTGGTGAGTGTATAGATGCTGGGTGAGAGTCTGTACCCGTTGGTGGAGCAGCTTGAGGCAGAGTCTGCAGCCAAAGTGACTGGGATGCTTTTGGAGATGGACCAGACTGAAGTGCTTCATCTGTTGGAGTCACCAGAAGCTCTCAAGGCTAAAGTTGCAGAGGCTATGGATGTTCTCAGGAGCGTCGCTGCTGGTGGTGCAGCCGAGCAGCTTGCTTCCTTGAACCTCTCTTAACTTGTTTTTTTACCATTTGATCTTTGGCTTTTGTCTCTCTCCCATACAATTGGAGTTGTTTCTTTCTCTATTTGTTTTCTCCCTGGGAATTTGGATTCCTCCACATAACTGCTTTTGTGTTATTTTAAACCTTCGCTTTTGAAACCACAAAGGAAAAACCTATCTGCTTTGTTCTTCTGATTTAGTTGCATGTTCTTGCTTATTCGATCTAGTGTCCACAGAAGATAAACTTGATATCGATAAGGTCAAAGCTGTTGATCCCCCTCTTTGGACTGTGATTGTTGCTTCTAGTCTTTTTCTTGCCAGTTTTGAAGCTCTTAAGTTATGGTGAAAGGTGGATTAAATCGTTGTGGTAAAAATGCATGAATGGTCTCATTATCATCTTAGAGTGTGATGAGATAATACATTTTTAACTTTTTTAATCCACTTGCTTCTTGGTTGATTGGCACTTGGCAGTTATTGATTTTGCTTTTGGAATACTTTTTCTGCATCTATTAGAGAATGAGAAACTAACTACTTACAAAAAAAAAAAAAAAAAAAAGTCTTTTATCTACGCTAAGTATTCAGGATATTCGGATTTTTCATACATGAATTTTGTTTTCCAGCGCGCCATGAACTATCGTCTACTTGTTTTTTGTGTGTATTTGACAACTAGATGACATGCAGCGACACAGCTTTTAAGTCTAATGACATTTGTGAACTAATTCTGAAGTATTTAAAATGTGACCGACTATTATGAAAATCTCTAGATATTTAACTCATGTCAACATTCAACAATCACGACATAAAAATCTAATAACACTTGAATCCAAAAGAGGGTTCAAATTAGGGCTTCTTGTTAAATCGAAATTGGACTTTTAAAAACTTTTGACAAAAAAAGAGTCGAAAATATCGTTTCGAAATTGACGACCCAAAGGTCCCAAAGGAATAGTAAAAATGCCGACCAATCAACCATATACCAAAATTGATATGTGGCAATGTCCCCACCAGTACCACCACCACCTATCATATCACAAGTTCTCTCTACTTTTTCTCCGAATTTTACCCACCCAATCAAAACGCTTCTCCTTCTTCTTCTTCTTCACTTCTCTCTCCTTCAACAAAATTTTCTACCTTTGTATCTTCTCTCAGATTTCATAAAAAAAGATTAAATTTTTCATTGGAATTCGTGAGTAACAGAGGATAAGCGATTATGGGTTCCATCTCTTTATCCAATTCTCTGCCCATAACTCGACTTCCACTACTTACATCACTCAATCATCAAAGCTTTCTTCCGATTTCTTCTTCATCTTTCTCTCTTTTTCCTCTCTCTAATCGTCGTCGCTGCTCCACTTTTTCACCATCAATCGCCGTATCTGCCTTCTTCGCAGCTCCTGCCAGCGTTAATAATAACTCTGTTCCGGTGAGTCAAGTTGCGATAAACCCTTTTGACCCCTGTAACCCTTTTGGCTTATGGTTTGAGATTTGTTTTGACTCTTTTGGGTGTTTCAGGCAAAAAATGGAGGTTACACAGTTGGGGATTTCATGACACCGAGACAGAATTTGCACGTTGTTAAGCCTTCAACGTCGGTCGATGATGGTAATTTATGCAGAAAATGGGAACAAATTTTCCATTACTTTAACTATCAATCCTTGTAGTAGTCTCTAAATTTGTCTCGTTTTGGTTATCTTGCAGCATTGGAACTTCTGGTTGAGAAGAAAGTCACGGGATTGCCTGTAATTGATGATGATTGGAATCTGGTAAAAATCATCTCTTTTTTCATTGTGTTCCTCTGTTTAGATTCTTGAACAACAAGCTCGTGATTAATCATAGTCGTACAAAGCTAGCGTCGTCGGTTTAGTTACTAATTTATTGGATTCAGAAGTTAACAAGATATGCTTTATCTATCTGAGATCTTTTACTTACCCTGTTGTTACTTCTCCTGCAGGTTGGTGTTGTTTCTGATTACGATTTGCTTGCACTGGACTCCATCTCTGGTAAAATATACCCTAAGTTTGTAAAATCTTCTGTTTGTTTTCTTTCCGCAAGAAGAGAAACCTCTTGTGTGATGATCACAAAAGCATACGGTTTCAGTTTCACTATAGATAATCCTAGGAATACTCTTATTGTTTAGGAACAGAGTTAAAGAGTTAAGTCATAATCTATTTCTAGGATTTCACTTCTGGACTTGTGGATGATCTTATTTTTGTTTGCACATAGTTTTCATGTTTAGTTTTGTTGTCAAGTACGTTTTATGGTTTTGTATGGCGCAGTCTGGAGAAAACAACTTAACCTCTTGTCTTTTATATTATAGGCCGCAGTCAAAATGATACAAACTTATTCCCTGATGTCGACAGTACCTGGAAAGTATGGTTCTCCTTATCCGTATATATACCCATTGCTTTATTTGAGGACTAGTGTTTGTGTCATGTGCATGAAATTCCTGGGAATGAGGTTTACTTATATGATATTCGAATTTTCTTTTGGCCAGACGTTTAATGAACTCCAGAAACTGATCAGTAAGACATATGGAAAAGTTGTTGGAGACTTGATGACACCATCTCCTCTCGTTGTCCGTGATTCTACCAATTTAGAAGATGCAGCCAGGTATCTTCCTCTTTATGTTTTCCTTTTGCAAATTAGATGGTAGAAGCTTAGGAGGAATGAGTTCTATCCAATTTTTCTAGTGACATTACAAGCAACGTTTCTTACAAGAACTGTAACCATTTGGTCTCCAGGTTGCTTCTGGAAACAAAATTCCGAAGATTACCAGTCGTGGATGCTGATGGAAAACTGGTGAGAATCTCAATTCTTCTTCTTTCTGCTGTTTTATTTTGGTCTGAGCTTTTCAGTTTCTAAACACATCGTCTTTTTTTTCCGGGCAACAAGATTGGGATCCTTACAAGGGGAAACGTTGTAAGGGCTGCGCTGCAGATCAAACGGGAAACCGAGAACTCTACATAGCTAGGAAGCAGCAGTGATGGAGCAGATCCCTTGAATCTGCCATAGTTAATAGCGAAATCTATTTATTCCATTGATATATAAGTATATATATGCACTCATTCTCTGTTAATTTTCGGCTTTCATTAGCAATTTTTTTTACTTTAGGAGTAACATTTCTCAGACTCAGAACTGAAGACAAATGGTATATTTTATATTTTATTGTAGCACAAGTCTACTCTTATCACCAAAGCAAAGGCCAAGCAGAATCGAACTACTCTTCATTCTCTCACTGAGCTCTTAATGAAGCTATTCAAAACAACAAACGAAGACCCTGTTTTCTCCACCGCGGCTGTGGCCATCACAACCTCTTCTCTGCCCTCGTCTCTGCTAATTATGAACTAAACTCTTCTATGAAGCTGTTTATATCGTTGAAAGAAGACCCTCCTTCTTCCACGGCGGCTTTAGCCATCTCTGCCAGCTTCTTTGCCCGCTCCCGCCTCTCATCCGCCTCTTCCCCAACCAACACCTCCCTCACGGCTTTATCCACTTTCTCTCTGCTAATGAAATCTCCCGTAGTCCTTACATGCTTTTTCGCTCCCACGCTCACTCCTGTTCTGAGCACTTGCGTAACCAATTTCTCGTTGTAGAATTGCTCCGCTCCAACCGGCCATGTCACCATCGGTAGCCCTGCAACCACTCCTTCAAGAAGCGAGTTCCAGCCGCAATGGGTCACGAACCCACCGGTTGCTTGATGGTCAAGTATCAGCACCTGTGGAGCCCATCCTCTTATTATCATCCCTTTCCCTTTCACCCTCTCTTCAAACCCTTCTGGTAACCATTCTTCTTTGTCATCTATTCATACCAAATTTTGTTACAAAGTAAGAAACAGAGCAATCCAAAAATCCAATTATATAAGCTGTAATTGTTTGAAACGTTAATTTCTATACCTGTGTTTTTCCTAACAACCCAAATGAAATTTGCTCCAGAAGTTTCTAATCCTGCAGCGATCTCGAATAGTTGCTCGTTCTTGAAGCAAGCCACGCTCCCAAAGGAAATGTAAATGACTGAATCTGGTTTCTTGGAGTCAAGCCATTTGAGGCATTCAACTTCATCAATGCTTGCTTTCTTTCCTCTCTCAGCCTTCTCCTCAAACCCTCTGTTGTAAACCGAGAGCGGACCGATATGCCATGCTCTCTTCACTACAACACTCTTGTAAAAATTGGCGTAATCAGGTTCAAGCTCGTAAAAGCTGTTGACAATAACACCAGAACTCTTCACATCAGATTCTTTGACCTCAATCATAAACTTCCCCATCTCGCTTTCTTCGTCACGGTCTGCGATCTGTTCTTTTGTTATCACTATGTTCCCAGGGAGATCAGGGATCACAAATGGCTCACAACTCGAAGCTACTGTGTTTTGTGGGTTATGCACTCTGATGCAATATTCAGAGCATAAAGAGAAGTAGCCAGTGCCGTGGAACACAAATCTTGGCACATGGAACTTTTCAGCAGCTTCAGTAGCCCAGGGGAAGAACATGTCGGCGATAAGACAGTCTGGTCTCGTTGTCTCAAGGAGCTTCTCAAGCTGGTCTTTGAAAAACCTTGTCGACAGAAAGAATTTCAAGGTGATATAGTGTCTATCATCATTGTTGTTTGAGGTGAAGAAATCGACGTTTTCGCATCCTTCTGGTAACCCTAGCTCCACGCAAGGGAAATCGAAGATCTGGATGTCGATTTCAAGACTCGGATTCAGGTTCTTGAATGTGTCGATTGGTTTTTGGAGGATCTTAGAGTTGAGAGGTGTGGTGAGGATTGTAGATTTGGCTCCTCTGCTAGAGAAAAGCTTAGCCATGTCTAAAGTTGGTATCAGGTGGCCATAAGCCATGAAAGGGAAAAACATAACATGGAGCTTACGATGAGGATGATCACTACTCATGTTTGACTTTGGTCGAAAAGAAAATTTGAAAAGTAATAAAAAGAAATGAGAGATTTTGAAGCTCCTATCACTTGATCCGGTACGTGTTTGCATACGTCGCTTCTAGTTTCTTTCGAACCAAAATTTTGTAACTTTTTTTTTTTTTTGTTAAATCAAAATTTTTGTTACATGTAAATCATTTTAGAGATCCATCATATGGAATTATATATTTCTCTAATGCATTGGGTCTGTATATTAGAGGAAAGTGAGACAATAACATGTGGGTTAGTGCCTTAGTGGTCCACCAGTTAGAAAAATGCAAATTTTGCCATTCGCCTTATGGAATATTTGGATACCAAAGATGAATATATTACTATTATCCATACAATGATACAAATAGCTTCTGACTACAATGAAAAAAAAAAAAATACTATTGTTGTTGGAATATAGAAATAAGATAAATTATCAGAAAAAAAAAAAGGAAAAGAATCTAAAACGTTAGAACTTGGAACATACAATTCTGCTAAATCGAGAATAAAGAACTGACCTCGATAAGAATAAAACTGATGTTATATTATGGAGTCACCCAAAGAGAGATACATATGTGACTTTTAGTCTTTAAGAAATAGTTTGTATGCTAATCAGGTAAAGTATTGAAACTAAAATTCTTTTAACTATCTTAAAGAACCTAGCTATAATCCTCATCCTTTACCAATACTGCATACAAAGAGGTCATTTTAAATTTGAATGAACAAATCCAAATTTTATGCTAGTTTTTTTTTATCACATAACAAAAACATATGAAAACACTTTGACAGCGAAGCACGTGACATTGAATCAACAGCTGATAGAGAACAACGAAGTAATTGTTCAAGTAACTTAAACCAATACACTAACAAATTCATTGTTAGCATTTGAAAATATTAAATCTGTAACCATTGGTTAATTTTCTCCTAACAAAACAGAGGATTATGCTGAAGATAATAGTTGGAGAGATGTATATGGTAAGGTACTAAGGTAGCTTCCATTTTTGTTGACAAATAGTGAATTAACTCATATCTTTTATATTTTACATTAGGTGTCATATTACTTCTGCTATAGAATTCCTAAACAGAATCTATATGAAGATTATGAACTAAACTCTTCCATGAATCTGTTTAGATCGTTGAAGGAAGACCCTCCGTCTTCCACGGCAGCTTTAGCCATGGCGGCCAGCTTCTTTGCCCGTCTCCGCCTCTCCTCCGCTACTTCCCCAGCCAAAACCTCCCTCACCGCTTTATCCACTTTTTCTCTGCTAATGAAATCTCCCATCATAACCTTCACATGCCTTTTCGCTCCCACGCTCACTCCTGTATTAAGCACTTGTGTAACCAATTTCTCATTGTAGAATTGCTCCGCTCCAACCGGCCATGTCACCATCGGTAGCCCTGCAGCCACTCCTTCAAGAAGCGAGTTCCAGCCGCAATGGGTCACGAACCCACCGGTTGCCTGGTGGTCAAGTATCAGAACTTGAGGAGCCCATCCTCTTATTATCATCCCTTTCCCTTTCACCCTCTCTTCGAACCCTTTTGGTAACCATTCTTCTTTATCATCTGTTCACACCAAATTTTGTATCAGATTGAAAACAAAGCAAACCCAAAATACAGTTATACTATATAGGCTTCAAACGTCAATGTCAACAATACCTGCTGCTTTCCTAACAACCCAGATGAAACTTGTGCCGGAAGCTTCTAACCCTGCAGCGATCTCGAATAACTGCTCATTGTTGAAGAAAGCCACGCTCCCAAAGGAAACATAAATGACTGAATCTGGTATCTTGGATTCGAGCCATTTGAGGCATTCAGCCTCATCAATGTTCGCTTTCTTTCCTCTCTCAGCCTTCTCCTCAAATCCTCTGTTGTAAACCGAGAGAGGACCGATATGCCACGCTCTCTTTTGTACAAAACTTTTGTAAAAATCGGCGTAATCATGTTCTAGCTCGTAGAAACTATTCACAACAACTCCTGAGCTGTTCACTTCTGATTCCCTAACTTGAGTCATAAACTTTCCCATGTCAGATTCTCCATCGCCATCTATGATCTGTTCTTCAGTTATCACTATGTTCCCAGGGAGCTCGGGAATCACAAATGGCTCACAGCTTGAAGCCACTCTCTTCTGTGGTTTATGCACTCCGATGCAATAACCAGCGCATAAAGAGAAGTAGCCAGTGCCGTGGAACACAAGTCTTGGCACATTGAACTTCCCAGCAGCTTCAGTAGCCCAGGGGAAGAACATGTCGGCGATAAGACAGTCTGGTCTCGTTGTCTCCAGGAGTTTCTCAAGCTGGCCTTTGAAAAACCTTGTCGAAAAAAAGAATTTCACGATCATCTCGTTTCTGTCATCATTGTTGTTTGAAGTGAAGAAATCTACGTTTTCGCATCCTTCTGGTAACCCGAGCTGTAAGCAAGGGAAATCGAAGATCTGGATGTCGATTTCGAGACCCGGATTCAGGTTCTTGAATGTGTCGATGGGTTTTTGGAGGATCTTGGAGTTGAGAGGTGTGGTGAGGATTGTGGATTTGGCTCCTCTGCTAGAGAAAAGCTTAGCCATGTCTAAAGTTGGTATCATGTGGCCATAAGCCATGAAAGGGAAGAACATAACATGGAGCTTTCGATGATGATGATCACTACCCATGATTGACTGGTTGAAAAGAAAATGAGATGTTTTGAGAAATTTGAGAAAAATAATTAAGAGAGATGAAAGTTCTGAAGTTCGTAGAAAATATTGTTTTTCCTCGTCGTGATTTAATGGTTGTAAGAGTGGAGTATATAAATATCTATATATAAATCACGAAAATTTGGGTATGATAATAGATGGGTAGCGGATACTGACGTCTTTGCATACGTCTCTAGTTTTGGTTTCTTTGGTACTTCCTATCTTTTTAACGTGTCAGAGTGGTATCAGTTGCAAGGTCTTTTGGAACCAAAACCTTGTAACTTGTAAACTAATTTCGAGATCAACAAAATTATGATAATTTTTTTTATAAAAAGAAAATGAGAGAAGAGAAAAAACATAAATATACAATCAAATTAATCCAAAAAAAAGTGTGATCAATAGATCCATTTTTAAAAAAATCACCGGATTAATATTAATGTATTAACAATAACAATTATTTTGTTTTCATGACTTTTTTAATCATGATAACACATACCGATAACATCAATACAAAGGAATGGGTAACTTGACTTGGTCAATGCATTGGGTTTACTTGTCTTGGTCAATTTGGGTATTTGCATTAGAGAAAAGTGAGGTTATATGGTCCACCAGTTTATCAGGACTTAGAAGATCGTATATAGCCATTCGCCTTATGGCCTTTTAAAAAGATGAAATTTTAGCCCTATATCGATGTGACTGATCGAAAGAACAATCCAAAAAAAACTCTTAGAATTTCAAGAATCCAATATAAAAACCCTGCAGACTCCAATGAAAAACAACAAATTATTATTGTTGTAACACATAAATAAGACAAGTTGTTAGAAGAAAAACTGAAGTCGATAAGCATAAAAGTGATGTTATATCATGGAGTCAGTCACCCAACAGATATGTTTCTTCTAGCGATAGTTTGACGATGCTAAATAAAATGTCTTGTAATTAAAATTTCTCTTAAATTATTTTAATTTTTAGAAAGAAGTAAAGGTTAGGTATTGATGTTGGTGTGTACCAAATCTTAGTGGACTCTGTGTGGTTTTTGTTCTTTGTTTTAACAGAACGAACAAAACTAAACGGAACTATTGTTGGGTTTGTGTCCTGATGGCTCAAAAACCTAACTTCACATTCATTTACCAATACTACAAACTAAAAGGTCATTCATTGTAAATTTGAATGAACAAATACAATATTTCACTAATTTATTTTTTGTAACTCAAACCAACAGAATTACAAACACATTATTCCATAACTTGCAATACATTCAACTTCTTTATACCTTCTCTTTTTGCAATTTAACCAACATAAGCTCTTCCATCAACCTATCTAACTCTAGATCTGAAGATCCTCCTTCTTTCACCGCATTTTTCGCCATTTCCGCTAAATCCTTGGCCCTTTTCCTCTTCTCTTCTCCAACCATCACTTCCCTCACCGCTCTCTCCACTTTCTCTCTGCTTATGAAGTCTCCAACGACTTGCATTATCTTCTTCACTCCCACACTCACTCCTGTTTTCAACACTTGTGTCACCAATTTCTCATTGTAGAACTGCTCGGCTCCCACGGGCCACGTCACCATTGGCAGGCCCGATGCCACGCCTTCTAGAAGCGAGTTCCATCCGCAATGCGTCAAAAATCCGCCAATTGCTTGATGTTCTAGTATCAGCACTTGTGGCGCCCAGCCACGGATTATCAATCCTTTTCCCTTCGTCTTCTCTTCAAACCCCTCTGGTAACCAATCTTCCTTCTCAACTATTAAAATGTAATGCAAACGCAAACGTTAGAGTTTGAAACAACAGAATCCAAATTACACCATTGGTTACCTCTAAAACAAAAACAGAGGATTATGCTGCAAAAACAGAGATGTCTATGATACCTTTGCTGCTTTTTTTGTTAACCACCCAGACAAAAGCATGTCCTGACATATCCAACCCAGCTGCAATCTCTATCAGCTGCTCGTTATTAAAGCTAGACATGGTTCCAAAGGCCATGTAAAGCACTGAATCACATTTCTTGGAATCTAGCCATTTCAAACATTCATGCTCATCAATGCTTGCCTTTTTGCCTCTTTCTGCTTTCTCCTCGAACTTTCTATTTCCTAAAGAAAGCGGACCGATATGCCACGCCCTTTTCGCCACAAAACTCTTGAAATAATCTGAGTAAGCCGGTTCAAGCTCGTAGAAGCTGTTCACCAACACACCAAAGCTATCTCTCTCTGAGTCTCTTATTTCCTTCATAAACCTCCCCACTACAGAGTCTTCTTCTTTCTCTATGACCTGTTCCTTTGTAATCACAATGTCTCCCGGGAGATCAGGAATCACAAAGGGCTCAGAACTTGAAGCTACATTCTTAGGGAGCTTTATGCAATGAGACGCACATAAAGAGAAGTAGCCTGTGCCGTGGAACACAAGTCTCGGTACTCCAAACTTCTCAGCGACTTTAGTGGCCCAAGGGAAAAACATGTTACCAACAAGACAGTCTGGTCTCATTGTCTCAAGGAGCTGCTCTAGTGGCTCTATGAAATATTTCATTGCGAGTGAAAACTTAAGATTCAAGTCACCTATGTTTAGGTCAGGAGTGGAGAAGATGAAATCAGTATTCTCACATCCATCAGGCAAACCAAGCTCAGTGCAAGGGAAATTAAGGATCTGGATGGTAATATCTTCGAGTCTCGGGTTGTCTTGGTTGAATGATCTGATGGGTTTCTCGAAGAAGAGCTTGGCATTGAGAGGTGTAGTGAGAATTGTGGATTTAGCTCCTTTGGTGGCGAAGAGCTTAGCCATGTCTAGAGTTGGTATCATGTGGCCATGAGCCATGAAAGGGAAGAGCAAGAAATGGAGCTTAGAGACTTCGCCAGAAGTTTCCATGTTTGGCTAATGAGAAATCAAGATCTGAGTTTTGTAGAGCTAATTGGGAACTCTTTGTGTGTTTAGGAGGTTGAAGCAGAGGCAAGGTAAGAGAATGAAGTTTGGGAGATAACGCTTGGTTGATATATATAACAAAACAACTACAATATACGTTAACGAAAGTCCGAAACTGCATCGTTTTGTCAACAAGATATGACTCATGAGAAGTGTTGCAAATCATGTGTCGCTTTTACAATCACAAAACGGACCCCATACCAAATTAATGTTTTTAAAAAGAAGAAAAGAGATCAATCGTTGCAGATATTTGAGAAACTTTCTAAAGTTGATGATATGGAAAATTTGATATCCTTATGATAGGAGTTGAATAAATCTAAATCGGCTTATCTCCAAGTCGGATTTGTTTTTCTTCGTTATTTTGTCAGCATTGACAATGACATGTCTAATTACGAACAACAAAACAGTTGATATCCTTTTGGTAGGAATTGAATCTCACGTCATTGCATTCGTCATTCTTCTTCCCTTTTTCCACTCTTTCTTCTCACATTCTTCTTCGAGTTATCTTCTATTGTTTTTTTCTCTTTCAACAACAATAGTTGTTAGGACTTACGAATGGTTACTAGTAAATTGATTTTAAATTTTTCAAAAAATTCGTAAATTCCACTATCTAGGTTCATTGATTCTCTTATATACAGTGTGTAATTCTGGTAACAACTCCTTGCAATCACATTCCCTTTGATGATAACGTAAGATAGTGAATGAGAAAACAATACTATTAGAAAGATTTCACTAATAAAAGCTTCTGTTGACTTGGGCTTCTACTTGATGGGCTTAAACCTTACTGGACCTTAACCGTAACACTCCGGTTTTTCAACAATAAACCGTAAATTGGATTCGGAACCGAGAGATGGTTTTCAGACTTACCCTCGTTTCTTTAGAAATTTGTGTGTTTTAATTTTCTCTTCGACAGAACTGTAAAATCCTGTTTTTGAAACCAAAATTTGACAAGCGATTATTGAATCATCATCGTCAAAGTAGTGATCTTTTGTTCAATTTAATTATTCGGGGCTTTAGTTTCAGCAATATTTGGTCGTTTCGTTTAGATTCCAGCAATCAAATCCTCATGCCCGACGACGATAAAGAGTTGCAGGAACCCAAGGAAGAAGACTCCTACGTTTGGGACAGCGATAAGCAGCTCTATTTCCATCACAGGCTACGTATCTTTCCAAATCTATGGATATTATAGCCTAATTTCCTTAGCTTGCTTTAGTTTTGATTTGAATATAAGCAGAAATTGTCCATTGTGTTTAGGTTTGATGTCTTTGTGTTAAAGCTTGGATCTTACATAATTTGCAGTTATTGCTATATAGCTTTTTAACTATTAAGGAGTGATGAAAAAGGCAGAGACTTTATTGAGATTAATGCTTAATTCCATTGAACTAAGGACTCTATTCAATCTTGGATGCTAACTTTTGTTTCGATTTTTGAATTGCAGTAGTGGGTTTTACCATGACCCAAATGCTGGTTGGTATTATTGTATCAAGGATGGTCGTTACTACAAGCATGAGAATGGCGAATATGTTCCCTTGGAATACGACGAGTCTGCCGTGAACCCTCCTGGAGATATTGTCACTTATGAGCTCTCTGAAGATGACTCATGCAGAAAATATGCTGAGAATGTAGAAAATGGATGTGAAGTTTTACTGAGTAATCCTGGAGAAACTCCTTCAGGTAAATTTACATGTAGTGTTCCTGTGGTTTTTTGTGTAGCATCTATAATAAATAACTGATAGACACGTTGTTTGCTCAAAAGAGCCAACAGGGTGCCCAAATGACCAGGAACCTGAACATAATCAACGACCTTCCTCATGGTTGGTGGTATTACCTTTTATCACAGCATGGAAATTAATATATGTTTTTTCATCATATGGTTTATAAAACTTTTATTTTTCCTTTGGATCAGGGTGGAAGATACACTAATCGAACTTTATCTGGCTGGTTATAATCAACATCCCAATGCTTCCAGCTATGAGAGGGATTCTGGGGAAAATAATCAGGATTACCAGATGTTGTCAGCTAATGGTCTTTGCCTGGGATAATGCTTATTAGCCTTTTATATTGCAAACTTTGGAAATGAATTTGCTCTTCAAGTTTGGAATTTAAGGAGAGAAGCTACAAATTGTGTTTGTTCTCCAGGAGACGATGATGACGAGGAACTTGAAGAGGGAGAATGGATTCCTGAAGAAGATTTTGATCCACAGGAAGAGAACTTTGATGAAGGTTTTTATCTCCTTACGTTCTTGTCATTTGCTTTCATTCTGCACCATACCAGCTTATGCTTGTAGATATAGGAAGCTTGATAAATCGTTATTCCTCATGCCTCATGGTGTATAGTATTTCTCTCTCGTAAGCTGATCTTAAAATTTGAAATGATATAGTGCTGTTTAAGGGAATCTTATAACTTCGATGATGTGTTTTTTTTGGGGCTCATATTTATAGCTTTGATGCTCATAGTTTCATTTCTAGCTGCTCCTTCAAGCGAGGAAGAAAGATGGCTAGCACAATATGGTCAAGTCGTCGAATCCCTTGGGAAGACCCTGCCTGAGATCCCGTCTGTTGATTTGTGGGATTGGAAACTTGTATGTGAATCCAGAGAAGCTGACAATGAACAGGTGGCTAGGTTAGTAGGGAGGCTGGTCAGACGGTCTGCCAATCTTCATCCATCTGTGGCTTCTGGTGGCACACTTCTCAAAACTGCTCCAATTTGTGAAGCACGGCTTCATCTAGTGCGAGTTAGGACAGGTTTACCATTTTCCTTCTAACCGAGCCTTGTTCCTGTTAACAAATATTGTTTTGCTGGAATAGATTTTTTTTAAACCTATGTACTTTGTTATATGGTGAAACTTCTTAGAAATCGAATTTGATTCTCAAATCTTTTGTTCCAGGTCAGGTCTATAAACTTCAAAATCCTAGTGCCAAATACATTGCATCCTTGTCAGTATATGACTCCTCCAACCCAACAAAAGATTGGGGATTCCCTGATATTTCAACTGCATGGCAAAATCCTGATACCAAACGCAAAGCTAAGAAGGTGAAACCAAAAACTGACTGCAAACCTAAAGTGAAGCCTCGTGAAGTTGACATGATTGAAGAGGTACTCCAAATCCACCTTCATGGCTGAATTCTTGTATTTTATGTTTCAAAATGTTTGTGAAGAATGTAAACATCCTGCTTCTTGAACTTCTGTCAAATATCTAGCAGGAGAAAAAACGCAAAGCTAAGAAGGTGAAAGCAAAAACTGACTGCAAACTTACAGTGAAGCCTCGTGAAGTCGACATGTTTGAAGAGGTACTGCAAATCCACCTTCATGGCTGAATTCTTCTATTTTTTGTTTCAAAATGTTTGTGAAGGATCTTAACACCCTGCTTCGTGAATTTTTGCCAAATATCTAGCAAGACACAAAACGCGAATCTAAGAAGGTGAAACCAAAAACTGACTGCAAACTCACAATGAAGCCACGAGATGAAGTCAACATGATTGAAGAGGTATTCCGAATTCACTTTCATGGCTGGATTTGTGTATTTTATGTTTCAGAATGTTGTGAAGATGTAACAATATAGCAGGAGACATTTTTCTAAAACTCTTTTTATGGGGCATTCAGTGAGAAACTTAAATCTGCTAAGAGTATTTCGGAGGCATAGTTTAGTGTTATTAGAACCCTAGTAAGCTACTATTTTCATTGTTGCTCGTTGGTGTTTATCAGCAGAGAAGCTGTTCATACAGAGATAGAGCCGCTGAGAGAAGAAATTTGCATGGTGGATATGGTGTTGGACCAGGTCAAAAAGGAACAACAGTGGGCCATGACACGGACGAGCATTCAGTTCCCGACACTGCTCCTGAAGAGGATACTGTAGGAGAAGCATTGGAGCTATCATTTGGATCTGGAAGTTATGCAAGGAGGATAATGGGAAACATGGGTTGGAAGGAGGTAACTTGTGAATCTTATCACTTTTGAGTTGTGAATTTGTGATGTTATTTGGTGTCACTGTAATTTATGATTATTGGGGAAATGCTAATGCAGGGGGAGACGCTAGGGAAGAATACAAAAGGTTTGGTAGAACCGATACAAGCAGTGGGAAACACTGGGAATGTAGGGCTAGGTTTTCCTCAAAGGAAAAGGAAATAATCTGAGGTACAAGATTTTCTCTATATGGGACTCTTAGTGTTCATATATTACTTGAGAATGCGAAATTGTGTTACTATATTACTTGAATTGGCTTATAACAATAGAGGTGCATTAGGTAGACAAATAACATCTAGACTTGTAAGAGTTTAGAATCATTTACTTCCTGATTTTGAGCAGTAGAATGAGAAATCGAAGTACGCTACAGACAAGTTGATTTCGATTTATATCAAGAAAACAATATATCGGATTTGGATATTGATTTATGGTTATATACTATATGTTGATCTCTTGTCCTATAATCTTAGAGATGGGAGACTAAGATTGTTCTCCTTGAGGATGCATACATTCGTAAATCCTTCAAGAAGCATCCTGAATAAAAAAATTGACCCCCATCAAAGTAAATTCTCCAGTTTTATATTATGTTGCATGCATCAGTACCAAACATATTATCAATTTATATGTTTGAATCTTTTCAGCCAATAATTAGCTACAAAAGAAAATATATATCCATTTTTTCTTGGTAAAACCGTCTTTTTTCAATTACGTAAATGGATAGACAATTTTTTTTTTTTTTTGTAAAATGCTGCGACTTTGAATAAAATTAGTTCAACAAATAATGCTATTTCCAAGTGACTGCCTATTTGTATTAGGATGACTTGTTCCACGAGAAATCAGATTGCAGGAATTGCTTAATAATATATTAATCTTGAGTTTCTAGATTACGTAAAAGGATTATATTTCTACAAAGACTGGATTACATAATCATGCCATTTAAACTTCAAAAAGATGTAAATGCATTTTAAAGTTATTGTTTGGGAATGTCAATTTGGGCCATTGGACGCATGCTAGTGTGATACATCCGGAAGACTTTTTGTTTTTTCTGTCCATCCTTGAGCCAGGCCTGATATCATCCACAAGATAATAAGTGGTATCTAGCAAATAACAAAGCAAAGCTATATCTATCTATATTTACACATGATTGTGATGTATCATGTATATGTAGCATCATCTACTCGTGAATCTTTAATAGTGTGCGAATAGAATTATCCATTGTGTGGTTTTGTGTAGAGCCGTTTGTTATGTTTTCAATTATCGTAAATAATAAGAATGACATATATAATCTAATAATGATGTAATATATATAGCAAAATAATATGCGGTCTCGAACCATTAGAAACCGTTGTTACTATAAAAACTTGGTATGCAAAACCGATTTTTGGCATATTCTCATACTATATAACTTGATCAATTTGTTAAAAGAAATACAATATTCATTAAATATTTTCTAACAAAATGTCAAATGGAAGAGACAGCCTAATTTTACTGGACTTAAATAATTGAGGAAATAATATTTTAAAAACGCGTATAATCTAAAGCCGTGGGGAGAAAAAAAAAGAAAAAAGTTAATAATGTAAAGTCAAAGTTACGGTCAACGCATTACGTACGCGTCTTGTTCCTCAAAGCAACTTCTGCGTTATTGATCAAAGTTTCCATTTTTATTTATATTTAAGGAAACACACGGGATTCTCTCTCTCTGATTTCAGAGCTTCATCGTTTACCTTGTATTTCTCAATCTATAATTGTTTTCTTTCAAACCCTAATCTCTCTTAAGCAATCGAATTCATGTCGATGATGGCGGGTATACAAGGCCAGATTCTCGAGGTCACTGGTTCGTACCTTTCTCACATCCCTAATTTATGTTCTTCAACCTAATTTATGAACCGTTGAATATTCCCATCTATTTGATCTCAGAAAGTTTATAACTTTTTTTGAATTTATGGGATTGTTTCAGTTGTTGGGTGCCAGAAATTGAAAGACACGGAATGGTTTTCAAGGCAAGATCCATACGTCGTCATTGAGTATAGCAGCACAAGGCATCGTACCAGAACCTGCACAGGTTATTTATTACCTCTTCTATTCATGATTTGTTTGTTTCAGATCCAGATAAAATTGCGGTTTTATTGAATAAAGTTTAGATCTTTCTATTTATAAAGAGTTTTGAAGCTTACTAATCTATGAATTTGATTGATGGGTTTGTTTCAGATGGTGGAAAGAACGCTGTTTTCCAAGAGAAGTTTATGTTCACTTTGCTTGAAGGGCTTAGGGATATTAAGGTAGCTGTCTGGAATAGCAACACTCTCTCCACTGATGACTTCATTGGGAATGCAACGTATGTAACTTCTTATCATTGCCTTTTTATGCTTTTAAATACCCGCTTTGGATTTGAAATTGAGTTCTGTTTGTTTATTGTGTGATCAGGATTCAATTGCAGAAGGTTCTTTCTCAGGGATACGACGACTGTACCTGGACTCTGCAGACTAAAACTGGGAGGTAATAACATTGGCGTTACTTGTTTTGTTTCCTTTGCACTGAGTATATAATGTTTTGGTAATCGATAGTTGCATGGTGCATATTGGTCTAACCTATTTTGGTGATGGCCTTGCTCATTATCAGTGGAACTTTTGATGTGGTTTGTAACCATATAGTGCTTGAATATATAGTTTCGCCAGTTGCGTTGCTATGTTTGTGTGCTCTATGCTTTCTATTACGTGAATTTCTAGTTCTTGCCATTTACTTACATTGCTGACATGGTTTTGTTGACTGATCAGAGTCGTTATGTGTGTTTCTTGTCATCTTTGGTGTTAATGCAAACTGCTTGAATTCAAAGAACTTGCCCTTCTTTTCATTATTAATCTGTGAAGTACTTGTTCATTTCATTCCTAATATTATATGTCGAAAAACAATTATGATGAGGAGCTTTGAATGTTCTGTTTCTACATTGAGCACACTCACAATTGATGTAGCATTCAGATTGGGTTTTCTCTGGAACTTATGAAAGACAAGTAGACATTTTGAGATATATGGAGCTTCTACTTTCTGTTGTTAGGTTACTTAGAAAAGAGAAATGAAGTTCTTTTTAAACATTGCAGCATCAAACTAGAATTTCTTAAAACTGGTCTCTTGAGGTATACCATTTTTGTTTTCGAAAAGAAGAAAGTTACAGATATGCACAATCTATAAGTTTTTCAATCCATGGCTATGTGTTTTGTTTTCTCAAATCCCTGAAAACTGAATAGTCGGTTATAGTACGCAAGGATTTTGGTAGCTTGTCCTCTGTGGTTGCTCCTTGTAAAAAGATTAGTTCTTTGATGATAAACCTTCTAAAAATGCATCAACTTTTGTCTTGCAGATTCGCTGGAGAAGTAAGACTCATATTGCATTATCCAGGAGCAAAGGTAAGTCGAGACTCAATTAGCAACATTGGTTTACATGTTCCATTATAAATAAAATGCTAAACATACAATCCATTCTTGTACGCAGAAACATAATTACGGGTCTGCGCCATCAGCACCTTATGCGCCTCAAGTACCTCAATACTCAGCACCGCCTTCTGCATCTCCGTATTCATCAGCACCACCATACTCTGGACCATCTCTATACCCACAAGTACAACAATACCCTCAGCCATCAGGATACCCACCAGCTTCAGCTTATCCTCCTCAGCCATCTGCCTATCCTCCTCCCTCAACCTCGGCCTACCCTCCGGTTCCTTCAGCTTACCCTCCTCCTCCGCCATCCTCAGCTTACCCTCCTCCTCCATACCCTCCTCAACCATCATATTACCCACAAGGTACATAAATGTTCCTTTCTTTTCTGCTCTGTGCTTCAATTGATCGCGCTTGCTTTTCTCTAAATATATTCAGTGGTGGTTGATCTTTTTTATTCTTGTTTCCAGGTCCATACCCAGGACAATACCCACCACCTCCGTACTAGAGCCTCAGGCGTTTAGAATTTGACAGGAAGTGGTTATGATGTATAGAGATAATAGTGATGGTGTTCTCTAGAATTTGGCTACGAATTTCTTTGTTTTTTAATATCTTCCTTGTGCTATTGCTAGCGTGATGGTTAATTTTTGTGATAGTCAGTCAAACTCATTTAGAAGTTTGGATACTTTCATGCTTGACCAGATCGCAGATTCTCTTGCAAATCTATTGAATTATTACTCTAAACCCTTGTTTTGCGTTCCTCTCGAGTCAAAATTATCTTAAAAAAGGTTTCGACTCTGTCTTTAACTCTTAAGAAATGGAACTATCGGCGTTTAATGGTCGCACTTCTGATCAGATACAATTAGAAAAAGTTATTTGGTCAATGTATAGCAATATATTTAAGTTATAACAAAAAAAAGTATTATTGTTGACAATCAACCAAAAGTAGTAGAATTTAGCCGACAGATTTTACTGCACTTTGGTTTCTCGATCTCGACTCCAATGAGTAAAAGTGGGTAAAGCGGGAAACAGCAAAAGAAATCACATATTTAATAAAAATAAAGAAAAAGAAATTCCACATTTAATATCACAAAAAGAAAAAAAACAAATAATATATTTGCGCAAGCAAGTAAAAGACAAACGTAAAAACCATCTCTGGCCTTCTCTCATAAATCAATCTCTATCTCTTCTTATCACTCTCCTTCCCACTTCCATCTTTTCTCTCTCTAGTCTCTCTTTTGTAGCTCTCCCCTGCTAAGCTAACCACTGCACGTTTCCATAGAGAGGAAAGATGAGTCTCTCTCCGAGAGATTTTCTCTCTATCATCTTATCTTCTTCCGTGTAATGCTCTGAGCCAAACCCCAATAACTAAATCAACAATATAGAAGAGAAGATAAAGATCTTATCTTTCTTCTCATTCTTGAGTTTATTCCCACAATGGCGATTCGGAAGGAGGAAGAAAGTAGAGAAGAACAGAGCAATTCGTATCTTCTTGATGCTCTTTACTGTGAAGAAGAGAAATGGGAAGATGAAGGAGAAGAAGAAGTTGAAGAAAACTCTTCCTTTTCTTCTTCTTCTTCTACTTCTCCATTCGTTCTTTTGCCACAAGATTTGTTCTGGGAAGATGAAGATCTGGTCACTCTCTTCTCCAAAGAAGAAGAACAAGGACTCAGCTGTCTCGATGATGTTTATCTCTCCACGGATCGAAAAGAAGCTGTTGGTTGGATTCTCAGAGTCAACGCTCATTATGGCTTCTCTACTTTGGCAGCTGTTTTAGCCATAACTTATCTCGATAAGTTCATCTGTAGCTACAGCTTACAGAGAGACAAACCATGGATGCTTCAGCTCGTTTCTGTCGCGTGCCTCTCACTTGCGGCTAAAGTCGAAGAAACTCAAGTCCCTCTTCTTCTAGACTTTCAAGTAAATGATGATACTTGCATTATATTTCCTTAAAGTTTAAGTCTTTTGTCCTTCCCCTTCTCATCTCTCTGTTTTTTTTTGGGGTTTGTAGGTGGAGGAGACAAAGTATGTGTTTGAAGCAAAAACCATACAGAGAATGGAGCTACTGATTCTGTCTACTCTCCAATGGACGATGCATCTCATTACTCCAATCTCGTTTCTAGACCACATTATCAGGAGATTGGGACTTAAGAACAATGCTCACTGGGATTTCCTCAACAGATGCAACCGTCTCCTCCTCTCTGTAATCTCCGGTTCGTAAACGACAAAAAGAAAAAACCCACTCCATAATCTGAGTAATTATCTTACATTCTTGTCTTATCTTCCTCCATTGTCTTTGTCAGATTCAAGATTTGTCGGGTACCTCCCATCAGTAGTTGCCGCAGCTACCATGATGCGAATTATAGAGCAAGTTGAGCCCTTTGACCCTCTTTCATACCAAACTAATCTCCTCGGTGCCCTTAACTTAACCAAGGTTATCTTCGTAATCATCTCTCTCTACTGGTAAAACTCTGTTTTCACTCGGACATTTTCTCAAACAACTCTCGTGCATTATCAGGAAAAGGTGAAAACTTGCTACGATCTAATCCTCCAACTACCAGTGGACCGCATCGGTTTACAGATCCAAAACCAATCTTCCAAGAAACGCAAGAGTCACGATTCATCATCATCATCGTTGAACAGCCCAAGCTGCGTGATTGATTCAAACCCTTTCAATAGCGATGAAAGCTCAAACGATTCGTGGTCAGCGAGTTCGTGCAACCCACCATCGTCGTCGTCCCCGCAGCAACAACAACAACCTCCATTGAAGAAGATGAGAGGAGGTCAAGAGAATGAGAAGAAGAAGCCGATTTTGCATCTGCCATGGGCAATCGTAGCCACTCCATAATCGAAAGCTCGATTTCGTTTATATATATTTTTACTGTTTTTTTAACTTTTGAGAACAATCTTTGTATTAAACTTCCCCGTTTGCATATACGAAATGTCGCGAATGCCCTTACTTGCCATGGCTTGATACAGTTTATGGGTAAAGGGTATTCATGACATTTGACTGCATGGGATGTGATGAACGAGAGCATTAGAAATAATAATAATGTTGCGTAAATTTTGAGGCTTTTGCAATCTTTGGGCCGTAATCTCCGGCGTTATTCAATTATGAGTAGTATGTTCTAAAATCCACTTTTTGAAAAGAATTTAAAATTCTTTTTTTTTAACACATTTAAATCCACTTCAGTGACACAAAATGTAAAGTTTTTAAAATTACAAAATAGTTAAATTTGAATTTTTTCGAAACTAAAACAGCCGTATCTATTACATTTTTTTTTGTCTAGAATGGTGGATAATACAAATGAAAGAAATGAGATGTCAATGTTTAATACTATATGAATTGAATGAGACTGTTTTGTTTATGATCGAAAGTGAAGGATTTAGCGTTAGCTTTGACTTTTGGGAGAAGAGCCAATCGTTGCTTTTTTGGTCAGTCTTTAAATAAATAATCGCTTTCAAACATGAAACAAAAAAAAAAACGGAAAGTAGAAAAAAAAAATGATAAGGTAACACTATTATTGCTTTAGATGTTTTTGTCTAAAGTCTTAAGCAAACCTGCTCTACGTGAGCTAGTAGCGTATCAAACTAAACCCAAACACAGTTAAATAACTACACATGAACATGTAAGTTGTCGAAAATAACATATGATTATAAACGTTTTAAATTCAAACAGCGAAACTTAAATCAAATCCACAGAGTTTAGATCTTTTGTTGACCAAGTAATTACGACAGACAGACAGACAGACAAGAAGGAGGAAGTGTAGAAGACGCGCCATATATAGGTGAGTGTTGTTCGACGATAAAAATCTGGTGCAGCAGTAGCTAGTAACACCAGAACCAAAGTAAACCTGCTTCCACTCTGAGCACCTGGGATTAAGCCACGTGTCCAAAAGTATTCATCGTCACTATTCATTCTTTTTATTTTTTAATAACATCAATCATCGTTACTATTTCTATAGTCGCTAAGAAAGCCAATATGAAAATTGAAGACATTAAAATAGATAATTTACTATTATAAAATCCCTTTTGTATCACGGAAAAGCTTATATGATAATGCGATTGTATCACGAGAAATTAGATCTTGTTTTCATTTTTAACAAAAACTTTAGGTGGTGTGAAATCTTGGCTCCTTCTTTTACACTTTTTCTTTTCCAATTTTAATTTTCTCTTTGGACTTGTTTTTTCTTTGGCAATTAAAAAAAGAGAATTTAAATCACAACTTTTTTCACGTGTGACACGAATTTTCTCCTTTGGGGGATTTATCGTTCTTTTTCCATTATATTCCCAATTCATTTCGTTACTTAGAAAAAAACGAATTGCTTTAGCTGATGTCGTTTCTTAACGCTCAGCCTCACGTCACCACAGCATTTAAACTCCTCTCGTTTATGTAATCTTATACCGGTATACGTTTTGTATGGTTTAAATCAAAAGATCCGTTCTCTAACTTCAACTATAAAGTTAACTAACACCCATGCATGCATATGTATTCGAATATCAAATTAAGCATTAATATTAACATGTTAGCAAAACATGGCTCTTTAATCACAAGTTTACTGACTGTAGAAAATAGGTATATGTGTGTATATATAATTGAAAATGTACAAATATATGATTGTTATTATTTTTGCTGTTGTTCTTGAGCAACTATGCTTCCATATCGTAGTCTTTTCAAAAAAAAAAAACTTCGCTAATATATACGAAGAAATAACATATTATAAGTTGCGGAAGAAAGGGATACAATGTGATTTATCACAACTAAACTATAAAAATACTGAAATTTTAGTAGTTAATCTGATAAAAGAATCTTTAATGAAATAACTCAAATATTGGATTTAAAATACACAAATTAAGATGATATATCAAAACTTACATGCCAAATTGAAACAAAAAATAATAATCGACCACATGCATTACCATGAATGTAAGAGTTTATTATATAACTTTGAAAATCTGGAGTAGGACATGTAGCTAAATAATTGATGAAAAGTGAGAAAGGATGTATGTAAAAATCGGGAGGTTTTCAAAATGGGAGACCAAAAAATCTTTGTAGTTATTCGTTTCTATAATAAATTTTAAATAATTAATTTGTTGTGGAGAATGTGTTGTCTGTCCTCTCTTTTTTTTTTTGTCTCTTCTAATGGTCTTCTCCTCTTTAAGGTATGTTATCAATATCATGGTACCATACGCATCTCGTGAACCATATAATGACTTGCCATAAATTATTTTTTTCTGAAACAAAGATAAGATGAAAAAGGAGATTATTTGCTGCGAAAAAAATAAATTCTTCACATCTATAATCTATTTATAATTCTGTATATACATTCTTTTATTTTTGGTATAATATATATTCTTCTCGACTGAATAATTCATTCCCTCCATTCCATTCAATCACATCCCATCCCATCAACCAGATGTGAAACTATTCTTAGTCAGCTTTGAATTTTGGTAGTTTTATTTTATATTTTTAATTAATAGGTGTTAAAATCGATGCTTTTTTATTGAAGAAAACTCATTTACTAAAATAAAAAATAAAAATATATCTGTATTGGTAAAAACAAATGAAAAATGTTTAGTAAAAATGGGAAAGGAAAACAGCTTGCACCCAACATGGAGAAAGAGCAAAGAGGTCAATGTGTCCCCACAACGATAATTATAGAATAATATTATCATTCTCAATGGCTTTGGTGACCTTTATATCTTAAATATTTCTTCTTTTGACCTAGTCTCTTCCTTTTTACTTCCACTCTTCTTTTTCTTTTATTGTAATTTGAAGTGAAGTGTATGTGATTGTATGCTCAAAATATTATACGGGGAGAAGATTCCAATACATCAACATTTGTTGCATAACTACTGCATATATCATATATGGTTATCAGTATTCTTTTAGAAATAGGAGTAGTTGAGGTAAACTTAGATAAATCTCAAGTAGAGTAAATTGATTCATCGATATGTTTTTACATTAGTTCTTGCATTCGACTCACATCTCTTAAGCGAATGTCTTTTTCCTTTTTTTAACAAAAAGTTTTAGGTATAGATCCATAGTCTTTTCGGATCATTATTTTAAACTTCATTTGTTTTATCGGTGTTCGAGACTGTAATTTAGAAAACTCTTTCCTTTGGATAGTAAGCTTATACATTGTTCAAACAAAACAAAGTAATTCACCGGTTAGCTAGGTAAGGTTAATTGCATCGTTTGTGTGTGCACATTTCTTACGTCTCATACCACAGTAGCGCTACTTGCATATACTATCAATGCACACGACTTCCTTAATTAACGTTGCAACTTGCATGTAGCTAATTTACGAGCACAATTTGCTCCATATGGCTAAACAAATAAACAATCGGACATCATTGTTTGAACAATTCGGTGTGTTTAGCGCATGTCTCCATCCTCTTAGTTTATATATGTAAATTTTCTTAATTAAACCCAACATTGTTACAGATTTATTATATGATACAGTAAAAAATTAAATGTTTATTTTACCAAAAAAAAAAAAAAAAAAAAAAAAAAAAAAAATTAAATGTTTAATAGTTGCATTTTTAGTATTTGGTGCCATGCATTCTGAGTTTGAATCGTGAGGATCAAGAGTACTTTCAAAGTTATGTGTCTCATTTTAAAGTTTAAACTAAAGGAACTCCAAAAACACATTTTTCTAGATTTATATTAGAAACTATAATTAACAAACAGAAACAGTACATGTACTTTCAGTAAATTGCCACATGCAATCATCGAGAGATAAAAGTGTAAGCCTTCAAATTGTTTCCGTGTTTACACATATAAAGAAGATACCTCGTCCTGTTAAGAATTTCTTAGAAGATGACTTGAATTATACTCTTTGTTGACGATTTGATCGAAGCAAATAAAAAGTACATATATATCATAAACTAATTTTACTTTTACAATAATGAGTACTGCACAGACGTTTTTTACTAGTCAAGGTTTGTTGACAAAATCACATGCATTGAAAAATTAGGACATGATTAGCTTCAAAACAAAGGAAGTGGGATGAAATTAAAAGAAGTAAAAAAAACAAACAAAAAAGTGACAAAGAGCTGCATTCTCAAATTTGTAGTCCATGATTATGTCTCACAGCTGCAAAGTCTATATGGTGGTTCATAAAACCAAGTAATCATTGGTCCAATGCAGTAAATAAAACAAAAAAAAATTCATATGGGGGAAATTATTATAAATAAACAAAAGAAATATTTAATCTCATATGATCACTTATATATACTTTTTGAAGTGTCTCACAGTCAATACGGAATTAGAACTGAGGTTTTGATGTTATATCTTTCAACGTGGGTTGGTAATTTCTTTCTGGAAAATGGATTACATCCCGAGACATAATATGTTCAATATAGGACTTTTTGGACTTTCAGTTTGCAATTTAGAATCTATGGTTTAGACTTTTAGCTAAAGTTTATTTCAACTATATTAGTTGATTAGTTGATAAACTACGTACTGACCATATTTCAACAGCTACGATCGATAGTCAACAATTATCTTTATTACATATATATCTCTCTCTTTTTTTTGGTCGTCAAATCAGTTCATTAAAATGGAAATGCATACTGATACGCCATTTGTTAGTTTCTATTTTATCTATAATTGTAAGAGGATATACCAATTAAAGTTTAATTTTCAATTAAAATGATTTAATTAATAAATAATTATTGAGCAAAAAGGTTCTCCAGATGATGAGCGGGTGGCGAAGCAGACTCCTTCCTAGTTTTAAGACTTTTGTATTCCGAGTGTTTAAGGCAAAGGTCAAGAAAGGTATAAGCAATTCATTAGCTTAAAGTTCCAAACCATACACAAACTAAAACCAAACTGAACTATATACCCTTTTTAAAAAAAATTCTGACTCGGTCAAATTCTACATTTTTGTTTTGTTTAGGCAAAGGTCAAATTCTGCATAGAAATTTA